CTCATGTTTGTTTGGTTTTTCATAAAATTTTGTGTTTTATCATAACAGTTCTCGGTTTTTTGACAAGTAATTTTTCCCAAGTTCATGGTTTTTCCATAATTTTTTCATGACACTCCATAGACTTTTTCATTAGTTTAGGGATTTTTTTTCATAAAAATTCATAGATTTTTCATAAAATTTCATGTTTGTTTTTCAGATCAAATATTTTTTTTTCTTCAAAATACTGTACCCTGTATTTCATTTTTTTTTTCATATTTCAATTTTTTCCCACATAAGTCCATGTCTGTTTTTCCATAAGAGATCATCTTTTTCCACATCATCACAAAACATCCTCCACTAAACTGCTCATCACACACTGTTTATCAATACTGTACCGTATTCCATATACAGTGGGATATGCTATAACGAATCTAATTGGTTCTAGAACCTTGTTCGTTATAGGATTAATCTGTTCCAGGCCCCCAAATACAACCACTTAACACTGAAAAATATAATATAAAATTGTAAAAATTGTAAAAAAGTGCATAAATATGCATCTAAACCCCTGAAATAACCAATATCATTAATACTTGTAATAAAAAAAAAATAAATTAGTAAAAAAAAAAAATTAAATAATGTTCGTTGTAGGAGTTTCGTTCGTTATAGCATTCTCAATTTTATAGGTAAAACCGTTCGTTATAGGAATATTCGTAGTAGGATCCGTTCGTTATAGCATACCCCACTGTACAAGTACAGTGGTCCCTCGGTTAACGAACACAATTCGTTCCATAAAGTCGTTCGTTAACCGAATCTATTATTTCAATGGGATATTGGGTAATTGGTTCCAACTCACAGAAAAAGTACATATAAAGTACTGTATACTAGTAATAATAAATTAAAAACAATAGAATGCTGTATTTTAACTTACTTTGAGGTGTGTATGTCGTATTACAGGCAGCTTTGTTTACATATCAAACAGCTGATTGTAGAGGCAGTCGATGATGACATGCCATATTCTTTACAGAGTGCATTAGTTCTAATGCCTTCTTCATGTTTCATAATAATTTCTGCACTGTATATTATCAATATGTTAACTAAATTTCAGAATGACTAATAATTTTAATATAAAAAAATGCAGAAATATTCAAGAGACCAACTTTCTTGATATTTACTTCACTGGAAACGAATGTAAACATAGGACCAATTACTGTATTGGCGGACTAGCCGATCAGCTAATGCGCACAACAAAACGTGTTTATTGTAAGGATTTCGTTAATCAAACTGAAAATCCTTATGGGAGCCAATTCGTTAACTGAAATTTCGTTAATCGAACCGTTCATTAACCGGGAGACCACTGTATAGTACAGTAGTTTATCTTGTAAAGTGTTCTCTGCTTAGTTGTTACATTCATTTATTAGCCCAGGCGATATGTGCAAAAATATAGATGAATTGTGTATTGTGTCATAAAAGCATGTAACTTGGCACACTTATAGATTATGTTTCCTGATGATTTGGGATGTGGAGACATTTCGAAAACGTCCCCTGTTGATGATAGTGGCCGTTTTGTTGCCGTCATTGTAGAAAAACCTAATTTCTACCCTAGCTCTGCTACTGTACATGATGGTATGACAATAATGGCCTGTGTACCTCTAATTTGGTGGCCAATGTTTACCTTGGTGTCATGCAGAACAACTTGAAGATGTACAGATGCTCTCAAAATATAGAAAATGAGATGGTCAATACTGAAACACATAATGGTAACATAATATTTAAGCTGTCAATCAGCATCTTTTCATGGTTAAACAAAGCAATTTAGATAGTATAGCAGGGTTTTATTATCTATACAAAGGATTCTTTAGGGTTCCTAGCGGGTTCTATATCAGTGTTCCGAATGAACCGGGCAACCCGTCTGGTAGTGGGCAACCCACTAACAATATCATGTAATGGCAGTTTACCTTTCGGAATAAAGTCTGATCTTCTAAAATGCCTCGAAAACTGATGTCACACACACGGTGACAGCCCAGCGACAGATGTTATCACTATCGATGGAACTGTTGTAGTCAACATGCTGAAACTCACGGGTGCCAAGACTTTTGATGATGACTATGCATTGAAGATGTTTCTTCGATATGTCAACAAACAACTCCAAAGGGTTAGTCGGGTGGACATCGTGTGGGACAGTTATACAAATACTTTTACTTTTATCCTCTTCGCCACTGATCGGCTTGTTAGCCGCTTGGGCGATCGGTCACGTCTCTGATTACTTTTCCTTTCATTTATCTTCTTCACCAAAAGATCGGCTCGCTAGCCGCCCGGGCGAGCAGTCACGTCTCTGTCACGCACTGTTGGCAAATATTGGGCATGCCAACAAATTGGCAGCAGTTTCTTTGGGTCGACGAAACCAAGTCAGAACTCTTTGCCTTTCTGACAAGATATATTGGAGATTTTGTGACAGACAAGCAGCTAGTTTCAACATGTGGAACCAATGTTTTTTGCAACCACGAAGAAGCAGATACCCGTATGCTTCTACACACAGCTGATTCCGTGAGCCAGGGATTTCAAAAAATTAATCTGCGCACAGTGGACACTGATATTAAGGAAATATGGGTGAGTATTTGGGATAGGCCAACATTTAGAGTACATCCCTGCCCATGAGACAGCCACATCAATTGGACCAGACACATCAAAAGCCCTGCTCATATTCCATGCATTTACTGGTTGTCATCATTCAAAACCTAGGGGGCAAAAGTCTGCGTGGGGTACCTGGCAAGCTTTTGAACATGTTACCACTGCCTTTCTAACACTGTCAGAAGCCCCAGAGGTGGTGTCACTGGAGGAATGGGCATCTTAAGAGTGCTTCACCATCCTACTCGACGATCCAGCCAGCAGTAATGAGGACATTCGTGAGGCCTGTTTCAAGATGTTTGCTAAGAAAGGATGAGGCATGGAGAAAATTTCTCCCACCAAAGATGCTTTTTTCACACCACACTGACCGAACAGTGTATCAAGGAGGACACTGTTGGGGTCAGCACTGCCAGTAGCCCCCAGAATGCCATCACCTACAGACTGGGGATGGACTGATCCTGAGAACTGGAAGCAGTTTTGGACAACACTTCCTCAGGCTAGCAAGGCTTCTCGAGAACTCATGTTCTGTGGATGCAAAAAGGGCTGCAGAGGTCCATGCAAGTGTAGAAAAGCAGCTTTAAAGTATATAACCTTGTGCCATTGTGATGGTGACTGTGATGACTAGTATGACAGTCACTACGCATAAAAGTGGCAGTGAAGGAAAAAGGTGCAGGTTGAAAATCATTTGAGTTAAGTTTTATTTCAAAATGAAGGTGTATGTTATTTTTTGTTAAATCATTCATACTATCTAACTTGGTTTATCTGACCAGAGATGTGGATTAAATGTGTTTGAGTATTGGCTGTGTTTAAAGGCAGCGGTGAAGGAAAATGTGCAGGGTGAAAATCTTTCAAGTTCAGTTTGTAATTTCTAAATGTAGGTGTAAATATGTTATTTTCAACCTAACATTATTCATACTATGTAAATGCTTTGTTTGACCATCAAATCATGGTAATTGACACCTCAAATATATAGTTATCATTATGATGGTGGTTACAAAGATGTGGAAAAAACTTTGTGTTTCAGTAATGGTTGTCTCATTTTCCATACTGGAGGGCATCTACACATCTGAAGTTGTTCTATATGACACCAAAGTATACACTGGCCATTATTGTCATGCAATCATGTATAGTAGCAGAGCTAAGGTAGAAATTAGGTTTTTTCTATAAAGGCCGCCACAAAATGGCCACCGGCATCAACAGGGGATGTTTTTCAAATGCCTCCACATCTCAAAATAATCAATAGAACATAATCTATAAGTGTAACAAGTTACATACTTTTATGACAAAATGCAAAATTTTTGCACATATTGCCTGGACTGTACGTATAGCATTAGAATTCTCTCTCTTTCTCTCCCAGTATATGTATCACTAAACCCATAAAAACTACATACATTAGTTAGGGTATCATTAGACCAATAAAATTAATAAAAAGGAATTTAATATGAGTGATAATAGTTTGGCACTTTTTTTTAACAGCAAACCCACAAAAACTACATCTGAACAAAAAGCAACCTTTCAAGGAACATATTTGGTGTACTATTTATATGAGCATGTGAGAGAAAGAACATAGTGATTCACCCTGTTGAGTAGAAAGTGCTGAAACTGAGCTTCCTTACTGATGTACAGTTGCCAGCAAAAGTCCTCCCATAACTTGCTACACAGGGCTGTGGGAGAACTTTTTCTGGCAACTGTACATGTGGATGTAATTACTAATTCAAAACACACACACACAAACACACTAGAAAAATACAGTGCCTGTACACATTTTCATATTCTCAACTCGACACTTAACAAACTTTCATCAATATATCCACTTCTGTTTCCCCATTATTCCTTGGCGAGTGCTCTTCCAGGGCTGTTCCTCTGCCCACTTCACACTAGTACAGTACTGTACTACACAAAGGGTTAAATAGACCACATTTTACAGACCACAAATTACAGACATATAATTTTCTTTATTCACACACCTGAAGTATCACTTTTCTTTTGATCATCTAACAAATTTAAATTTAGAGGAGTCCTAATACCATACTGATCATGACAGTGAGTGTAGTATATTTTATAGTACAGTAGTAATTTTTACATTTGCCAATAAAATAAAACACACAATTTCAGCACTTAACATGTATGCATTGTATACTTCTGGGACTTAATTATGTACACAATGTATACTTCCAGCACTTACTATGTATGCAATGTATACAGTACTTCTGGGACTTCTCATGTATGCAGTGCATACTTGGCACATACTTTGTATCCAATGAATACTTCTTGCACTTTCCACATAGGTTGTATGTATTTCTAACACTTCCATGGGTGCAGTATGTACTTCAGGTACTTACTATGTTTCTAGGATGCACTACGTAAACTTTTAATGTGCGCCCCAATGCTTCTAGGAAAGTGTGACTACTGGATGGAGGGGCTGCTGTTGGACAAGGCGGAGGATGAAGCCCGTGCTGCTGCTGCTGCTGCTGCTGCTGCCGCTTCTCAAGGGACACAAGAAGAGCAACCTGCACTGGAAATGCATGTCTTGGGAGATCCACAACGATGATCTGATTCATGTAAAATTACCTTGGAAAATCTGTAAATTAAATTTACTTGCCTCTATATTGAAGTCACATCCATACTGTAGTCTACTGCATATTTCAGTTTATTGAAAGATTGTCTTTCATCCCAAGTAACAAACAACCCATCTGCCTCCAGTCCCCAGCTGTGGTTACCTTGTACTTACTTCATGACACACCTTAGCACAGCAAGCTTTATAGAGACTCCTCCTTGAATGATGTACTACAACCAGGCACCAATACAGCCTCTCCAAGCTATCTTTGCTAACACTGTCTTACACCTCTACCAGACATAGTCATCTTTATGGAAGAGACACCTTCAGACAAGCACTGCATTTACTACTGGTCAGTTATGATTAGTTCAATAAAAGCTGGACAAATGTGAGTCTGAATCTCTCCATAAAGATATGTTGTTGTAATATCTATATACTGTACTGGTGATTTTTTATAGGAAAAATGCTATTGCACAGCATATTATATAATGTACATTGTGAAATGAAATATTCATAATAACAAATATGAGAACTTCAAGATCTCAATACAGCCAACTTATAAAACTGTGATTTTCATTACAAGCAATTAACATAAATTGCCCATGTAAGTAAAAGAAGAAAGAAATGATAGCGACTGTTAAGAACCCTTTTTACCTTTAAGTGGGGTATACAGTATTAAGATTTGACATTTACTGTACAACCGAGTTCATTATTCTGGAATTCCGTCATCAAAATGTATCATCAAACAAGACTGGGACTCCCACTATCCCGCCTACTATGCATACTGTCTGGAAAACTTGGATCAGTAAGTCAGTTTTATAAACCCATTATCACCAGGAGTCAATATTTTCATAGAAAACTATATGCACAATATTGGACAAGTGTAGTTAGTTTTATTGGTGTAAATGATAAAGGGATAAGATTAATCAATTTTCAAAGAACAGACTAAATATTATTCAGCAAATACAGAATGTGTCTTTTTCTACTTATGTCTGAAAGTATAATAATTATTATTATTATTATTACTGTATTATTATTATTATTATTATTATTATTATAATAATTATTACTATTATTATTATTATTAATGTAAACAGATTTATCCTAAATACTGTACATGAGTGGGAAGACGTCACATAAATAATGAAATATTACTATTGTACACGAGTAAGCTCTGTATGAGGCAGCTGGCAGTAAATATAACAACTTTTTGTTCTAAAGCTGTCTGAGAAAATTTGCTTTTAATTATAATCATCAAACTTTCTCTCTGGGAATTTTAACTTCTGTACTGTATTTCCCTCCGCAAAATGCCATTATATCATAAAAAGTACTGTTAAGTTTTATGGTCATATCACATAAATCACTTGTCACTTCAGACTCATTCTAAAGCCATTAATGTATAACTTCTTATACACTGTATTGTGAAAAATAGCTTTTATATTTAAATACCTGTCTACTATTTGCCTTAAGTTTGTGTGTGTGTGTGTGTGTGTAAAACCATAACTCCCTATTTACTTTTAGCCTGTTGTATTCAAAATTGTTCTTGTGCTCCCAAGAGAACAGTTATGATGCTGTAACAACAGGAATACTTAAATTATTCAGTAGCAAAGAGTGTTACAGAAGTACCAGAATATCTACAGTTTAATGATTTTTAGCTACGATTGCAGTGAATTACTGTAATGACAAACTTCCCAAATGATTCTTGTGTAATATTGTAGATTCAGGTATACTTTGAGTCATTCAAGCTGTAATCAACTAGGCTGACTCCTTTGTCCCTCAAGCTTAAAATAGTGAGAAAGTTTGACTGTTATGTTTGGTATACATTAATCCTGTAGTTGTCCCTGTTCATTGTAACAAATTTGGGGTATATCAAAGGCAATGCTTTACTTCAGAGGTGGTGTTTGTGATGATGGAAGAAAGTGCTGTACCTTAAAAGTTCTGCCACGAGGGAACATTATGGTTTAATGCTGTACATGGTGCCAAGACCCATCATAACTTAATGGTGGCAACAAGATCCTACCCTGTGGAAAGGTGATACAGTATACAACTTTGCATAAAGTGCTAATGTTGTCATTAAGGAATGTTATGGTATGTCATACAGTTGGTGCCACAACTCATCATGAATGTTTAAAGATCTGAATATGGTGTCAAAATTAACCAGGAGGATGGGGTTATGTACTATGATCTAACCTTACAGGGTTGGATATTCATGATGGCACAATGACCCACAGAGTTGTAGATTGGTCATGGCACTATGAGCCACAGAGTTGTAGTTACAGCAAAGTGGTGGTACAAGGGCCTACCCTGGTGAAGGGTTACAGTAGTGTTGGTAAAATCACCTCCCCTGAAAAAGAGCTAAAGTTGTATATCCCAGGGACAAAGCCACAGCTTTCTATATGGAAGCAATACAATATATTTAGATGTGACATGACCTGTCACCAGGATATGTTGTAGTATATCCAAGAGACTGAAACAAGCTTCTATTGGGAAAAGATATGGTATATTCTGACATGCCTAGTCATAAGGATATTCTATGGTATATCCCAGCGATGGCTATGTACTAGTCTGCCATTTTCCATTATTAATAATTACTGTTTTAATCACCATGAATTTACAAATTATCCTGTCCATGTAAATTGGGTACCACTTAACACAAGACTCATATATGCACAATTCATAATTTTATCATTTAATTCATGATGTGAATGCGTACTACCAAGTATCACACCTTATTCATGATGCATTTTCATTTATATGTACTGTGTCCAGTTATGTAAGAAATTATAAAAATGGAGGGAGCTTTATTATGCTATACTGTATTATTAATTAGGAACCAAAATAGGCTTAGCAGATTATTTAACCTTTAAGACATATTAGAGCTCCCTCCTCGTTACCTTTGTTGTACATATATATATTTTTTTCAGGCTTGTTCTAGCTCTGCATGTATATATATGACAGTGCTAAAATACTCATATATACTGTTGATAAATATTATAATACTGTTAAGTACCAGTTTAGCTACAACTAGAAGACATGGCATATAGTAACCTGGTGCTATTATTTGAGTTAAATCTATTTGGGAAATTTGTTAAATCATCTAAATTTACCACTGTTATATAATTCATGATAGGTTTAACATAAATTACAAGGCTATATTCTGTCCAAAATAGATGATGTAGCTTTTTATATACATTTGTTTTTCAAGAAATCTTTGCACTTTATCTAATCAATATTGGTAAAGTCTATCAATGAGCACAATTATAAACAAGGTAAACCTAAGTCACCAGGATTTGTTGCTTGATCTTGCAACGTTCTCATCTGTAATAACTTGCATATGCATTCAAAATACATCTGCACAATATTTGTGCTTGTTAATGCTTACATTTCTACACAAAGTTTGCAATAAACATTGCTCAACAATTTTTTTAATTGCATCCTTAAAGTGTATGAAAACACAACAAGCTTGTAGCACAAGTTAACGAACTCTACTGACTGAGAAACAAATTTTTGTTTCCTCAGTTATTTATCCACTTATGCAGGGTGGCCTCACTTATCGCAAAGGTAACAGGCATGAAACTCGTTGCGAATATCGAAATTGTGAATAGCCGAGCAATTTCTCCCATAAGAAATAATGTAAATAGGAGGGATACGGGCATCGTGGTGGTCACGGCTGTAAGATTTTAACACTTGTTTTACTCAATACATATAGAACATAAAATAAATAAAGAAACAAGGGCATAATATCAAACAAACACTTTGAGTTTATTAGGCATATTGTATACAGTTTACAAGTACAATATACTTTACATGTTTGAGTGTGTAAGTGTTTGAATGTTTATGTACGTAGGTGTGTGAGGTAAGTTTTAAACGTAGACTGTTAATTTACCTTTGATGTGCTGTGTTGCTTGCTTGCTGAAGTTGGCATTAGGGGAGAGGAGGCTGGGGTCGTCAGCCACCTCACTCTCATCATCACTGCCAGGGTCGTCAGCCACCTCACTCTCATTGTCGCTGTCAATTTGCACTGAAAGCTGTTGTTCTCCACTGGTTGAAGGCTGTGGTTCACTTGTTGAAGGCTGTGGTTTTACACTTGTCTTGAACAGCTGCCTAAAAGCTGTGTTCTGTTTGGATGTATGTGGGGTGGTTGGCGCACTGGGGGTTGAAGGTTTGGCCATAATAAATGCATCAAGAGTCATTTGTTATGCATTCTTCCTCTTCTCCTCAAGCACCTCAAAGTATGCTCTATATCTTTCTTGACATTGAGGATGATAGTGCAACTTCGGTCAACATTAGGGTCCATTTCTAATGCCATATTAATCGCCATCTCAAATGAAAAAATCATCTTCCTTGGGTTCCATACAGTGAGGTGTTGTGTTGGAGTTTCATCTGCATCTTCTCCTGTTGCAAGTGGCATTTCTTCCTTTCTATGTCCAATGTAACTGCCACACGTGATCTCTTAGCAATATTGCTGGGAGTTTTAGTAGCTGGTAGCTCAGGCATTGCGAGATAACACAAAACACACGCCAGCACGTGTGAGACTGAGGCGAGTGGGAGAGTATGGCGGAGGAATACGTACACATGTACACACGCTGTCCTACGCCACGGTTGAGGCGCACGGTTCAAAATTTTTGCTCGTAAGAATTTACGAATAAACGGAGCAACCCTTGCGAATAGTGGAAATGGGTAACAATAAACTGATTGCGGATAAACGACGTTACAAATACCGAGGCTATGAATAACGGGGTTTGCCTGTACAGTATACTGTATACTGTACAGACACACACAACTGCACTTCACACATTAGTTCTCACTACTGTAAAAACTGTTTTCTCACATTCCACAACAAGGTCCCAGATATGGTTTTACCTGTGTTGCTTCACACCAGCTGACAGTATTATACAACCAAACTGGCTTTATTGAATAAAATGCAGTCTTTTGAGTGATCAAGACAAAGATACTGAATACAGTAGGTGATACAGTACAGCTACTCCTCAACTTATGACCTACAACCACCCGCACTTACGACCTGCCTCAGTTGGCATGACCACCCACACATACGACCGCTGCAGTATGGTACCAAATTTTTTTTCAAATGACGCACCTATTTTCTAGACCGAAACGTTTCAGTCTCGTACGAGAGCGTCGCGTGGCTTGGGTCGCCTTGTGGCTACAGCACCCACGCCGTAGAGCACTTAGTTGGTGTTTGGCTGTCGTTGTTTCCACAATTGATCATGCAGTGTATTGACATTATTTTCGTATCTAATTCACTTTAGAATGACTGGAAAGCGTAGAAGTGAGAGTGCTGGTGGTGCTCAGAAGAAAAGGGGACAGTTAATTACTTTTGAGACAAAACTGAAGATAATAATCCAGTATGAAAATGAAAAACTGTAGCAACCATTTCACGCGACCTAGGCTTCTCGTACTCGACCATATCTACTATTTTGAAGGACAAGGACCATATTCGTGAGCTAGTGAAAGAATCAGCACCTATAAAGGGAACTATAATAATGAAGAAAAGACAAGGTCCCATTCATGAGATGGAAAAATTACTTGTGATATGGATGGAAGACCCGATACAAAAGCGTGTACCCTTAAATCTTCTAACCCTGCAGGCTAAGGCAAGAAGCCTTTTCGAAAGCCTGAAGGAGCAGGCGGGAGATGAGTGCGACCAAACCTTCACAGCAAGTCATGGGTGGTTTCAAAGATTTAAGAACCGCTACAGTTTACATAATGTAAAGGTGAGTGGAGAGGCAGCTAGTGCTGATGTTGGTGCTGCTGAAGCTTTTAAGGAGGAGCCAGATCGTGTCATCGTGGAGGGAAATTATTTGCCTAAGCAAATATCAATGTGGATGAAACTGGATTATTATGGAAGCGCATGCCTGAACAGACATACATCCACAAAGAGGTGAAAACAATGCCAGGATTCAAGGCATTCAAGGACCGAATTACACTTCTATTTGGGAGGAATGTAGCCGGTTTCAAGATAAAGCCCTTCATGATCTATTATTCAGAGAACCCAAGGGCTTTTAAACATGTCAGCAAGCACACACTGGCAGTGTTTTATCAAAGTAACAAGAAAGCCTGGATAACCCTAGTGCTGTTTGAGGATTGGTTCATGACTTGGTTCATTCCACGAGCCAAGAAGTATTGTCTGCAACAAGGGATTACATTCAAGGTTTTGTTAATTTTGGATAATGCTCCGGGAGACCCACCACACCTGGACGACATGCACCCTGATGTTAAGGTAATCTACATTCCACCTAACACTACCTCTGTCATCCAACCCATGGATCAAGGTGCTATTGCAGCTTTTAAAGCTAATTATCTATGTACGACCTTCGCTCAGGCTGTTGCTGCTACTGAAGGTAAGAAAACGCTCGGAGAGTTTTGGAAGGACTACAACATTTTGAAATGTATAAAGAACATTAGTGCAGCATGGGACGAGGTTACAGGACAGTGCATGAATAGAATATGGAAGAAAGTCCTGAAAAGATATGTTTCAGAGGATTTAATGAAGATGAAGTAATTTCTGATATTAGTAACAAGATAATGGAGTTGGGTAAACAGCTTGAGTTACAAATTGATAATGAAGATGTTGAACAGTTGGTTGAAAGTGTAGCAGAAGAGCTAAGTAACGAGGATCTTATCGAACTGGAAGCACAGAAAGCAGAGTCTGAATGTAGAAGAAGAACCTGCACCCCTCAAAAATTTTTCAGTGAAGCAAATGGCAGAGGCATTTGCTACAATTAATAAGGGGATGCAAATGTTTGACGGAATGGATCAAAATGTTGAGAGTTTTGCCAAAGTTGACAGAATGGTCCAAGATGCACATGCTTGCTACAGGGAGATTTATAATGAAAAGAAAGAGCAAACTGTGCAGTCTAAATTGGACATCTATTTTAAGAAGTCCCCCATTGCTGTCTCCTCATGCCCCACCAGGGCTGCCTCTTCACTCCCTAAAGATGATCCAATACCTTCAACCAGCAAGTTTCCCCTGTACATAAACCTTTCTGAAGAAAGCGACATTGATGACCCACCCAGCTCTGTCTCCTCCTCTGCTTCATCCAATTAATATAGTCTCCATGTATACCTGTAAATAGAAAATTATGGGGGCCCCGTGTGCATTCAGCTGACTACATTAAAGGTAAGTGCACAGTAACACTGTATCCATTCTTCATTATTGATTACTTTTACTGTACTGTATTTCATTTTAGATTTTATATATATTATTTTTTGCATTTTCGACTTGCGACCATTTCGACTTACGACCTGGATTTGGGTCCCTAACCCCGTTGTAGGTCGGGGAGTAGCTGTACCAGTATATACAAATGAAAGGTAAAGTGATCACAAACAATATCTTTTTAGAAAATTCATTCATTTTTAAAATAATTATTTATTAGATTACTCAGAAAGAAGTATACAGTAATGTACAGTACGAGCATTTTATCAATATCACTCTCAACAATGTATAAACTAAAAAAAATTCCGTAAAATAAAATAATGATGCCATTAAAAACATATAATTAATATTCTCTATGTTCACAATTTTTTCTAATATCTAACATTGGTAAACAGTACAGAAGTGCACATATGTACTTTTGAAAACAGCATATTTTATAAATTTTCCTAAATTATACAGTATTAAGAAAAATAATTTAAGAATAGCAATTACCCCCAAAAATGTACAAGAGCCCTATTAATAGGTTATCAAGAACTCTGTACATGCAAGAAAAAATTATTTATTCTTAACTATAATGCGGCAAATAAGACCAGCACCCATAGTTCGGAAGTCATCAAGGATGGCCTCTATGTTGGGCACCTGCTTGACAGTCTTCACACCCACTAGCTGATGTCCCTCCAAACTACCCACCTGCAAAGGTTTTACTCCATTAATACAAAAATTACTGTCAACTCTTATTACAACTACCATCTATTACAACTACTATCATCAACATTACATCTACTATCATCTACATTACAACTACCATCACCTACATTACAACTACTGTACTATCATCACTATAACAACTACTATCATCTCTTTTACAACTATCATCTACATTACAACTACGGTACAGTACAGTAGGCCTTTCAAATTCGCGGGGATTAGGTTCTCAAAATGGTCACGAATTGCAAAATTTGCGAATACTATTTGCTGACCGAGGGGGGGGGGTTACATTTTTACATGTGTACAAAGAAATGTATATTCCCTTTATGTATGCCCTTAGGACAATTATTTCTTTTACCTTTATTGTATATACTGTATGTGTGTAAACACACACATGCAAAACACATACAAATAAATAATGGTGGGAAAAATACTCTCACATATAATCAGAAACAAATTTATTAAAAAGGTGACAGTCTACCCTCAAGTCGTGCTTTATTAATAAAGTAATAAAGCACGGACTTGAGGGTAGATTGTCACATTTTTAATAAATTTGTTTCTGAGTGTATATATGTATTGTATTGTATATATGTGTGTGTGTGTGTGTGTGTAGACACACACACATATTTACAAGAGAGGTAAAGAAAATTACTGTCTCAAAAATGAATGGCTCCCTGTCCCAACCGCAAAAATGCCGGCAACTTTAAAACTACCAGCAGACATTCCTGGGTACATCCAGGGTGTCATCCGCGAATAATAGAGAACTGCAAAATAAAAATCCGTGAATTTGGGGGGCCCCCTGAACTATCATCTCTATTACAACTACTGAGCAGCATTATTAACTCCAATACAACTATGTAAGCATGCACCGAGCCCAGGCTTATTGAACCACATTATAACATATGTAGTTAATAATGTGTTAGTGCCCTGGTATAATTTTACTCTATGACATATAAATAAGCACCATATTTTACAGCATATATGAAGAACTTTTTTGTCTGAAAAATTACTAACAAATCGGCCCGCGTCTTATATGTGAAGTTGCTGTCTCCCAAAGGCTAATGAATCCTCAAGTAACTGTCTTCATGATGCTAAATTCTACCTAGCCCAACTCTAGAATTAAAAATATGTTATTCCTTACTTAAACACATTAATATTACTTTTAGTTAATTAAAAAAAAATATATATTAATAATAATTATTGTAAATATAAAAGCTGGATTTATAACTACTGATGATGATAACTTGAAACAATTAACATCCATACAGCAGGCACCCAACTCTTCAGAGCTAAGCAGTACCCAATTCTGAAATCTTACAAGCATTACTATCTATTAATGTCCTAGCTGCAACATTTATCTTTAAATTTATAAATTCCAGATACAAATTAAGATTTACAGACACTGTAATTTTCTGTTCACATTTGCATTTGTTAACATCGCTGGTGGCATTGTTGTCAAGTTAACACTTGTTACTGTAGCCACCAGCCTACCACGACAAACTCAGAGGTGTTATGGGTATTTTTAACTTGTAATTTCAGGTAGATATACAGTATATGAAAACTATTTTTTTTACTAAATTACATGCACACACAATCCTAAATACATACAGTGGGGTATGCTATAACGAATGGATTCTACTACGAATATTCCTATAACGAACGAAATTCCTACAACGAACATTTTTTTATTTTTTTTTTACTAATTTATTGTTTTTTTATTACAAGTATTAATGATATTCTTTATTTCAGGGGTTTAGATGCATATTTATGCACTTTTTTAAATTTTTACAATTTTATATTATATTTTTCAGTGTTAAGTGGTTGTATTTGGGGGCCTGGAATGGATTAATCCTATAACGAACGAATGCTATAACGAACAAGGTTCTAGAACCAATTAGATTCGTTATAGTATACCCCACTGTATTAAGAAAAAAAAAGGAAAAGAAATAATCATCATACAGTTAAATACATAAAGGGCACAAACAATTTTTTGCTCACGAGAGTTAGCAAGCTGAGCAAGGGAGCGGGAGGAGGAAACAGTGGACGGGAGTGTTGAGGGCAAGCAGCCATCATCTATGTAAATTGAAGTTGCATTAAACATTCTTATCCTTAATGGTTTTAGCGTCATTTTTTTCATCTAGATTGTATACAAATGTTGTTTGAATTCGCATATTTAATAAATACTGTAACATAATAAAGGGGCAGTAGGTGGTATGGTGTAAACGCAGGGAAGGAGGTACAGCAAGTTGTGAGTTTGCTTCAGCCTTTCGACTTACCATTGTAGACTGTTATTTTACATCTGCGATAATATTCCTTACATTTTTGTTATATTTTCACTTGTTTTTCAGTACAGTGTTTTATATTAGTTTTATACTGTATTTGTGTTAGTAATATAAGACTTGTCACTATAGCCACATCCCCGTAGCCCTCTCCCTACCACTCCAAGACGAGCTATGTTATGGTTATTTTTTAACTCATAATTTCAGGTAGATACACATAATTTTCTTCATGTTTTTTATTGTTACATGCACACTTAATCTTACATCCAGAATGTGCAAAAAAAAAATAATAAAAAACAATTACTATAGTATAATTATTATCATGGGATCAAAAACATAAAAGTGAATAAACTTTCTTTGTGTAATAAGAGTTCATGCTGAGCAAGGGAGGGGTGAGAATAAGATCTCAGCTGTTTTGAGCTGTCTCCCGTATGGAGTGAAATGACTGACAAATCGAGTTGAACCATCGAAGCTGCCGAACAATTGGATCCTGAACTACTGAGGTTCAACCTGCACTATCATCTACATTACAAAACTACTAACATCCTCAGTATTTTATTACCAACTTAATTATAATTACTAGCAAGGTTAATAGTGTGCAGAAACAAGGGCACTGTTGGTGAGCAGTGCAAGAGAAATGACCATGGTAATGTAGCTGTTGATAATGAAGCAATCAAGGATGCTTAGAGAAAATACTACAATCAACTCCTAAATGATAAGTACAAATAGGCCAGGGAGAGCCTAGAAGCAGCAGAAAACCATGCCCAAGGATTGAAAGAAAATAGTTGGAATAGTTGCAGAAATACTGAAAGCATCAGATGTTGGCATTTCAATGGTGACCAAACTGATTACTGCATTTATGATGTAATGTACAGTACTGTTCCAGATGACTGGCAGACAACTGTGATTGTAAATACTTACAAGGGTAAAGGTGATGCTCTTGAATGTGGGAACTACAGGGGCCTGAGCTGTTAGATCAGGTTATATGCAAGTAAATCACTGTAGATGCACGTGATCAGGTATATGCTGATAACCACAAGGAAAGAAGAAAACAGGAAGTTCATTCATTACAGGGGTGAGTACAGACGAATATATATATATATATATATATATATATATATATATATATATATATATATATATATATATATATATATATATATATATATATATATATATATATATATATATATATATATATATATATATATATATATATATATATATATATATATATATATATATATATATATATATATATATATATATATATATATATATATATATATATATATATATATATATATATATATATATATATATATATATATATATATATATATATATATATATATCACACACACACATCACACTCTCTCTCCCTCACCATGAACGGTTACGAGTTTGTTAACGTGGCGCGGATACGTCCGGACACGCCGACCTGCCCCAAGAAACTAAACCTCCTAGTTCTCCAGAAGTTTTTCGAAGCTAATGGGATCGTGGGGGTCACCAAGGTGGAACGTCTAAAGCTCCATGGTGACATCAAGATCACCTTCGCCGAGAAGGGCATGCCCGTACAGCTCGCGGAGATCCCAGACATCAACGGCATTCCATTTAAAATGATTGCCTACATGTGGGACAACCTGAAGCTGGGAGTAATCTCCCACGCCGAAATTGCCCACATGGACCAAGCAGAGCTGAGTGAGCTCCTCAAGGGGCAACTTCCAAGTTGTGAAGAAGCTGTCCGACACCACTGCCCTCATCGGACACCACTCCACCTTACCCAAGGAAGCTCAACTGGCGTGGGTAACTGTGCCAGTCAAGCCCTACTGCAGACCGAAACGGTGTTACAAATGCCAGCACTACGGACACACTGTAAACAAGTGTGAGGCGCAGGAGGACACCTGTTCCATGTGTAGCAGCCCCGGACACCGCTACATGGTCTGCCCCAACACAGTAAAAATAATGCGCTGCTTGTGGTGGCCCACGCTCCTCCGCCGATCGGACCTGCCCGAAATGGAAGGAGGAATGCAGGATAGCCAAGGCTCGTCTCGACAAGAAACTGAGCTACAAAGAGGCCCTCCTTGCTGTACGCTCCCAAGACAAGAAAAAAACAGCAGAAAAGAAAAACCAAGAAAAGAAAACTCAAGAGAAGACGCCCACCACACAGAACCAAGAACACCACGAGGCCCGTGGAGCTGAAGCCCACGTGGTCAACCCCACCGTCTCCGACTTCTTCCACATCTATGAGGACTTAAAACACGAGGAAGACGAACAACAAGACCCAAACACAAATGAATGGACACTTCAAGAGAGCAAGAAGAGGAGGAGAGGGAGAAGAAAATCGACATCAAGCTAAGAAGACCAAGACATTTCCTCCACACAAGAAACCAACACACACAATCAAGCCGACCAAGCACGGAAAATCCATTGCCCAACCCAACACGCACCTGACGCTTGACCTGACGCTAGCCTGGCTCTGTCTTGTCGCCTCCCTGCCGCGTCCGGGCGAGTTGCTGCTGCCTCCATCTTATACTCCCTCACGCAAGCGGTGTTTAGCCACTGCATCTATTCTCTCCTCCTAAAATTCATTTCAATCCTCCCTTTATTCTTCCCCTGAACCTCCTTCCCCACTGTCACTAGAATTTAATCTATTCTATTCTCGTGATCTCCCTTCTTCTACCTGAGCCCCGCAACAAGCAACACCTCCTCTGAGCAAGCTCCTCACCAACCAGCTCTCTCTACTCCACGCTTCTAACCACGCAGCAACTTCCCAGCACCAAACTGCACTGTGCATCCAATACAATATATATATATATATATATATATATATATATATATATATATATATATATATATATATATATATATATATATATATATATATATATATATATATATATATATATATATATATATATATTATTAAAGGCAAAATTTCCATCACCACAACAAAAATAGCTCATCTGACCTTTAGTTCCTGTGGTTCGAGAGCTTGGGGCTTCCATATGACACCAATGAACTGGCCTCCGTGCTCATCATGAAAGAACAGTGCCAAGTGACTGAATGTCTCCTGGAAAATTGTAAATTCAATATTGTATAAATACAGCTATAAAATTAATAACAGGAGAGTAAGCTTGATGAAAGGTAATCTATATACCGGGGTATTCCTCTTATATAAAACTAACACATCAATATTATCTTCTTCCTCAAGGCCATTTCCTACCATGTGACAGGAAGACCAGAATCAAGAACAATAATAAGGATGTTAAAATAATAGTGTTTGGAAACATGAGAAATGCATAATGCTTCTCCATGGTTAAACAGTATAGGCAGCAGTAACATTACAATAAATATCTACTGATTCATATAATTTTAACTGCACCTCTGTAATTCTTGTAATTTCAGTAAGACTTAGTGAATCTCCCCTACCTCATTAAGCTGGGAAAGCAGTTATATGATAAATACAAAAAACTGAATTAATAGCCTTTGTAAGATTCTCAACTAGTCACCTGACTTTCAGCACAGTATAAAGACACCACTGCAAAATTTCAAAAAATCCTTAATTTCTTAGCAAAATGTTGAGTTCTGAATTAGGGTATAATGCAATAACTATTTGTTTGAAAAATTGAAAGAATGACAGCCTGTCCTTCTGGAGCAAATTCTTAAACTATGAAATTGGGTTTCTGTTGTGTGGCGTGAAGCTATTAAAATTAAGCATTAGACTGCAACTATTGGAAAACTGACTTATTGCTGTGTGGGGAATAAACATGAAAAAAATACTTAAAATATATGTTCATATATAATTAATGTTATGCATGAAGAGTAAAAAAATTTTAATACAAATAATTTACTTACATTTGTTGAACCGTGATGGAGCCTTTAAATGAGCATGTGAGGGCTTAGCTACAGGGTGGAAGAGGGGGAGGGAAGAACTGGGGGATGGTAGGGTGCAGGATACCACTAACTCTCACTATCAGTGGCAAACATGCATCTTCCATGATGACAAAGGCAACTGAGAGCCCTTCTGAGGTGTGGGTAGTGAAAGGGTGTCTACTGGGATATTAGATAAATTTTATGAAAGATAAAACTGGCACACAATTGTAAAAAAATGACTCACAGTTTAAAGGTTAAAGACTATAAAAAAAATAAAAATAATAATGAAAAACAATACCCCAGGGAAAGAAAATATGGTCCACTCACCCTTAGTTCTTTTAAGTAAAGATGTGCAGCATCAAACATGACAATAGGCATAATCTCATCTGGACTACATTCATAAGGTGTGATATGCATCGCTGTGCATGACGTTTGGTCAAACGACTCCTCACAACGGCTCAGCTGCTTGACTTTCAGTCTGATACTAACGTCATAGTCCTCTGGTGAAGGTCGAAAAATCATCTGAAAAAAGGCATGAATTTTAAAAGTGCTACAAAGATCCAAGTACAGAACTATATTGAAAACTCCAATTTTCTAATTTTTTTCACATCGGGTGGATGGAAACGGAACCAAATACATTTAAATATTTTCCTTTCATACATTCTTGCAGCAAAAATAAAAGTGTTCTGCTATGGTATTACCCTTCCACAACACAGCCCCAAATGGTATATAAATAATATCAAAGATTGAAAGATCTATCAATGAACTCCTCTTCAGCTACAGGAGAAAAGTCTCTAGATCATCCTATTTAAAAGCCCTTATAAAGCTGAGTAAAAATTATCAAATGTTTGCAAGATGACTGTCCACCTTAAATGAAGATTTAAGAACACAATTAATGTTCTCACTGCTGGATTACCAAATATTCCCCAGGAGCTGAGGTGACACATTAACTGCACTTTAATTTCTAATTTCTATTTTAAAATTGATACATAATGGCTCGAACTGACTACTTTTGCATTGAGATGCTACAATATTATTTACTAAGTGCTTAAGATAGATCCTTTGGTAAGCACCAACGCTCTTGGGCAGTGACAACAATGGTGCATGAGAGATGGTGCTTACTGGCAACATTGTTAGGGAGGGCAGGACCAATCAGCTTTTACCGCTCTGTAAAAAAGAGACTGAGAATACACTATGGTGCAATAGTTCATCTGGGATCGAGTGTGTGATTTTGAAGGGAAAATTAATTATTTTTCGAGAATGTTTTATTAACCAGGAACCAAATGAATTTAAATAATATGGGAATTATGGTGAAATTGCCTTCTGTTATAAAGGGATCGCAGGCTGATGAGTGCGGGAGGTGTGTTGTCCTCTACTCTCTCCTCCTCTGCCACCTCCTCTCTTTGGCTATGCACCCAAATGTAGTTTTGTACAGTATCTAAATATAAGTCATACAGTATTTTATTCCTATAATTCATTTATCTTAATTGATTTCATAACATATTCCTATAATAATAATAATACTGTAATTGACTTTTGGGAACTACTCGGTTATTTCGTTCTGAATCTAAAACATTTAATTTACAAAAAAAAAAAAAAAATCATATACAAGTAAATTAAGCCGAAATCCGAATAATAATAATCTAAATTAACGGGGGTACAGTGTATGTAGAAGTGAACAAGTAATGGAGGTAGCAACTTCAGCCAGAAAATATGCTGGCATTGTGTAAATTTTTCTATTTAGGAATTATACTATACAGGATCTACAAACACCATTCTCCTATAGCAATGTTGGAACTTACAACTTGAAGTATACTGTACAGGATATCATACAATTCATACCTTGGTATTCACATTATTACACAAGAGTGTGGTATTCAGATGGCCAAGGGCAGCTTCAGCTAACTGTTTACAGCGATATGTGATCTGTACTGATGGCGAGTTCTTTGTCCATGTTGAAGCTAGTTTATATCGACGGTCCAAGTCAGCAGATGATTCAGTATTTGACACAGCACGTAACTCATAGGGAGTGGCAAGAAACATGTGTGGAAGGCTTGAACGCTGGGAAATGAAGCGGCGATTGAGCTCTGCAATATCTTCCACTATGGAAAGGAGATCATTCTTACTAGTAAGAGTTAAAAAAAAAATTGTATCTTACACTTATTTCCAATATCACAGAATAGTGTACAGTATATATTAGTTTAAATATATAGTCTGGTTCCCTAACATTATGCTATAACTGTTCCTTCCAAAACAGACTAACAGTTTAATATAAATAAATATAAAAACATAATTCTTTCCAACATACCTGTAAAAGCTTCATTAAGGTTCACAAGAAATGGTGTGGTCTTCCAGTCAGTGTGCACCAGAAGGTGAAGAAATCTCAGAAAAGCTACATGAGGTGTGTGGGGAGGCATATAGGGCGCTGGACTCAAATATAGATATGCCACTAACAGTTCCACTGCTATATGAGGAAGGTGCGGCAGAAGCAGCTGAGATCCCACCCACCGCTTACATAAGCGGACTCCACCGCTAAAGCTTGGGTGATCTGCCTGAATACTGAATAGACAAAAAATATTATATTAAAACCATGGCAATGGAACACTAATGGAAAGTTTGAAAAACATTTTATTTGGTCCATTAATAACATGGATAGGGAGAACCATTAATCCCTGCCACTTTTAATATTTTATTTAGCTAACGCCAGATGATTTTTTCAGCTCAGAGGAGATCCCGTACACAAGGGGTTAAGAGAAGGATTATAACTCAGATGACTCACAATGATCAAGGAGAAGATGAGAGAAAGAATCTACACAAATGTGCAGATAATGGAATGTGAAAAGTCTGCAATAAATAAGGATAAACATACAGCCAATGCTGTCTGGTTACAAAGACTTTCCCTTTTACTGAGGCAAAATACTGACACCATCTTCATTGCCTAAAACATATGAAATATCACTCAATAAGATCTTTTTTGAAGATACATTCAATTCTCTCCACACTCAATTGCAACTTTGATAATAATGAAAGAATTATATAATGAAGGGTACCCAAGTCCATTGCACAAAAACTTGGGTACCCTTCATTGTTTGTTGATCATTGTTTTAAAAGGGCTAAAAAATCCTTTCACTCTACTCAATCCATGCAAATTCCTACATTTAAGAATATTTTGACTCTACCTTATTGCAATGAATTTGTCCCGTTAGTTCAGTCCCTTAAATTATTAAATATTAATGTTGTTTTTAAGTATGACGCGACTATTACTAATATATTAATGAAGAATAGCCCAACCTTGAATGTAAATGAAAGTGTTTACTGCATTCCATGTAGCAATTGTAATGAAAATTATGTAGGACAGGCTGGGCAGGCATTGCAACTCTGAATTAAACAGCACAAGTAAAATATTAGAACAGCATCTGAAAGCAGTGCACTGTTCGTTCATGTTAGGAACAATAATCATCCCATAGATTGGGAAAACAGCTTAGAAGTTTATAAATCATCATGTGTCACAGAAAGACTTCTGGTTGAAGCAAGTTTGATTAGAGAATTGAATTCTATAAACCTTAGTGATGGTCAGTACAAAACTAATAATATGTTACACAAATTTATTTGTCAGTGGCCCAAGGTTAAAAATGCTTTGAAAGCATTCGAGTTAGATGTAGGATAGATGATTAGTGGGTCCCATATTTTTTACCTGACTTAACATGACTAGTTACGTCGACCTTTCTTTTAAGCTCCTTTGTGTGTGTGGTGATGTTGGTGTGCGGATTAGTGGATGTCATGTTTATGACCTGACCTCATGCTTAGGAAGGTCACCCTGTGTACTTAAGCCTCTCTCGGTCCTTGTAATTCAGTTGCCTCTGAAGATGTCTTGAAAAAAGACGAAAGCTAAGGTGCTCCATTGTTTCCCTTTTTCCTGTGTGATTTTATCAAGATATATATGTATATATATTTCATGTAGATCCACAATGGAAATGTGGATAAGATAAATCTTGATAAAATTACACAGGGAAAAGAGAAACAATGGAGAACCTTGTCTTGAATAAAGACCATGTAAATTATATTTCCCCAGTCACTTCTATGACATTTTATAAGCAAAAAACAAAAACTCAATCTAAAGGACACAAATAAACAAATAAATACTTCACTAGACCTTCAGCGCCAACTGTCAAACATGTCACTGTCACCTACCCTTCCTCCCTCCAGGGTTTGGTGGTTTTAAGCTTACAGTTTTTATCTTATATAATATCACAGACTAATGTTAGGAGAATATAATTTGCAGTGCTGAAATCCTTGCAAGACAGTGAATAATTTGAATATAAATGTCATATATTTTACACAAGAGATAAAAACTTTAGTCCATTAGTAGATTTAATACTGTAAAAAAATTTCAATTGTATTTTTGGGTAGATTTACATAAATTTCTTCATTTATTTTTATTAATTTACATGCACACACCATACTAAAAGAAACATAAAAGAAATAAATGACCTAAGTGCAAACCTGTACTGTACATTTACAAAAATGATTAGGGTACTAAAGTTTTTGTCTAGTGCAAATTAAAACTTGTTTATATTCAAATTAATCACTCTCTTACAAGAATTACAGCAATGTAAATTATATTCTCCCTGGTCATCAAATTATAAGAGAAAAGCTTAGTCACTCTTAAGGACTGATAAATAAACACACAGACCTTTGGCACCAACTGTCAAACATATCACCTCACCTCCCCCCCTCCCCTCAATCTGCCCAGCCAGGGTTTTAGGCTTACAGTTTTTATCTTATTTAATATTACAGACTAAAGTTAGGAGAATATAATTTGCATAGCTGGAATCCTTGCAAGGCACAAGTCATCGACCCACAATTGGACCTGTGGGGCAACAGTCATCACTCAATATCACTTATGTTTTTAATGATATTTCAATTCCTTGGAGAACCCCTTTAGAGATCTGGTTAAAGCTAGAAGATACACAGATTTAAACTAATTAACCCCACATATCAAGACTAGCATAACCACCAAAAGAGATTGTCATAAAATATCTCCTGCTGTATACACAAAGAAACAATAAATCATGTAATTTAAACATGGATATGATATGTCATTTACTGCTGAGTTCAACACCCGACTAAGTGCTATACCTGGCTAGTGCTGTTGTGTATCTGGGAATGATCTCAATCTGCTTCTCCAGGTATGTAGCAGCACGTGTCTCTTGTTCCCGCCAGTCTCCCTCTGGCGTCTCTACTAGTCGCTGCAGGTAGATCTCTCGCAGGTAGCACACACGCACACGAAAAAAGTGGCCCTCCTACAAAATCAACTCTTGTTTTATGTGTTCCATGAGCCATTAATATGGTATATACAATAATGCTTGTCCTTTTCATGCAGGATTTTGATACAACAATAATAATGAACTGGCAATGAGGAATAAAAGTATACACCTGTATAACTAACCCCAATAAAGATATACCCTATGCTGTACAAAAGCAGGATGAGGGTAGGACACTTTTTTCTTTTTTTTTTCTCAATATGAAGCACACTCATTATGTAGACTCTTGATACAACAAATAAGTCTCATTAGGAAATCATATAAGTTGCATTTTATAAAAAAAGAAGAAAAAAAAGAACAAAACAACTAAAACTTATAGATATTTTCAGATAGCTGCACCTTGGTCACTTATGAAGACATTACTGTAGAAATAAAAAATGAAGTGTCCTTCTCCCACTAACAAAGTGCTTTGTACTGCCATAAGCACACCACACTACCACTTGTCTAAACTTTCCCATCCTTGACATTGACTTCGTGTTTTTTCTTGCCGATTCGTTTCCTACACTGTTGCATTATTACCCCTGCATTTCTTTCTCCTTTTTTTCCTAAATATTTCCTTCTTGTTTTAATATACTGTACAAAACCAGATCCCATTCTCTTCATTCTCTCCAATGAACATGAATGGCCCAAAAAATATCAAAGTTTAGAAAAACTGCTCAATTCTCCCTGTCATCAGTGGCCAATGTTGAAAAGCTAATCAGCTTGTCATGATGATAAGCTTCTAATATTTAGACAGTAATAGAAATTACCTAATGTTTCAAATTAACAGAAATCCATTAAGTACTTTTTCTGAGATTATAGTTAAGACACCAAAATATTACCGACTGACACACCAAACAAATGCTAACATACTAAACATATAATCCTCATTTGGTTGTGTAGATGGGAATAATAGATAACACAAAACAAACTAAGGCTTGAAGAGTGAAATCCAATTTTATGGATGAGATAACAGACCTGCAAGATGTACTGCCACAATTATTCCCCTAAAAAACCCCACAATTATCAGGGATCTTGGGGGCTGACTGGCAGGACACAATATCCACATGGACATTATTTATGCTGGGATCAAACTTCTTACTCATTCAAATCAGTATCTGAGAAATTTTGGAGACAGATAACCCCTTAAGAAATAACTAGAATCTTGTACATGATATCAACATGGCCAGTGGCCATTTAGTTTTACATATAGTTTTAGTGGAAGGGGAAGTTTCGTGAACTTGTCAGAAAGATTCCTCAACAACAAAGAAGTTTTTTTTTTAATAAATCCAACTGACAGTACCAAGGTGATATACATCCTGAATGAATCCTACAGACTTCAAACATTTACTAAAAAAGGTGTTAATAGGATAGCTTAGTGGCAGGAAATGAAATGAAGTTAGAGCATGAACATATGAACCTAGCTTAAGAGTTTCAACTCCTGATCTACAGCCTCTCTGGTGTACTGAGACAACCACCAGATCAAGTAATAGTTACTCATAGTAAAAGCATTGGCCACATGGATAATGAGCCCTCTTGCTAAACACTTAAGCCCACTGACAATGCTAGGCTCTGCCAGAGAGCACTGAAAGTCACAACATCTTGCAGGCCAATCATGATGACTTGTAGAACATAGAAAACAAAATCATACCCAAAGTATTTGGAGAAATTTGGGGAAGAGTACTGCTGTGACACCATCTTGTTTAAGCAGATCACACATCTTGCCCTGAAACTCAGTCTTAATAGCCTGGATTGCTTCCAGGTCATCTGGCCATTTTCCACTTATCTCCAAGAAGACAATTACTGCAAGGAAAATAGAGTAAATGTATAAACAAAAAGAAAACAAAGGCAAAATGAGGACACATCAATATACTTCAGCTTTTATTTGGAATGTAATGGTAAAATGACAAATAATGGACCAAAGTTAGAGGTTCTTACTATCCATAGCATAGTTAAAGGATCGACTCAGGCCTGCAAGTCCAGAAAACTGAAGGTGGTCATCACATGCTTCCACTATCTGAAGAAAAAAACATCATAAATAGGTCCCACACAGCGTTATTTAAGGTTATTCGTTAGCTTAATTTACGAAATATAAGACACTTTTTTGTCTGAAAAATGGCAAAAAAAAAAAATCAGCCTGCATCCTATATGTGAAGTTGCTGTTCCCTGAAGGCTAATGAATCTCCCAGTTGTGGTCTCCAGCAGGCTAAATTCTACCTAGCCCAACTCCAGAATTAAAAATGTGTTATAGCTTACTTAAAACACATTATTATTATTTATAATTAATTGAAAAAATATTAAAAATGTAAATATAAAAGCTGGACTGATAGCTAATGATGATGATAACCAGAGACGATTAACGTCTGTACGGCAGACACCCAACTCTTCAGAGCTGAAAAATAACCGTTTCTGAACTCTAACATGCATTACTGTCTATTAAGGTCATACCCATACCTGCAAACTTTTATATTTAAATCTACAAATACCTGATACATATGGAGATTTTGAGATAATTTTCTTCTCAAATGGAGGGTACGTCTAATACGCCCATGCGTCTTATTCATTTGAACCTCGATTTACGCGGTTCTCGTTTACGTGTTTGGTCATTTACGCGGTACCTTGCCAGAACCGGGAAGCCCGATTTACGCGGTGAATTTACTCATTTAAGTGGGTGAAGTATAATTTGTTTATTTACTGAAGATATTTGTTTTAGTTCATAAATTTCATACAAATTACCCGGCCAGATTATAATTTACATTGCTGGAATTCTTATAAGATTGTGATTATTTTAAATATAAACATCATGGAATTTGCATTAGACATACAAATTTTAGGTCTAATGTAAGAATTTTATTACAAAGAGCCAAAATTTTATCTTTTGTACAAAATATGACATTTATATTCAAAATATTCCTGGTCTTGCAAGGAATCCAGCAATGTCAATTATATTATCCTAACTTTAGTCTGAGGTATTATTTATTACTATACCTTAAAATCTAGTGGTTTTCCCCCAAACATTTCTCAGAGAGGGAGGAGCCAGCGAGCGTGGGAAGAGGGAGGGGGGGAAGTCGAGTCCATTATTTGAATGGACAGAAACCTGGCGACTGTATTTCTCTTAAATATTAATTGTGTGTGCATACCATCATAAAATTAAGATGTTATTTTTACTACAACTAGTTATTGTGTCGGTATTGTGTCAGGAAAAGTGGAGTTTGGGAGTCGGCCCAGTCTCTATTTCAATTAATCCCATATGTCCTGTTATTCCATTTACGCGTTTCTCGTTTTAAGCGCTACTCCGCGGGTTCAATTGACCACGTAAATTGGGGGACCACTGTATGCCATAAAATGTGGTACAACAGTGGTCCCTCAGTTAACAAACGGTTCGATCAACGAAATTTCTGTTAACGATTACCTTCCATAAGGATCTTTAATTAGGTTAACAAAATCCTTACGAACATCACGTTTTGTTGTGAGCATCAGCTGATCAGCTGATGGGCTAGTCTGCCAATTCAGTAATCTGTTCTATGTGTACATTCGTTTCCAGTGGAGTAATTATCAAGAAAGTTGTGGTCTTTAATATTTTTGCATTTTTTATATTAAAATTATTAGTAATTTTAACATTTAATTAACATATTGATAATATATGCAGTACAGGGAACTAGTTTTTTGTGCGCCCATCAGATGCTTGACTCAGCCACTAGGCGTTAGTTGGGCTTTGTTGACAGTGGAGTGAACATCTATTTTGTTGGTGTCTTGAATATTTTAGCATTTTTCATTGAAATTATTGGTCATTCTGAAATTTAGTTAACATATTGATAATATATAGCACAGTGCAGTGTTGATTTAAATAAAATAAGCTTGAATTACACCTAGTGAACTTAAAGTTTTATTGGTGAAATGATGGCATCAAGCATGGGTCCCCTGAAAGGTGATTTCTCCTCCACCCCCACTTCCTTCTCTTCTCCCTTCTCCTCCACCCACACTTCTAATTCCCATCATCATCAACAGCCAGGAACCTTCTACATACACACCTCAAACTAAGTGTACTTTACTGCATTTTTTTTACTTTGTATGTACTTTTCGGTGAGCTGGAACCAATTACCTAATATCCCGTTGAAACAATGGATTCGGTTAACGAACGACCCTCTGGAACGAATTGTGTTCGTTAACCGAGGGACCACTGTATCAATATTCATAACACATAAGAAAAAGTCATTAGGATATAGAGGCAATATCCTACCAGCACAGTAGGACAAAATCTTGTGTTTTGAGAATGATTCAAGATAATTAATTCTAAAACTTCCATAGCACTCTTAAAGGTTCAATATACACCAACCCGTCCACTCATTTGCAACGCCTTTGGTAGAGGGGGATACACCCGTGTGTGCCTGCTAACTTCAGAGGTCGACTGCACTGCTGCCACTTTTAAAGGCAAGTCAAGAGAGCGCAGCTTCCCAGAAAGAGAATCATATGCTTGAATAAAAGACACAGTGGCTTCCTCCCCAGTGGCATATCTGTAAAATAAAAATAAAAAAATCTAAAAGACAAGGCTTGATAATACAGGGTATTGATATAAATAGTAAGAATTAAGTGAAAGAAATTCTCCTGCTTTGTATCATCTATGAATCATAATTTCCCTTCCTCTGGCTTATAATGTTACCTTTACCTGTGCATTTATTTTGCAACTTCATTGTGCTTTTTGAAGAGTAACATTCCCTGCTGATATCCATTTACAAAAAATAAGTTTGTTTTACTGAATAACAGTGATGATAACGTAGATGTTGAGGTCGTAAGATACATGTTATAAGCAGAGAAATAAGAGACAGTAACAGTTGGCCAATAATGATTACAAAAAAGTGAGAAAAAATGGATTGCTGTATATACCTCTAGCTCTAGGTACTCGGCTTGTTTATCACCAACTTACTCATAATCCATTCCAAAATGAGGATGATGAAGAATACGCTCCAGTTGTTTATCAATACAATGCAAATTTTTTTCTGTCACTTTATAATGACGATTCAAAAGGTATTTGCAAATATTCCCCGGAATTAAACGCCGCTCCCCCATAGACAGTTTTGGTTCACCCCAAAGGACAGCCTCATGGAAGCTACCATCTTGGAATCTACGGAGAGAACACTTTTCTCCCCAGAAAGTTTTGAACTTTTCCACTTCAGGATCATCTGCTGGTGGGCCCTGGAATACAATGATTCATGTATCCATAAACATTAAATTACACGTTATTAAATTTATGTAAGAAAAACTATAGACTAAGGTTATAATGTAGCAGCACTAAACACCATAGAGTACAGTATATCAAAGAACTTTGTCTGGAGATAATAATTCCTTACAAAATGGGTCAGACTGTTAGGCTGACTGGTAAAAAATTACTCCCATGGAACATATAAGAAGGGGATGTGAAGTGAACTAGAAGCAAAGTTTTATTGTTTCACATAAAAGGATAGTCTCAGTGAAATGTTAGTCTGGGTGATAAAATATTCCCAGATCTTAACTGAGCTTAGACCATGCTGTGGACTGTACAGTATGTATGTTCAAAACCCAGGCAAACCTTAGGCATTAACTCCTTCACTACAGGGATGCCACTTTTACTATTTTATTTGGCTAATGCAAGACGATTATTTCTAGCACAACTCAAAACAATGGATGAAAGTGAGATAGAACTAAGGTTAAGGCTGAGCCTGAAGAGACTGATGCAATGTATAAAGCTTGTACAGTATGATGTCACAAGTCAACACCCTACAGTAGAAACCTTTGCTTCAAAATATCCATTGCTAGGTGGATAAGGATGTAATGGGAAGATTTTAATAATCACACAATCAGCTCTTGCCACTACTATTTATGGTTTGCCTGGGTTTTCAATCCACAAAATCATGGGGAACTACACATGAGTCACCTGGTCAAGTGCTTGTCATAAAATATAACTATACTTGGGACCAATTTCAATAATAATAAAAAAAACAAATTTGGTGGAAAGGCAGAGATTAAGAATAAAAAAGTGTAAAGAAGCGGGAGACGTGTGCAATAAAAAAAGTGTCAAATAGTAAAAAATTTCAGTTAGGCTTCATGAATCACAGTTGGCCTCACCTTTGTTAACAATGCCCAGGATGAGGTTGGATTGAGCACAAGACCCACAACCAAAGACCACTGAAGTTTAAGAGGAGACTGGCTTATAGGCCATACTGATGGAGATTCCCTCATTGGCACCAGGAGCAGGGTCCTATCACCAAGACCTTCACCAAGAGTTTTGATTATGGATGACCACACCAGTCTTCTCACATCACCCATAGTGTCCATGGTGTGTTCCTGATATTTTGCTGTTCTTTGTTCTAGTGCTTGTCTTGCATCTTTTTCTTGTAGCCTTTTCAAAAACATAAGAACAATAAAATATCTATATAAACAAGAAATGATGTAACAATGAATAGTGTGACAATAAATCTTTCTACAAATATAAACAATATAACATTAAAGCTACTAGTTATACATTTATATATAGTTTTTTCTTTAAATACATCACCTTTACCTCAAAACCCAAACTTTTCCTTCTTCTTGGAAGCATGCCTTGGTTTAGCCCATCCCAAAGAAGGGTGACCATTCCAATCCCTCTAACTATCACCCCATTGCCCTAACTTCATCCCTCTCTAAGATTTTCGAAACTATCTTGAACTCTCATTTTCTTCGTCACCTTGAATGCCATTCGCTTTTGTTGGATCACCAGTATGGCTTTTGCCAGGCAAGATCTACTGGTGATCTGCTCTCCTACTGCACCCATCTTTGGTCATCCTCTCTTATGGATTATGGGGAAACTTTCGTCGTGGCCTTAGACATCTCCAAAGCATTTGACAGGGTATGGCACGTCTTTGCTTTCTAAACTTCCCTCTTATGATTTCTCTCCCCCACTTTCTTCTCTAATTTCTAGCTTCCTTGAGAACCAATCCAAGGCAGTCGTTTTCAAGGGATCAATCTCTTGCTCTTTCTCTACCAATAGTGGTGTCCCACAGGGTTCTGTTCTTTCACCTACTCTCTTCCTTCTTTTTATCAATGATTTACTTCACACTACGACTAATTCTATCCATTCTTACGCTGATGAGTCTACTCTTCACTCTCCTTCACATTTTCCCCTTCCCACTAATTCTCAAACTAGATCTGTTTCTAGAGCTGATATCATTACATCTATCAATGCGGGTCTGTGCAGCATCTCCGAATGAGGAGGTAGAAATTTGGTTAAATTCAATAGTAATAAAACTCAGTATTTACCAATTACACTTTCCAAATTAGATGATCTCCCACCAGTCACATTACAGGATGCAATCTTTCTGCCAAATTATAAAATAGATATGCTAGGCCTCACCATTTCCTCTAATATGTCATGGAAGCCACACATCCTCAACATTGCTAAAGCTGCCTCCCAAAAGCTGGGAAAGCTGTACAGATGCCGTAGCTACTTCACTCCTGAGCAGTTGCTTCAAGTATATAAGGGATTCATTTGTCCTAACTTGGAGTACTGCTCTCATATCTGGGTGGCTCTTCTTCTGTCCAACTATTAGATAGGGTGGAATCAGAGGCATTTTGTCTTATTAACTCTCCTCCTTTTGTTGATAAATCATTCTTCTCTTTCTCTTTGATGCAATGTTGCTTCACTCTCTCTCTTTTACAGGTACTTTAACGGGAAATGTTCGGTGGATTTGGCATCCTATGCACCGCCGGCAAGGCCATGAGCTCGTAACACTCATCTTGCCCGCGGTGCCCACCGTTTCTCTGTAGATGTCGATCACACGAGTATAACCCGTTAAAGTACACCCTTCTTTCCTCACACAGCCAAACTGTGGAATGCTCTGCTTTTTTCTGTGTTTCCATACTCATACAATCTGTCTCACTTCAAAAAGCTGGTTTTCTGGCATCTTCGTGGTGTATTTTAATATAATCTTATTATTTTCTATTTTTAATTTCTTTTTACTCTTATTTTTTCGCCCCTAGGCCCCGCTGTGGGTCGATGACCTGTGCCCGGGTGGGCTATTCCCCATAAAAAAAAAAAGTATGAATGAAATACATATTTAAGAAAATGAATAACTTAATAACTAGATAAAAATACTATTGTTAGGGTAATAGATCAATGTCCTTGTCAAGTTTCAAGAAAGTCTATCAAATCAAGAAGAGAGTGATCACATTCACTTGAAGGCAAACTACTGACACAGCAGATTATGCAAGATCCTGTGCACTCATTCACAGGGACAGAATGGAGATGAGACTGAAAATGAGAGGGTAATTCCTGTATTACAAGCCAGGTAACCAAGGCCATCATAAAGGTACGATACTCATTAAATACACAGAAACAGTTACCTGATTGAGAGAAGTTGATCACTGAATTGGAACCTTTCCACCTTCTTGATGAAGATTGACTCAAAACTATCTGAAGCTGAGGAATCTAGAAAGGACAGTGCCAGTTCAGCTTCATGTTTAACCTGATGAGAAACGTAAAAGAAAATAAACACATAAAAAGAGAGATACCATCAATAATGTGCATAAATGAGTGAAGAGCTTGATGTCGAGTGATTTTTTCTTGGGGGGGAAGGACATGAAGCTGATGAGTGATATGGGTGTGTATGAAGTGACAGGGGTAAATCAGATACTAGGCCTTGTTGTAGAAGGGAATATCTTAACTGTACTGTACAAGTTGCCATTTATTTTATTCAACACCTTGCAAAGTTATAGGATAAAAATTAACAGTTTTTGGCCTGTTATAGCCCCAATAGGAGTTGTGTTGCATCCATATGTGAAATATGGCCCTATTTAATTTTCATACTTTTCCTTCCTGGCTATTACATCGTATTAAAACAATATGTGAATATTAATCCAATCTAGTTTTCCATAATTTTTTTTCCTGGTTATTACATCAAGAACTTACCCTTAAATAGTCAGCTGAAATTAAGGTAGAAGCCATGTTCACCACACCAGAAGGATCCATAAACACAACATCATACAGGCAATGAATGACTTCCAATGACGGACCATCATCTGGTGGGGATGAGCACATACTGGGTCCCTTCACAGTCCAGTCAACAGAGCCTGCCAAGGAACACATACAGTATAGTACTAATAAATATCTAAGAATATATATTGTACAATCATGTTTATTGTGAAATCCATATACAGCAAGCTGTGCAAATTAGTAGTGCCTGGCAGTCCGGACATGCCTGGACTAGGGGCTGGACAAGTGATTTTCATGTCCATGTGCCTGGCACTTGCCTGTGGACAAGCTAATATTTTGAGAGAAATACACCTAGACAAGAATTTGTCAGGTGCTACGTGATCTCACTTCACAATACATGTGCAGGTAATTTATCTCTGCATTAAGCTATCAGCCCACCTCTAGTCAGTCGGTATCTAGAGGTCAACATTTAAAGGAGCCACAAAGCTGAGAGGCTGTAGATGTGAGGTGACAGGATTTATGAACTCAAAAGACAAGTATTACTGCCACTGACACCAGATTGTAGAGGAAGAGTGGTTATTAGGGTAAGTGACCAAAGGTGCTGCATCTGCCTCCCCACACACCCTGCAGGTGTGAGGTGAGGTGACAGAAGTTATGTCACCACACGATAAGGGTTACCACCACTGACACCAATTAGTCTGACAGATGTGATCTCTGAGTTGAAACACAATAAAATTGAATACAGGTATTTTAAGAATGATTGATTGATTGTGGTAATTACATCCCTGACGACGCAACAGCTTAGGCCATATGTTGCTGAATTAAAATAAAGGCGTAAAAGACTAAAATCATATAATGCAAGGTAAAAAACATAACAACATAGAACTTTCATAAAAACCATTTAAACGTTAATAGAAAAAAACTCAAAGCTTGTGTAGAAAACTGGCTCCTTCTACGAAAAAAGGATGTCCCCTCCCATCCCCCTTCCCCACCAAAGAGAGATGGTAAGACCTGTCCCCCCCCCCCCCCCGGCATTGGGAGAGGTGCTTACGAAGAAGATCTCCGAGACTGGGGCATTCCACCAGGAGGTGTCGATCAGCCAATGGAACAAAGCAGCCATCACAATGGTGCAAGGACACCCTCTCCATTAGAAAAACTATGAGTCAGCCGTGTGTGGCCAATGCGGAGGTGGGCCAAAGCAGTCTCCCAGCGGTGCAACAGTCCCTGATATCCCCAGGCACCCAATGCAGGGTGGATGTCGTGGAGCTTGTTTGCTCCGACAGCATCCCACCTGCTCTTATTACTGGCTTCATATCAGAGGCAGGTAGAGTGGAATGATTTGCCACAAGGCGAGAATCAGTTGCTTTCACCACTACTCAGCACGCTCATTCCCTTACTCCCCCACATGGGCCAGCACCCACCAAAAACTGACTTTCTGGCCCTGGAGTGTACTGTTCGAGGAGCTATAAAAATAACAATATCATTATATCTTTACACTGCTTCCACCAGATCATACCTCAAGAGCAGTGATGAGTAAATCTTAACCAAATATTGAATAATATCCAAGTCTGAATTTTTTTCTGTTCCTACTGATACTAAATCTTCTTACATTGATGAACATAATTTATCTACTACAGTACTGCTAAGACTGAGACTATAATATTACTTAACTGATACCATGGAGATTACATTGAATTATCAGTTCACAAATACAACAGGTTAACTTAATGTACAGCCGAACACATAACTACAGTACAGTAGTACCCCGCTTAACGCGCTTTCACTTAACGCGTTTTCGCATATACGCGGTGCCTTGCCAAAGCTGAACTTTCACTTAACGCGGCATTTTTCATCATATACGCGGTGAGTGTCCGGCTCGAGAGCTATTTTTAGATTCGCACCACCCCCCACCCGCCACCCTGCCTGACTGCCTGTTTTAGCTCATAAAATTCATACAAATTACCCAGCCAGAATATAATTTACATTGCTGGAATTCTTATAATTTGGTGATCATTTTGAATATAAACAACATATATTTTGCATTAAACATACAATTTTTAGATAAAAATTGTTCTCTAGGTAATTATGTTATCTTTTGTCCAAAATATATGACATTTATATTCAAAATATTCCTGGTCTTACAAGGAATCCAGCAATGTCAATTATATTATCCTAACTTTAATCTGAGGTATTATTTAATACTAAATGTTAAAAACTCTTGAATGGAGGATTGGTGGGGGGTGGGGGGAGGGTTGGGACTGACCACGCGGTTGGAAGAGGGGGGGAAGGCAAGGTGGGGTACTTTGATTGACAGATAGTGTCGAAGAATATTTTTTTTTTTTTATTAACTGAAGATATTTGTTTTAGCTCATAAAATTCATACAAATTATCCGGCCAGAATATAATTTACATTGCTGGAATTCTTATAATTTGGTGATCATTTTGAATATAAACAACATATATTTTGCATTAAACATACAATTTTTAGATAAAAATTGTTCTCTAGGTAATTATGTTATCTTTTGTGAAAAATATATGACATTTATATTCAAAATATTCCTGGTCTTACAAGGAATCCAGCAATGTCAATTATATTATCCTAACTTTAGTTTGAGGAATTATTTATTACTATACCTGGTTTTCCCCCAAAAATTTCTCAGAGGGAAGAGCCAGTGAGTGTAGTGTGAGAAGAGGGGGAGGGAGTTGAGTCCATTATTTGAATGGACATTAACTTGGCGACTGTATTTCTCTATTTCTCTTAAGTATTAATTGTGTGCATGTACCATCATAAAATTAAGATGTTATTTTTACTACAACATAGTTATTTGTCGTCAAAAAGTGGAGTTTGGGGGTCGGGCTGGGTTCTATTGGAATTAATCCCATATGTTCTGTTATTCACTTAACGCGGTTTTCACTTAACGCGGGACCCTCTGGGTTCAATTGACCGCGTTAAGTGGGGTACAACTGTATATCAATGATCTAAAGAAGATTAACTGGAAAAAAATCTGAGGTACAAGTACAGGCTCATAAATAATAAATAAAACCAACTTACTAAGAGCGAAAACAACATTACGGAACACTTGGTATGCTGACATCTGTGGATTAATCTTACGAGTCTGGAGAAGATGTATCACAAAGAGGGTAACCATGTGGCCAGAGAAACATCCCTCACCCTGTAAAGAGGTAACAAAAACATTAAACAGTAAATCAGTTTTATACTTTATTTTCTACCTTTGAATATCTTTCTCCTAAAACTTCAAGTATGGTAGTCCTTCCTGGTTCCATTAACCATCAGACTTATTGGTGACAGCACACTCATTAGCAGCCTTCAAGCTTTGGTCCACTGACATGCTGTATCTACCTACTCCTAGTTCTACATTTACCTTTTTGGTTCTTGTTCATCAAAACTAACTAGTTTTGTTTCTCTTAGATCAGTCAATCCTCTGCTTTCCCTCCAACCTACAGCATTCTTTATTAATATCTCACATCAACTACCTTGTTCTCTTATAACATCTGACATCTTCCCATTTATCATTCCATTTATCTTCCACTTTCACTGTTGAGGCCACATGGTGGATAATAGACTAACCCTTGCCTTCAATTTCCCATATAAAAAGGAAAAATTATTTGTTTATAAAAAAAAATATGGCAAGAAGTAGAAGAGTGAAAAAAGTCAAAGATTGAGCAAACTGAAATCTTAGAGGGGTAATGTGGAGTAAGAGTACAAACAGCAGGCTGGCTCCTAGACCTGCTATGAGAGTAACTAAAAAGTAAAGCATCATAAGACGAGACTATCCAACTTTTTGTGACAGAATTGCTTTAAAATCTTTTCTTTTAACACCCATACAAATTCATCAAAGTATTACTGCCTAAAATTAACAATCCTTGCCACCTTACATTTTGCACATAAATAAAATTATCATTCAGAAAACAAAATGTGAACAAAGGACCAGACGACATGAAGCGAATTACAACCATAGGCTCTGTAGAGCGCATAAAAAAAAAGAAAATTAACTAACCTTATCTAGTCCTCGCTGAGACAACCAAATCTTGATAAGTTTGATGCCCTGAGCCAGGTTAAGATGTTGGCTCACAACATTATGTATTAAACTTAGGTGTACCGGCATCACCACATCCACTGCACATGCCCAGTTGTATTGTGGTGTTGGTGGGTGCTCTTTACCTATTATAGATAGAACAATGAAAAGTAAATGCAGTTTGTCTCTTAAAAACATTGTGTTCCATTTTAAGACAATAATACTGGGCATGTTTATACATACAAAAGGTTTCTGAGGCACAAGGGAAAAACCAAATCACATGAAATAATAATAAACATTTTCTGAACTATTACAAATTTGGTGACGGATGGTTAGATTCAAGAGCAACAAAGATTCTCCCATCATCTGTCGTAACAGATGAGTTTTGTTGTGGTGTTCCCCATCCACACCATCACAAGATCTCCTGCTGGTTTATCTGTTGTTTCAAACAATCCACCATCATGACCCATCAGCAGCACATCCATTCCCATAAAACATTCAACAGAATGTTTTTTGATCATACTTCCACAATGCTACTTCCTGTAAATCCATCCCCTCATATCTGGTACCTTCCTCGCCCATTTTTTGGCCACCTTCCCAGTGGTCCCCCCCACCCCTCTCTGTACTACCATCTAATTCCATAGAATACATTCTTCCTGAAACTTAAATTCTTAACAAGTGACCTACAAGTTACCAGCACACTAAACACCTAATGACAGTACCCAGCAGTGTAATAGTATACAATAGTTCAACAACTAGATATGTTGTGCAAGTGATTCAATGAATACAATTGTTGCTGTGTAGTTCTTCACCCAGTAATACCAGGGGCATTTTCGGGTACCCAGTAATGTGGTGGTTGACTTTCATGGCCAGTTAAATGCCTATGCCACGAGTTAAATTTTCAACAAGTTCAAAATGACAACAGTTTTTTAAGTGAAAGTTGCTGATAGTTGTAGTGCTCAATATGTCTGGGGGTTTTCACTGGTCTTATAAAAAAAATTGGCACTGAGACTTAATGAATTAGTTTATTAAAAAAAAAAGTGCTTCTTAGAAATAAATACTATTTTTACTAATAAATGACAAATACAGGTATATTATTAGATGTACCTTTAAATTCATCTTTGTTAAAAAACCACTCTGGCTGAAGATTACTTCTCTCTGGTGAAAACCTTGTAGCTTTGAAACTCTGCAGTGGAGGGACAGGAAAGAGGTTCACTTTCCACTTCTTCCCAACTCCTCCACTTGGGGTAACCTAATGAAGAAAAATAATAAATAAATAAAAATACTGTAGGAATTACCTGGTACACCTTTATCTAGCACATTTTATCTTGCTTTCCTATGAAATGTAAAGTGGGTCACCCTCCTGGCTGAAATGATGGCTTTTCTTGGGGTCTTGTTATAATAAGTGTCAATGATAGCAATTTCACTGATGCAAAGCTGAACATCCACTTTTTTCAATTTTCCATAGATTTATATCCTGAGACAGAAATAAAGATAAATGACTAAACAACCAAATTGTCAATTATTAATAGTTTCGGAGTTACAACTCAAGACAGGTTTGGTACGAATTTGATGAATACTACGGTCACCTGACATAAATCCCCCTGATATCTACCTGTGGGGTCACCACCACTGCAGGTCTTTGAATGTGTGCAACACTCACCTGTGCGACGGGCTGAAGCCTGCATTGAGCAAGAGGGGCGGAACTTTGAACATTTGCTCTAAGTGTTAATACCAGTACAACTCATATGACATTATTATTGACAATAAATGTCACTAGCAACAGTCGGTGTTTCACTTACACCCCATAGGTTTCATCACATTACTACCAAACCTGTCATGTGTTTAACTCTGAAACTATTGAGAATTGACAATTTGGTCATTTAGTCATTTATTTTTATTTATATCTCAGGAATACACCCCTTGATTTACGAAAGGTATTTACGGAACACCCGATATACCTGTTACACTGCCCCCTCCCTTAACACGGGGTTGTTCAATGCGGATTTGCTAGAACACTTTTTTTTTAATATCCATATCGCTTAACATGAGGCTAAGATTCGTTCGAACACGGGTTGAGCTGGGCTAACATTGAGTGCCAGATTAGAGTGATCCAATCTGTATTATCTGAGCCAAAAGTAATTCAATTTATTGGTAAAACAGAAGATGGAAAAACCAAAATTGAAATAGTAGGTCAGAGACTTGGTGGGCACCTGACTGACAAAAATGGGGTGAGATTAAAGAGGTAAACTAAGCATGCTTCCCATACACTCACCTGAAGCACAGGTCTAACTGTGCGTCCCAAGTGTGTTGTCCAGTTTAGGCCAGCCACAAGCTCTGTTTTCTCCTGTAGGTCTACTGCAAGCCAGGCCAGGTATTTGGTTCGCTTCACCAGCCACCGTCCATTCCGCCAGTCAGCAGCATGGACACACTCCTGAGAAAAAATAAATAAAAAGTAAGCTCAGGAAGGGTAATGCACCAGAAGTGGATGAAATCACCATTGAAATGTCAAGGATGAGAGTTGGAAGAATGACAGAATGCATAACAAGAAACTGCCTGAAGGAGGAAAGGTTACCAAAGGAATGGCAGAGAACATTTATAGATTCCCATTTATAAAGAAAAAGGTGATAAGAATGCACATGAATCATACTGAAATAAGTATGTTAAGTATAGCTACAAAAGTGTACATTAGAATTATCACTGAGAGAAAAGTAGAAAAAACTGAAGGTGTATAAACGGAAAAACAGTGTGGATTCAGTACAGGAATGGGCTCTGTGGATCAATTGTTTGTGTTAAAGAATAAATAGCAATTATGAAACTTGAAAAAGAATATGATAAAAGTATACAGTATATACTGTATATAAAAAAAGCAATCTGGGAAGTAGTGTACTGAGAATGTATGGAATGAATGAAAAACTGTTGAATGCTGTCCATGGTTTATATAAGGAGAGTGAAGTTAGTATCAAGAATCGGTTGTGATAAGGGTCACTTCCAGCTTACGGATAGCATAACTCATCAGTGTCTTTCTACAGTATATACACTAAAGTAAGTGCTGTACACATTAATTTCAATATACCTAAATAATGATTATTATGAATACAGTATTATCAATGTACATTTTGCATCTTTATAAATCAAAACATAAATTCACCACTACCAGCAATACCTGACAACTCCCTTCACCACACCAGTACTGTATCTTAATTTACAGTAAAATGAAATAAGTAATCAATCTAATTTCTATATATCTACTACTTGAACAATTACCTTTGGCAAGGTGATCATAACATCAACAGTAGTGTTCCTTGTTGTTGTTGTGCTTGAAACAAAAGAGCCAACAAACTCTACATTTGTTGGCGGAGCAAACAGGAAGGTTCCTCGGGCCTCAGGCATGCTCTTCACTATTGGGTTACAAACTCCTTTCTCTTCCATCCACTTAGTATTATTTAGCTGTGAGGGAAAACTTGCGTGTTAGAACAAATACAGGCATTAAAAGTCTCTCAGTTGATGCCCTTAGGACCCTTTGCTTAGCATTAATAAAATGTCACGTGGGCTACTTGTGTTCATCGTGGTACTCTGCCTTAACACAACATCTAAAATCATTCAAAATAAGAGGATGAGGTTTATTCTGGATATAAATGCAGTAGATCATATTGGTCACAAAGTCCTGCAAACATTGGACATGTCAAGTGAGACAAGTAGATTAAAGCAGTTGAGGTTGAATCACACTTTTTGGATTTTCAATGGATTGTGTGCAGAGTACAGTATCTCACAACAAACATTTTAAGGATTAGGGATATGAATTTGCAGGGCACTAAGGAAAGTGAACACAATTTTAAAGCACCTGGTGTCTGAGGTCAAGCAAAAAACAGTTTCTTCTTTACAACTATAAAAGAATGGAACAATTTACTTAACCACACTAAAATCAGTAATGTTATCAAAAAGTCCAAAGCTAAAACTAAACTAAACACAGTCAATGAATCCACAGCAAGAGAAGAATGTTTTTCTACACAGTAAAGCCTCCAATAAGGACGGTTCTACTAAAGCCGATTCATATTTAAGAACCTGGTTAATTAAGGACCCAATTCAATTTATGCCATTATTTTTTCGTATTTACGACAAAATTAGAAAAAAAAATTACCTTTTCATATAAATAAGAACTAAATCCCGGTATGTATTATAAAAACAAAACAAAAAAACACGCCTTGCGCAAGGAGGCTGCTGGGCTTGTTAGTGAAGCCAGCATCACTATTATAAACAATCACAGCTGGCGGGCCCTCTGTTTCCACGCATCTGAACAGGAAAAGGAGAAAAACGTTCTCAGGTTTCTTACGGCAATTTTGCGTCCCTATTCAACACGAGCAAGAGTGCAAGTGATGGTAGTGATGTTTCAAAAGCTAATAGAAAGTGTATAAGCTTAGCCGAGACACTAGATGTGTTAAAATTATGTGAAAAAGGTGAGAGGTCTGTGGATATTATATGGAGCAAACAATGAACATATTTTCTGAAATGGATCCATTAACAGAACAAAGCATTAAATAAACGCAAATGACTTCTCCATAAAGATGTATAATGAGAAAAGAAAGCAGCTGTACAAGGTTATTTCGACAACTTTATTAATCGAAGGCCTAAACCATCAACTTCAGCATCATAAGCAGCTTCAACAACAACTACAGGTTCAGTAACAGTATCAGCAACAGCTTTATGGAAAGCTACAGCTTCAGCCAGAGTTGAAGCTGATGACTTCGTCATCTGAATAAAAACCCACACAACATCATTGGCTGTCCTTATGTTTTAGACTTTACAACTATTGGTGAGTAGAATTTTTGTTTTACATTCGTAAGTATTATTTAAAATATATATGAACAGTAAATAAGTGTTGCTTTCATATTCATATGTAGAGAAATGACGATATGTTTTCACATGTACGCACTTACTGTACATACGTTGGCGTTCCCAATTGTCTCACTTTATTTTTTTACCATTACTGGTTAGCTACTTCTATTGTTCCATTTATTAAAATTAAATAACATTACTTACAACATACATACTACAGGTATTCATTTTTTTACATTAAGTGTACGAAAACAATGCCGTCTTGTCTCCTCTTGTGTTTTAATATTCTACATATTATTAATGAATTGTATTGTTCATTTCGCATTATAAAGATTAATTCAATCAAATACATATTCAGTAATAAACAATAATGAATCTTTGGTATAAGTTCTTAAAAAGATAAATGACGCAGTTTCCTTAAATGCGCTTGTATATGTTGGTGTTCCCAATCCATCTCACTTTTTTCTTTGCCAATAGTGGTTAGCTACTTCTACTGTTCCATTTATTAATATTAAATGACATTACTTAAAACATACCCTGTATATATATATATTTTTTTTTTACATAAATTTTACTAAAGCTACAACCAGGGTCATATTTTCTTAATTTTCTCATGTAGAACTATCGTCCCGGACTCCCGGCTGTAAACACTAACGAAAACAATGGCGTCCCATCTCTTCTTGTGTAACCATATTATTATTCATTTATATTGTATAAGGTGCATTCATAAACATTATTTAAAGAACATAGTTTGCATTTTTCATTAATTGTATTGTTTGGGGGAAAGAGAGGGTAAAAAGCCACACAAAAGATATGAAAAGGTTACACTTGGGAACGCATCTTATTATTATTGCTTTATTTTATTGGTAATTAATAATTCACGATACGATGATTCACCTTACACAGCAATATTGGAGGACACATTACTGTACCGTCGTTATTCGAGGCTTTACTGTATCACTAATCAGAGAATGTATCGTTGAAGTGATCCATCAGCCTCAGATAATGTAATCTAAGTGTAATGTAATTCCTGTGTTATCCATCAATAAATTATTACTTTCATTGTTGTAGATTTACTATTACTAATTAGTAAGCAAAGGATCCTACTGGAAATAAGCATTTGATGGGTTTATCGGCTATCAGTAGTCAAATTGCTTTATTGTTTATTGATATACAGTACTGGTAATATTGTAACTCTGAATTCAGGTCTTTAACCAATTAACTGCTAGAATGAACCACGAATCACCTCTTACATAAGCTGAGAGACCAAAATGACCATCTGAGCATTTAATTTTATCAAGGAGGTTGGCCTTCTCCCTATTATTTAACTCTATGATTTTAATTTTTAAGACTACAGTGAACCCTCACGCACGCGGTACCCCGCCAGAACCGGAATTACGCGGTGCATCTACTCATATACGCGGGTGAAGTATAATTTTTTTATTTAGCTCATAAAATTCATACAAATTACCCGGCCAGAATATAATTTACATTGCTGGAATTCTTACAATTTGATGATCATTTTGAATATAAGCATCATAGATTTTGCATTAGACATACAAATTTTATATCTAATGCAAGTATTTTGTTTACTCAGAGCAAATATGTTATCTTTTGTGCAAAATATATGACGTGTATATTCAAAATATTCCTGGTCTTGCAAGGAATCCAGCAATGTCAATTATATTATCCTAACTTTAGTCTGAGGTATTATTTATTACTAAAAATTTAAATACACTGTTATAACCCAATCATTTCTCTGGTAGGGAGGGAAGGTGGGGGTGAGGGGTAGGGAGGGACCCAGGGAGCAGGTGGAAAGAGGGGGGGAGGTGGAGTATTTTGATTGACAGATAGTATTTGGGTAAGTATATTTTGTTTATTTATTGAAGATATTTGTTTTAGGTCATAAAATTCATACAAATTACCGGGCCAGAATATAATTTACATTGCTGGAATTCTTACAATTTGATGATCATTTTGAATATAAACATCATAGATTTTGCATTAGACATACAAATTTTAGATCTACTGTAAGTATTTTGTTTACTCAGCAAATATGTTATCTTTTGTGCAAAATTTGACATTTATATTCAAAATATTCCTGGTCTTGCAAGGAATCCAGCAATGTGAACTATATTATCCTAACTTTAGTCTGAGGTATTATTTACTACTAAAAAGGTAAATATTCTGGTTTCTTCCAAACATTTCTCTGGTAGGGAGGGAAGGTGGGGGGTGGGGGTGAGGGTTGGGACCGACCGACCCAGCTGGCGTGGTGGGAAGAGGGGGGAGGCAAGGTGGGGTGTTTTGATTGACAGATAGTGTCGTGAAGAATATTTTTTTTTTATTAACTGAAGATATTTGTTTTAGCTCAAAAAATTCATACACATTACCCCGCCAGAATATAATTTACATTGCTGGAATTCTTACAATTTGATGATCATTTTGAATATAAACATCATAGATTTTGAATTAGACATACAAATTTTAGATCTAATGTAAGTATTTTGTTTACTCTGAGTAAATATGTTATCTTTTATGCAAAATATATGACATTTATATTCAAAATATTCCTGGTCTTATAAGGAATCCAGCAATATCAATTATATTATCCTAACTTTAGTTTGAGGTATTATTTATTACTATACCTTAAAATCTAGTGGTTTTCCCCCAAAGATTTCTCAGAGAGGGAAGAGCCAGCGAGTGTGAGAAGAGGGGGAGGGAGTTGAGTCCATTATTTGAATGGACATTAACTTGGCGACTGTATTTCTCTTAAATATTAATTGTATGCACGTACCATCATAAAATTAAGATGTTATTTTTACTAGAACATAGGTATTGTGTCGCAAAAAGTGGAGTTTGGGGGTCAGCCGGTCTCTATTTCATTTAATCCCATATGTTATGTTGTTCACTTTACGCATTTCTGCGTTTCTCGCTTTACACGGCCTCCCACGGCCTCTGGCCTCCGTGGGTTCAATTGACCGCGTAAAGTGAGGGTTCACTGTAGTTTCAATGATTTTCTATATATCTACTGTATGACATGAAACCTTAATTATTGGCATTTTTCTTTAATTCAAAATAGATGTAGTCTATTTTTGTAAATGTGTAAGGCATCATATAATTGGCGTCACCTCACAACCAGAGGTACAGAATATATCTCAAAAAAGTATCTGCCAGGATGGGTTTGATGACTTCTGAAATGCTACAGGCAACTTGTGATGTCCCGGGAGGGTTGGTATGCATGGCTCTGTGGCATACTGAGCCTACTACATTTGATAATTGCATATCATATTAATTATGCCAAAATAAACATAAATTGCATTACTTATGATAAACTATATCTCAAAGTAAATGCATACCCCAATATCTATCATCTGTAGTCTTATGTTTCACACAGTGTGTGGACAGATACTTTTTTGAGATTCTGTACTTATGTTAAATATATAATGAATAATCAATAAAGTCAATTGGTAGTTTGAAATTAATCACTTATCAGTCCATACTGGGAGAACTAAGCCTTATATGACCTGGTATTCTGATGAGGCTGGTAAGGACTTGAGGAAAGCAGATAACTGAACAAGCCACTGATCCAACTGCTGGCGATGCTTGTCCTTCATGCTGACCTCAGCCAACACCTCGTCCATCTGTTCAGAAATAAACATCACGTGAAGATCTTTCTTTATAAATTTGTTTTGGCAATCAACCAATTCCAAATAGTAAAAGCTCCCCCAAGTATGACATTTTGTATTTCAAATTCCAGAAACTGTGATGGTTTTTCAGCCACTTAAATATACAGTAAAGTAGTACATGTATACATAAAAAACAGCTGAGCATCTAGTGTCAACAATTATCCACGGTATTTGGAGCTGGTGTAGAGGAAAAACTAAAGAGAACAAAATTTGGGGGGAAAAAATTTCTAGATATTCTAGTTATTTTTAATATACTAGCCTTACTATTACAGTACTCTTTTTTTCACCAATATAAAGCATAAAAATGTCAGCTTTTTTTTGTTAAGTAACACTTATTGTCCTTATTTGGTTGTTTGTTGGCTAAAATACAAGTTGACTATTGAAAATTGTAATTTATCATCAAAATTACAATACAGGGTATTTCTTCTTTTTTCTACCCTTTTTCTGGTTTCATGTAAAAGAGTAATCAATTATACATAGAATATACTGTAGTTGGTTTTAAACGAAACAATTAAATCATATGCTGAAAAATCTATCCAAAGAAAAATAAGATGCAGCGTGGCTCTTCCGTGCAAGAAAATCACAACCAGCCTGTGCATAGGAGGGGTAGTTGCTATAAATTAGGTAGTGCATGAGTGATAATGAACAATCGGGTCTTGACACTTTGAAGTTACTAACACAAACCTCTCAGAACCTGACAAGCTGCTCCCTCAGATTTACAACCAATGTTTACTGTATTACAAAGGCACAGCATGACACACAACTGAAGAGGACCATAGGTTACTGTTGAAACATGCCCTGCTCTCGGTTTTCTGTACTTTATCTTCTCCTAGAGTGGGATTTATGTGTTTACTGTGTGGGTGATATGACCAATGCCAGAAGGGGTACTGAAGCCTGCTCAGTTGCAAGAGTAAAAAATGGCTACAGGAAGTTTCGGGTGCTGCTGCCTTTATTAACATAAACAGGACCTCCCCTCCAAGTGAAAGGAAGAACGTGGCTGGTGTGAGAAGTGTGATGTTGTATGGCAGCGAAAGAGGATGATATAAGTCGACTGATATAAGTAGACTTAAGCAAGCTGAAATGAGAATGAAAAGGTGGATGTGTAATGTGACAATGGAAAACAGGAGACCCTGATAAAACCTTGGCAAAGTCCTCCGCAGAGGCAAGCTGAAATGGTAAGGGTTTGTGGATAGAATGGATGAGACTAATTAGGTCAAGAGGTGCATGAGCCTAAACATGGAGGGGAGAAGAGCCAAGGAGTTAGGAACCTGACTGCAAGAGACCATGCAGCACAGATAGCTGCCATGAGGTAATCACGGCGAGTGAGGAAAATGGCCATGAGACGATGATGATGAGTGACAATAATGATTAGGATGGATATAAACATAAATGAAGTAGTTATTACTTATCTTACACCAACAGAAAGCATACCTGCAAACGAAAGAGGTTAGAATGATACAATGTCTGAGTCTCCCGGAGAGCATTCAGTTCATCCATTGTTGGGGGCCGGTACAGGCCGCCATCTTTGCCCTCGACTTTTGCAGACTTTGCTTTTTTTCCACCCTGTAATAAAAATATTAAGTATGGTTAAATTTACTCATTTATTTTCAAAGTATCTTTTAATTGAAGAAAATTTTTTTATAAACATTTTTAAGTTTCAGCCATTATATACATCTATATCGAGTACAGTACATCAACACATATCTTCTTTGATAGTCTGACACTTGACAAATGCATGAACTTCCTATACTGTAGAATACATCTTTACCTATGTTAATTTTTTACACAAAAATCTTTTTCACTTAGTAATTTAGCTAATATAAATTCTCTAAAGTCTTAAAATGATAAAAGGGAAAAATCACATCTACTACACTGTACAGTATAGTACTGTACTTCAAAATTTTTCTCCAGCTATAGCAAATTATGAAAAACAAGAGATCTACACACTGTACAGTAGTGTACTGCACTGTATACCTGTACTGTATATGGCACATCGTAGTACAGTATAGTGGTACTCTTTTTGTAAGTTTTAGTGTCAATATACTGTACTGTACACTTGACATCTTCCCATTAAGCAAACTCTTCAATCTTATACAGTACAATATTATTTACTCTAAGCCCCTGGTATTTCATTCCAATGTTTAATAGAGGTTCTGAACATCTATATCTGTAATCCATTCAACACATTACATTCTACCTAGTTTCACACAAAAAGTAAAGTACCCGGATCACCTTATTCTTCCAAATATAAGAAAGTTTTATACTAGTACTGTATAGTAAAATATAAATTGACAACCTATTGTGTGTGTGTGTGTGTGTGTGTGTGTGTGTGTGTGTGTGTGTGTGTGTGTGTGTGTGTGCACTAAACTAGCAAAATCCGAGTGATAAAGAGACTTAAGAACATGTACTGCTCTACCGAGTGACTCCTAGTAACCATGGCCGTTTGAAGGAGTTGACTGTTTTGTGTAAGTCTGTTGGTAAGAAAAGACTTCATACGGGATAATTTCTTTGGCCCGTTGGTTCGAAGAGATTGGAGCTACTGACGATCAATTACTGTAGTTGCCAAATGTATGTCAATTGACTGGAAGAAGATGAAAAGAAAAAAAAAACACTTCTGGCAATACTTTCTACAGTGACTGAAGCAAACTTACCGACATAAAAAAGAAAGTAAGGTTATACCACTGATTTCAGAAATGTTCATGGTAATTTATTCATTATAACAAACCTGGTCAACAAGTTTCCTCTTATTGCTTTGGTCTGTTTCTTCATCTTGATCACTGATACCATCGTCATCATCATTGCCGTCTTCATCTTCATCCCCTTCGTCTTCTTCTCCATCCTCTTCATCATTATCTACACCTTCATCTTCCCCACCGCTCGCCATTTCATCCTCTAAGCTGGGAACCTCATTTCCATTGCCATCTCCCTCAGTCTGCATTCACAATTACAAGATAAGTGAAATATAAGAGAAGACTAAAAATACATTAAAAAAGATGAAAAACCATAACGACATTTGTTCACCTAAAGTGTTTAAGATTAACAGGCATTTTTATTTGTAAGAAAAACTAGAGAAAAAAAATGAGAAAAGTGCAATTCCTCCACCTACTCTGAGTTATTCCTAAGGAAAAAGAAATACTAGTACTTTACAGTACCACCAACAAAATACTGTAGTAAAATTTATTAAGTTACAGCAGTCAAGTTAGTACTACTTTATTGGATCACAGTATATTCTAATGTATTTCATGATGTTGAGTACATACCCCCTACTACATACAGGAACTGTGCAGTGTACCACCTGTGTGATAGAGGTTCTTTAAAGCAAAATAGGACTTTGGCAAGTAAAATTTGACAAGAGCAGTCCAGCCTTGATACAAACTTGAGGAAATTTCTCTTCAGAAGATAAAAGTTTGCTTAAGGTACCTTAGAAAACTGACAAAAAATGAAGGAGGAATACATTTTGCATAATTCTTTTAGTATAAAAAGTTTACCTTATTCATGTTTTCGGTTTTTAGTATGTGTTGGTGTTTTCGGTGTTCAGATGAGGAGGGCTTCATAAATTCTAAATTGATTCTTAAAATTTTTACAAGTAAGGAAATGTTAGGTCAGGTTTTCAAACATTTGTTTGGTGTTATTTTTAGTATTTTACCCCACATTTTCCCTCGACTTCAAAGCCCTGCCCACTTTAAACAAGTACAGTAAAACCTCGATTAACAGACTTTCGGATTAACCGTCAATCCCAGACCCTGTTAAATTAAAATTTTCATTGTTTTTATTTAATTTGAACAAAAATGAAGGTCAGATTTGAGTAATACACCAAAAATAGCCTTGTCTCATACCAAAGGAACGAACGAACCAACCAACCTAACTAAAAAAAAAAAAAAAGTGATTTGCTCCAAAGATAAATGTCAGAATCATCCAAAACAGCAGCCGTCGATGCAGCCGTATTATCTCACGTCCAGAAAATGCCTCAAATTTCACCATATCATAATAAGTTTCTTTCTGTTTAATATACCGGGGAAGTTAGGTAAGGTTAGGTAGGTTGGGTAGGTTTGGTTGGTTAGGGCTGTTCTTCATAGCCACAAATGTTAAGTAGCGTTTATTGGAAAAATATAAATTTTTTAACATATTTCCACAACTACAAGTGTCCACTATAATATAACAATGAAAATCCCTCGTTTGGTACTTATATAGGACTAACCCGCGAGCGAAATTGATTGAAAACAAGTATAAAAACGCTGAATTTTCATTGTTATATTATAGTGGATACTGTTGTAGTTTGTGGAAATGTGGGTATGAAGAACAGAACTAACCAAACAAACCTACCTAACCTTATTTCCCCGGAACTGTATATTAAACAGAAAGAAACTTACTATGATATGATGAAACTCGAGGTATTTTCTGGATGCGAGACGATACAGCCGCATCAGCCCTGGCGGGTTAGTCCTAAATATTAACCAGGCGTTTATATAATTGTTTTCAATCAATTTCGCTGGCGGTTTATTCCTATATAATTACCGCGAAAAATATATTTTCAATGTGAAAAAAATGTGGTGGGTGGATAACGAAATATAACCGGATGAAGGGCCATAACCGTGGCACCGACTGAGGCCCGAAAACTTTCTCATTCCGCCCTTGTGTTGAATTAACCACATAGATAACTAGGGAAAACCTCACCTCTAAGTCTTGTATTCTGCTTTTCATACTGGCAGGAGTAGTAATAACACGTGTATAGTAGTGGGGCTCCAGCTAACACTTAACTCGCCGCTCCTGACAGTGTTGTTGTTTACATTGTTGCTCACGTGGGCCGCCCGCTAGGGTGTTCCGCATGTCTTAATGTAAATCTTTTATTTTCGTAAAACATTAATATAGGTATAGAAGTAAAAACAAATCTTCAACTTAATTGATTCTATGAACTCAATACATTAATCATCATAAATCATATTCCGTCTCTGCTTCGACCGCCACTGCATATTTTTTCCTGCAAAAATTTAAATAATTATATATTAAACAAATACGGAATAAGTAAACATTTTAATAATATTTTCATTATAAATTAAGATTTAAAAAAAGCAGCGCCCTAAATATAAATATATATATATATATATATATATATATATATATATATATATATATATATATATATATATATATATATATATATATATAATATGCATGTGTGTGTGTGCAAATTAAGTGCAGTACAGAATTAATAATGTATTCCTTCAATATACAGGTATTGTATGTATTGTATACTCACATTAAATTTAAAGTTTTGTCCCTCAAGGTCATTATCATCATCATCATCAGTGCTTTAAAGTCATTTTCCATGCTTGCATGGGTTAACCATTACAGTACCTGATGGCAGCTCTCAATGCATATTCTCTCGCAGCCTCTCCGAACAGGTTAACTCAAAATTCATTTCTTACAACCTCTCCCCATGTCATTCTTGGCCTACCCCTAGCTCTCCTCCCATCTGCATTTAGACTCTTGACAAAAATTGTCTTCTCTATTCTCTCCATATGCCCAAATCATCTCAATCTACCTCTAGGCAAAATCTCACCAAAACAGTACAATACTCTCAATACCTAGCCATACTTTTAGCTCTGAACATGGTACCACAGGGCAGTGTCTAGGGCCCACTGTTGTTTGTTTGTTTCATAAATGACATGCCTGACGTTTCACACTCCTCCATACAAATGTTTGCCCATGACGCCACGTTATTTCTCTTAATCAAGAACCATGCGGACTGTGAAGAGCTGCAGAAGGAGCTCTGTGAGCTTCAAAAATGGTTGAAGAAAATTGAGGTGTATAAGCATCTCAAGGGGCATTACTCATTCGAGTGTCCTTACCTGGAGCTGGCAGACGCTCGCCCCACAAGGGGTCACAGCTCAAGATTGAAGAAGCCGCAGGTGCAGAAAACTGTGAGGACAAACTTTTTCGGAGTGAGAGTTGTGAACTCTTGGAACAATCTACCAGAAAGTGTTGATATGGCACCGAGTGTGAGCTCTTTCAAGACCAGACTTGACCAACACTGGAGCAGGTTCAAATACATTCAGGAGCCGGTGCATGCCCAGTACTTGCCAACAGTGCGTAACACATATGTGACCGATCGCCCAAGCGGCTAATGAGCCGATCAGTGGTGAAGAGGATAAAAGTAAAAGTAACATATCCACCTCACCATTCTTATTACAGCTCGTTTAAGCCGGCATATGCCATCCTCTTTAACTGCCACGTCTCACTGCCATACAGTATCACACTTCTCACACCAGTTACATACATCTTTCCTTTCACATGAAGAAAGGGTCTTCTTGTCTACAATGGCAGCAACTCCCTAAACTTCCTCCAGTCATTTCTAACTCTTGAAAATGAGCAGGATTCAGCACTGATCATATCATCCACGAGGCAGAATTCATTGACACAATCCACGTTGAGTTTTTCCAGCCTTTCAAAGGCCATATGATTATCTGTACATACAGAACACTGTCAGGAACATTCTGCAGTCCGCCATTTACACTGCTGCACCTGTGTACTCATCTTCCACTCTCCTGAAACATCATTGAGATGCTGTGACACATTTCTTAAGGCAATACATGGCCATTTTCCACTTTCCATCAAGGGTCATTCACCCATGCCATTAATCCATATTTTTATTTTTGGCATATTTTCTTAACTCGATCAAATTTCTCCTCTGTCACTTCAACACTACAGTGTGTCTGCTACCAGCACTAAATCATTGCATGCAACAACTTCCAGGGCAGACCAGTCCCAAAATCTTATGATAAATGGAAGGGAAAGGGGCTCAAGACAGACACTTACTTTCACCCCAAAAATCTTACTTTTCTCTCTATTTACTCTCACAGCAGTTTCAGAGCACTGATACAATGTCATAGCCATATGAACAAAACACTCCTCGACCTCTAACTTTCTTATTGCCAAAGTTATGAATTTCCAATTAAGAAGAGCATTATTTTCCCTGACCTCACACATCAAAAAATTAATAACTCATGGTAAATTTATTAAATATACTGTACAACAAAATCATTCATAATCTTTAAAAACTAATTATTCATTACTCCTCCCATTCATTTATACAGTACTCTGATATTTTATTTCTTGTTCTGCAATATGGATAATTCATCATGCACCTTCACTGTATAATAAACAGGTAAGTCAATATGTTTCTTTATCTTGTTTAACAGTACACATTCTAAAATTATATCTTTATGAAAAAATTAATCTTGGATACTCAAGACTACTTGTACTGTACATTAATAGTGTGACCCTTTAACATCCGATCTTGGCAGGAATCTTTTATCCTCCAAATATTTACCAGTATACAGTGTACTTGTTTGGAAAAATTTTCATCATTGCCCTCATGACAATTTCTGTTAGGCAAAGGCAGGAACAACTTTCATATTTCTATATTTGCCAATATACATAAATAAGGGACTGATTATACAGTATATATATATAAATATATATACTGTATATATAAAAACATTCAATGTCAACTAATATATACAGTACAGTACAGGTATATGATTTTTATATGTCAACTAAATATGGCCTTCATGCTAAATGATTAATACATTTCTTTGTCAACACCTGCCCACAGATTAAAATTTCAGCATACTGTACATGTTAATACCTGTACCTCAATGAAGCTATGCTCTACTGTATAGGTATACTGTACAGGTATAATCCTTATAATATTTTGAAGTCTACAGGTGAATATTTCTTTATAAAAAAGCAAAATAATATGACTGCTGTATGACTCAAGGGAGTAGTACTGCATCAATATCCATTAACTCATCCGAGGTAGAGAGACCATAAATAAATTTCTCCCCTTCGATGTCAAACAATATGACAAACCAGGAATTTATTTTTTTACAAAGTTCCCGCATCTAGTTTCACATTGGTAGCCCTTCTTTCCTTATATGGGAATATGTGGAGCTACCAGTTACACTTCCGTCACTTGTCATAATGCAATTTATTTTTCTGTGTACAGTAATCCTAAAATGGTTTCTTGTAAAAGTGGAATTAGCCTTATTTGAAATTGTACTCGTTATACTTTTCGAAATATGATTACTGTATAGAAATTTTGAAAAACAAGGATAAAGGAAATGATGTTGCAGTCACACTTACCAGCCCTATTGAGATAACAGGAGAGGTAGTGTTTGTTTTGAAATACATCACATCGAGGAGTAAAGGTAATTTATGGTCTAACTGCACTGGGGCATTAAATGATATACAAGCTTCATGAGCTGATGAAAACGGATCACACAAGCATGATGGCCTCTTATGGGCAGTTCTAATACAGCTCACTGTATGTTAAACCTTTGGAATACAAGGAGGCAGTGTACATGGCACTGCTTTTAATTACCTTCACTTCCTATACATTGTACAGTTAAGTCAGATAGCCATTCACAGTTGGTTAGACTCTGTTTGCCCCAGGTAAAAACTAGTGAAGCTTACAAGAGGAAGTGAACACTGTATCCACTCAGTCACTGCTCCCCTTTTTTAAGACAGAACAATATTGCTGACTATATATACAGATGGTAAAGTAAACATATACAAGGAGCTAAATTGTACCAAATTAATTTTCCAGATATTCATTTATATATGTACACACATATGCAACAAATGTATGTATGTGCTGTGCATGTACATATTTGTATGCACATACTAACTTTCACATGAAAGTGCTCATAAAATTTTTTTGCATTCAGAAGACCTGAGAGAGAGGAGAGAAAACCGAGAGAGAAATAATTCATTCTAATAACAGATCAGAATGATAAACAAAGAGTACTGTAACCCTCAACCAAAATATAAAGTTTCGATGAGCTTCCAGCCCCAAGCACGACGACACACAAAATTAAATATGTGGACATATATAAATATTGTACTCCCCATGCTTCAATACAGTAAAAGCATATTACAGTATTTAGCTAATAAAGCACTGATCTAAAATGTAAGATGTTACAATAGCATAGTGAATAAACAGTGGAAAACCTGTAACTGGCAGAGTCCAACTGAGACTTATAGTCCTGTACTGTATTCAGTAAAAAGATGGGAATGGATGTGTGTTTCATTCATCTATTACATAATGTCTCTCTCTGGTATGGGATGAAATTAAAGGGAAAGGTTGGGGGGGGAGCTCCAAATCTGCATTTCTTAGTCCCTGTGTTTGATGATTATAACCCTGACCCTGCATAGTGTCATTATATTCAGATGGTTAAATAACTGTGCTCGAGGGGCTAATTCACTCAACTTGAAGAGCTGTCTTACTCAATAAACAAATGTACTGTACTCAGGTGAGTGGCACTGTAATTAAGGGGTTCAGGTGACAGTGCGAAGTACATAGTGACTTCAGTCTGTCCAATTAAGTATATCCTTCTCCTGGCATTTTTTTAACATCATACACAACAAATAACAGTTGTCCAAACATAAATTACTGACTTACCTCAATAAATTTCATAAGCCTCCTTCATTTTGTCCCTCCACTAAACATTTCACTATCTCTGTATCAGTTTCCAGTCCTCTCTATAATATACACTCTAAATAAGCACATCCCACAAGTGTGTGTAGAAAAATATAATGAATGTGAATTTGAATCAAATCAAGGTGGATGTGTTGGAGGAACGTTTGCCGGCGGATGAGATATAGTTATTTGTAAAGAAAAGAATAATTAAGAACATATTTTGACAAAAAATTCAGCACTATCAAGGAGATGAAAATTATTGATCCTTTTCATACTGACCGAGTTACAGACAAACTTCAGTACTGACAATTTAGAGGAAATAATTTATGAAAGGAAATATTCAGGGAAGGTAAGATACAGCCCATGTTAATTCAGTAGTACAAGGAAAAGATTTAAGGAGATTATAAGCAACCAAGGTAAATTTTCTAGGATATGGCTACAAAGTTAAGAGAATGGAGAAACCAAAAATAAAGAAAGAAGATAAAAAAGTATTGAAAAGATTGATGGAATAATACTGTATATTCTATTCCTCCAATACATTATACTGACATTCTTACAATTGATAAATACAGATGTGAAAACAAATATTAGTTGAGCATGGTGTGTCTGTCATATATGTTGCGGCGTTGCTCTTGCACCTGCCGCTTCCACTTGTCTTGCTGATGTCCCACACGACCCAGGACATTGGGCCGCACACGCAGGGGTTGGGCCATACCTGGAGCTCCCCCAACGACGCCTGCATCTTCTTCTTCATTGGTGTGCTCCTGATAGGAGGGCTGTGAGCGTCGCTTGTTGAGCAGAGGATCCAGGCACAAAAGGAAGCCCATGTACACCACCAGCAAAGATATGATCCAAATCACCAGAATGACAACGACCTGTTGGTGAAACTCCAATGACAATAAACATAAAACTTTTGTGTTCTTTACAAACATTCTATGAAGTTACTGTTTATGTAACTCTTCCTCAGTCCATACAATATTTGAGAACTTTAAAATTCACAACATGTAAAAGTTTGTCCATGCTATGTAGACAATGGCCTATTGTCTAAAATAAATACTAAATTATTGTATTGAATAACCTGATAAAATAAAAAAATAAAAAAAAATAAAAATATGAGGAAGAACTAGAAAATGAAAAATGATATAAATTACAGGAGAGAAGGTTTGGGGTATCATATATTGTGCACACACAAAATGAATGATCTATGAATGAAATAATCAACAGGATATATATATATATTACAGTTTGTTTGCGAAATCTGTTATTTTGCAAAATTTCCGGCATGTGTGCCAAACATTCAAAGAAATATTGTTGAGCTTGCCAAGCACATCATAGGATTTGAAGAAGTTAATTAAGTTGATTCAAATTTTGTCCAATGACTACACAGTAATAAAACAAACTGACCTTAATGGTGGTGCTGTTACGGCTCTCATACTTGCACTCACAGCGTGGGCAAAATTCCTGTTCTCGACCCCTGATGTCATCACCAACTTTGGGAAGAACTACGTTGTCACAGTCACTGAAGACAAAGGTTATTAAGAAATAAAATTTGATTTTATATGAAGATAAAACTTAAGTGTTATAATGGAAAAGAACTAAATTAAGAAAAACCCACATACAACACAAATTATTAAATTACAGTACTGTTATTTGTTATGAATGTTCTAATGATCCCAAGTAGAGTCCTAAAAAAATGTACAGTACTGTACACTATAAAGTTATATACAGGTACTGTAGCTTGAAAGTGGGTCCCATAGGCATCAGGTACAGTGTGGATACAGCACACCAAACCTTCCAAATGTCAAGTGGCAGCATTGATAGCATTGTACAGTACTTGGTTACCTGTAAAGTTAAGTACCCATGTACAGCTGGGTGGACTGGGAAAGCCTCATGATCAAATCAGTGATCCTAAGGATCAGAGACAGGCACTGTACCCACTCAGCTGACACACACATTTTAAAGCCTACTTTACTACTCAAATGGCAAGATGTGGAAAAAAAACTCACTTCATTAATCTTCAAAGCAACCCTCCAGGAGTCTAGGAAATGTGTCCACATTTCAATGATTCTCTCATAACCCCAAAGGATGAATCAACTGAGTGTTACACAAATTAATTGTTGTGTCTTCCTCCAACAGCATCAGATCTTCTCCAAACAAGTGAATTACACCACAAAAATTTATAACAGATAGTACATATAATATATATAAGGCTCTGGGGACTTGACCAAAGACATGGATTTCCGTATTCTCAGCATGTATAAGAGGCTACTACAGTACAAGGGTGGGATACATACTGAACAGCATTACAGTTAGACAGAATCCCTGTAAAAGGTGTTGAAACCTTCAAAATCCATGAGACTTCGGTACCTTATATACTGTACATCCAATTTAATAAAAAAATGAAGTATGTTAGATGGAGATACAGTTCACAATTTACTGAAATTTTAAGGTACAGTATACTGAATGTGACTCACCATTTGCTTGGAGCAACAGGGTCCTTGTACACCATACGGTTACTCTTGGTGCCATTGACAACAGATGGATCAGGGCAGACGCAAATGCACCGTTTATCCTCGTACTCAGCCTTGAACACAATAATTGCATTTTAGATGACAAACTTTCAACATTATCAAAGGTGAATTTTTGTTTATGCACCGGTTTTTCTCTCGCTGTTATTAATATGTATTTCGTAATGCTTAGACAATTCTAAAACCCTTTTCTTTTATGATATTTCAGCCGGAAATTAAGGATAACTGAGATATTAATTTTTCAATATTATTAAATTCGCTCAGTCACAAGTGTCGCCATGTCTTGTTTACCTTGAGGAGATGTTATCTGCGCATCACGCATGCGCAATATTGACTGACGTCATCCAGTCGTGACCACTGATGTATCGATATCATCACGCAAATTTTTTTTTACCAATCACATTTGATTTATTTCAAATGAAGCAGCCTGGGTAATTTCATTGACCAGTCTCACAATGGCCGTGGTGGAGGTTGCTTGTTAATTGTGCTCCTACAATTATTTAAAGTTTATTGCCGAGTTTTACAAGAAAGACGATCATTCTATCCAAATCTTAAGTATCCCCGGTCCTTCCACTTCAAACTAAGGTATTGTACTTTCGGACATGGCGCACCCCAAAGTTTTTAACTACTGAGACATTTAGGTTAGTTTAAGCTAGGCCTACCGGGGGTCCAGGGGCAGAGCCCCTGGAATCCCTGGATAGCGGTCCGACTAATTACCCAAATGTACCCAAATGTAGCCGCAATGAAGTCAAATAATGGTCCTACATGAATAAATCGGACTGCCAATCACTTCTCGACTAGTATTTGGTGTCACAAAGTCACAAAAAATTGGAAAACTTACTTTAATCTGAGTTAATAGATCGCGTGCATGTACCGAGGGAGTGAGTAATTACCCAAATGTAGTTGCAATGAAGTCAAATGATGGTCCTACAAGAATAAATCGGGCTGTGAATCACTTCTCGATTATTATTTGGTGTCATAGTCACAAAAAATTGGTAAACTTAATTTAATCTGAGTTGTGTTAGGTGAGGTTAGGTTAGGTACATGCACTCAATCTATTAACTCAGATTAAATTACGTTTTCCAATTTTTTTTTTACTTTGTGACACCAAATACTAGTCGAGAAGTGATTGGCAGTCCGATTTATTCATGTAGGACCATTATTTGACTTCATTGCGGCTACATTTGGGTAATTAGTCGGACCCCTGGATAGGGATAAGGTTAAATAATTCGTTTTTGTTTTCTCCCCCACCCAAAAACCCAGATTTCCAGGCTCTCCCTTTATTGTTGGGGTGACAAAAACTAGTGATTTCCGGAGGTAAAGAATATCAAATTATTCGAAACTCATCAAATGTCATCGGAAAAACATATTCTTAATATCCAAACAAAGATCGGTGCTCAAGTAAAAATTTACCTTATCAAATACAGTATTATCAACACAATATGTTAACACTTATAATTTTAAGCTGATCTACATTAAATGGGAAACATTCACAAGGTTCACCTTCATTTCTAACAGGAAAAAAATACAATGCAAACACCAATTTTAGTAATACATTTCCCGTCATGGCATTAAACGAATCATAACCAGTAACAGTTTAAAGAGGACTAACCTTTGTCAAGGCAGCACAATAAGCTACAAAAACAAATATTAACAGAACTCTTGGGTTCATCCTGGGAGCCTCCATTACACCCCAAGTGTCAGTCAGATTATAAACAAGGTAGCGTTTAATAATGACTGAAAACTCTTAAATACTTTTTTGAGTTTATTCGCGAACAACCATAATTATATTTGTGAAATAGTATAATTTAATTCTTATTTTACTGAAAATAAGAATGTGTGCGTAAAGGAGGTGGAATGCATGTATTTTTATAATTGAATTCATATGGTCATAGACTGTGGTTCCCAACTTGAAATATATCTGATGACCGACTATTAAAGAGTACAGTTTAAAATGTTAACTTCAGGAAGGTATACGGTGTCGTTATCAAAGAGTTAACTTATTCTTGAATAATGAAATTTCTCTAGAAATTTAGGGTCAGTTCTAAGTTAGGCACAAATCAGTTTAATATTATTCCTAATTACGACATAAAGCCAATTAAAAGTTTAATACAAGAAATATATATTTTTTTAAATGATGCTTTCTATAATATACACTTCTTCATTGACAAGTAAATAAAATATGTAAAGTAAACAAACCCAGTCAGTCAGCTGACGGTGGTGGGCGGAGGCGGCGGAGATAACAAGCGTTAAGGTACTTATTAGTATTTCATTTAATTTACTTTAATCTCTTTGCCACTGATCGGGTCTTGAGCCGCTTGAATGTTTGGTAACATCTCTGTCACGCACTGTTGGCATGTACTGGCTCCAGAATATATCTGCACCTTCGCCAGTGTTGGTCAAGTCTGGTCTTGAAGGACCTCACACAAGGTGCCGTCACAACACTCTCTGGCAGAGTGTTCCAAGAGTTCACACCTATCACCCCAGTAAAGTCAGATCTGACAATTATCTTCACTGTTCTTGTGGCTTCTTAAACCAGAGGCTGTGACCGCAATTGGTATACTCCAGGACAGGTTGGCCACTGATCGGCTCATTAGCCGCGCGGGCGGTCGATCACATATCTGTTACACACTGTTGGCAGTGCTGGGCATGTACTGGCTCCTGAATGAACCTGATCCTGCTCCAGTGTTGGTCAAGTCTGGTCTTGAAAGAGCTCACACTCGGTGCCGTCACAACACTTTCTGGTAGATTGTTCCAAGAGTTCAAATTATTTTTAGATTTGTTCTTTCTCTCACCCTAGATAAGACTCAGTATATAAGTAGGTGATGGCAACTAATAAATATTAACTCTTGCCCATCTTGTCAATTAGACCGTGTTGACAGATGAACTATTGCAGACGGTCTGTATCCTCCACAAGCACAGATAACTTACAGCACGATACCAAACACGACACGATAAAGACGCCATTGAAAACCGGTATGGCTTTCTTCTCCCTCAGTCCTTCTCCTTGAGGAAGAACAATAAGTATTTGAACATACAATTTACTTAGAATTCAGTGCTACTCAAAAGAAATCGGAAATGTATCAAAACTCATAACATGGGATTCACTTCCAACAATATGAGTCTCATCATTTATACATAGAATAGGTTTAAGAACATATTGTGCCAAAAGAAAAAAAAACAAAGGATTTGCACAGGCAATAGACTCACAAATGTGGATAGTGAAACCTATAAGGAAAAACAAAGACACTCAAGCTTATATATATATGGTAATAAAACTCCCAATATGAGGCTCCATCATTAATTTACAAGTTCAGCGAGGCCGGATTATCTCCTGTTTTATCTGAACTTTATCTGTATTGGCTATTAATTTATTTTTCTCGGTTAGAGCGTGCTTCAAAATATATAAACGAATTCCTGCCAACACGTAAATTTTGATCTTGCTAAAGCTAATTCAAGTGCAGTATCTTTATTTTAGTTTTATTTCTCCATATCTGAACTAAATATAATACTGCATAAGAACTTAACTTGGATCAGAGCTTTATTCATTGGTATTTTTTATGTTTTTCACATGTGTTTGATATCTGTACATGTGATTTCGTTATAACATTTTTGACATATAAGGCAATGCTGACCATAATTTTGTAATCGTAAAGTGAAAAAAATGCACCAGAAACGTGCTTATAGTTCTGGAAAATGGAATTCACTATATATATATATTGAATTAATTGTGTAATCATTTTTGTAACAAAGTGAAGCTTACATACTCACGATTATGTTGCTATGATCAGATAACAATCTTGCCATGATTATTAGGAATGATGAAAATGATTATAACCTTAGCAATTTCGAGGCATTAGATTTTGATGACATTTTAATATTTTTATATAGGCTGCTCATAGTTTTAAGGTATCCTAATTTTTTTCCTCTTTATTCAGGGAGTAAAATATGGTTGAGAGAAGATAGTGATGGACCTCCTCGCAGAAAACAATGTGTGTGGTCAGGCGTTGCTGCGCCTTGTGGCACGAGCCAATGCTATTATTGCAGAACTGATGCGGTTATCTGACTTTGTTCCTCCATTGTTCAGGTTTGGTTATTCTTCTCAGCTTCATTATTGTTTATAGAATATCTTTTTTTTCTGTCTATAGTATGAAGGGTGTGGCAGATTTGACAGTCGTGTGTGTTTGTTTGTATCTTAGTGTATTTCTGTGGACTTATCAGGACAGACTGTTAATGACTACAGGTACAGTACTGTGTCGACAATACCAACCAACCAAACCTTCGCTGACAAACGTAGTGATTTTACAATACATTTTATACATGTAAAGTTAGTTTTATATGGTCCTGTGCTTTTTGTTTGTTTCCGTGCCGAGAAACTATATCCTTGGCCATTTTTCATGTAGTTCACTTTATCTACAACCGAAAGTAGTGATACCTACCCGCATTAATTTTTTTTTATGCTCAGTAGTATGAAAGCTTCTGCTAACAACATGGGGCTGACTGAATATTGTAATCACTTCGGAGTTAATGTATACCCCTTGAAGTTTGAAAATTTATGCAAAGAAATATTTATTTTGAGTGGGGTGGGAGATGTAAGTTCAAATGTTCTAGTTCTGTGAGGTTTGGTTCTTGTTTCAGCCATCTTATCTCTAGTGTGAATTAGGAGTACATACTGAGATGTGTTAGGTTGATGTGGTACTGTATTGTCAAGGGAGTGATAGGCCAAGTGTTTCTTAATTTAAAAGGGGAGATTGAATTGAGAGGAATGGCAGTTTGAAGGGACTGTGTTTGTGATGAGCCATTAATAGAGGATAATTAATAGGGGTATATAAGGTAGCTAATGTGATGGAGGCATTGTATAACTCATATTTGGCATGTGATGGGAGAAGGGTCTATTCAGAATAGATAGAAATGTATCCTTTTAGAGCTATAGATGCCAGTACTGTACTATGTAGTACAGTACTGTAATATTGATGGAGTAGCTTGTTAATTTTCCTGAAACCACTTACAGCACTGTATTGATAGATTTTTGGGCAATTTTCAGACTGGAGACAAAGACAGAACAGCAGAAATATGGAGATGTTGTCATAGATTTCACCTACTTTAAGGCTCCTGATGGATTTAATAAGAGGATTGAAGATTCTCCAGTAAGTATGGTGTAGTAAACATATACTGTACTGTATTACAATACAGTATAGGGTTTAATGACAATTCATCTTTTAATAAACTGTTGCTGCTACAGTGATAGTGCTCAAGACTGTATATAGTATCTCTCTTTCTCATAAGTCTTTTAAAATAATTGGTACAGTATTTTTGATAAATAAATCATTGTGTCTTATTATTATTACTGTATTATTGTTTACATTCAAACACTCACGTTTTCCTTGTCCAGAACACTAAGCCACATATATAAAACAGATTTTGTATGCCAATAAAAGTTTTTATTTTATCACACAGGTCTTAGCTGACATTGATGATGAAATTCGTGAGAGCCATAGCAGCATCTTAGACAGAATTTATGCTGTGTTTGAGAGCATTCACCGATATGTGACAGACCTCAACAGTTTCTTGCAAGACCTGAGCGAGGGGACCTTCATCCAGAGGACTTTGGAAAACATGTTTACCAATGAGGATGGAAAACAACTTATGGTAAGACCAGTTACTGCCAATTCAGGTACAGTATTACCTTTCATATTTCTTTTACAAACTAATCACAAGCATAAAGTTTAGTACACATATAATGTACCCAGGACTGTACATCTAAGTTAACCTAACCTGTGCTGCAAGTAAGGGATGTGCAGTATTGGCAGGGTATTAATCAGTTTTGGTATCCAGTATAGTTAGTGATTTTCTCTTTGTATTTTAGTTTTGGAATACAGTCAGTATTTACAATAACTATACAGTAGTGTCTGGTTTTGACAAAGATAATGCTAAGTACTCAAAAACAATGATTATAATAGTTATCTATCCATTACATCAAAGACAAATCAAACTATCATTGCTTCAGGGGATGCCATCTCAGGATACTGGAAGATGTTGTTGTCTTGCTCTTGATTTTTAATGGATGATAAGTGTATCCAACAAGTATGGTGACTTTGGTTTTTAAGGTTGTAAAAAGTTAGACTTGCATAAATTTTATTCAGTGAAAATAAATCCTGAGTTTTGCATTATCTCTACAGTGTGAGGCATTGTACCTGTATGGAGTAATGCTCTTGGTGGTGGACACACTCTTCCCCGGCATAGTTCGAGAGAGAATTATTGTTACTCATCACCGACATGCTGGCCAGAAAGCAAGTGACACCAATATTGATGATGTATGCAAACTTCTGAGGTCTACAGGCTTTTTTGCCACCCCTGGTAGCAAAAGACCTGTGAATTATCCGGAGGACTATTTTAGGTGAGGTGCAGTGTGAGATAAGAAATTAAATTTAGAAGTATACCTGTACCTGTATAAAGAAACTACAGTACAGTACTGTATCAATAAAAAATTATGGAGTTCAGCATAATGTACAGTACCAAAAAAAAGTATCGTTACAGTTTGACAAAATGCTTTGATATGATCCCCAGTGCATCGTCATAAGTTGGTACGCCTGCTTGCCATATCAGCATCAGCTAGAAATGGGGGTAGGATTGGGCTAGGAAGTCGTACTTGTATGGCATACTAGATACTTCAATATAACAAGAAATTCATTAAGCTATACTGTATTAATGTAGGGGTATATATCATTCGAAAATATATATACTGTATACTCATTTACGCTCAAAGTCTAATAACATTGCTTGGAAAACCTCGAATCATGTCGACTTCATGGCTAACGATACTTTTTGGGGGACTGTACATAGCAAAAATATTACAGAATTTACAGTACACTATCTGGTTACTGAATGTTCTTGTTGTTTCAGGAGAGTTGAACTACCCAGTAACTACCTAAGTTTCGTACTGGGTCACTTGAGGTCTGATGACATCTATCACCAGGTTAGTTATTATTACTTTCCTGTGTAGCTTTTATTCTTCCTAATCTAATATGACAGAACTTAGGCTTGACCTCTGTACAGATATGTCCACTTGTACACTTGTCTGTTCATTTTTTTATCGGTAGAAATGCCAGTGTGTTAACAAACAGAGACTTAGGTATAAAGGACTTGTATTAGATAGTATCCTGGATCTCTAATGAACATCAAACAAATTATGCATGAAACTTCAATAACTGCTACTGTAATTTGATGATTTTTTTCCCTGGAATTTCCATAAAGTGACTGAACTTTAGGATACCACCAGGGACCATATGTAAAACTAATGGTTATGATTAAAATATCAAAGGTCACAATTTTATATTGAGATTCACTTTTAGATCATTGACTTACAAGCTCAATACACAATGCAGATATGCAAAACATGTACTTAGACAGTGCAGGTATACAAACAATGGTAAACGACAAGACAATTTGATGAAGGATTGCCAACAAGCTTATTTCCAGTACAGTACGGTCCTGTTGCTTTAATTTTTCATAATATTTTGGTTGTGCTTAAATTAATTCTATTTCTCATTATATCCTCAATAGGTGCAGGCGTACCCATCACCTGAACATCGCTCAGCCGCTCTGGCCAACCAAGCTGCCATGTTATTTGTTTGTTTGTATTTCACTCCTGCCACACTCCATTCCCAAACAGCCAAGATGAGAGAGATTGTGGACAAGTATTTTCCAGATAATTGGGTCATAAGCTACTACATGGGAATGACAGTCAACCTTATAGATGTTTGGGAGCCATACAAAGCTTCCAAACAAGCTCTCAACAACACACTAGAGGTGAGGTGTACATCTGTGGCACTTGGATAGTCTGTACAACTTGTAGCTCTTAAAGAACTCTTGTTATTGGTATGTGTTACACCAAATTTGACTGGGTTTAACAACAAAAACTGAACTCCATATATTTTATTTCAAATATTGATAGCTTCTCTCCCACATAATGCCTCGCTATGATGAAGGTGCAAAACTCTTGATTTACCATTAAGAAATAGATACTGTATACAGTATTTGTGTGTCTTCTCCTCCTCACTCACTTGGCTTGTCATGTAATCTGGGTCATCCACATCATCAAAACTCAGGTAATTCCCTGGACTGATCTCTGTGTCCACAATATTGTCCAACTTGGCCTGTATCTCCTCATTGAAGAGGGACCTGGGTCAATGCGAGGCCGTACTATTTTTCGTAATAACATGCCCAAACTGAAGGTCATTAGGGAGGGTGTAGGCCAGTTCCCTCTCATTTATTTATAACCACGATTTGCCAAATACTTCCAAATGAGTTTTTTCTACAGATCTGGACCCATTGGCCCCTTTAGCAAGGACTACAGGACCTTAGCTTAATGTGACGTAAACTATGTCAGTGACCAGGTATCATATGATGAGAGATCACGTAATTTACGTCGGTGACCATGTACAGGTAGCCTTGTAAATGATTAGTTGTCAGCAAAAGCAATATCTTCCGTTGGACCAAACTTGACTCCTGTATCATCATGTATGTCTTTTAGTGTATATTGTTAGTAAAATAATTAATGATTTGAAATTCTGTATAAATACCGGTAGGTTTCAAACATCAGAGAACAAGCATACAAAGCCGCTGCAAAGATGAGCAAATTAGTGAAACAGACAGACCAGCTGCTTGCAGAGGGATCCCTGAATGAGGGCAGAGTCCTGGACCACAGCAACAGGCTTCTCAATCTTTTGCGAGAGTGCAATGTGGCTCTGAGGTGGGCGGTGCTACATGCTGCTACCTTAACAGAGGCTGGTGGAGAAGGGAACAAGCGCTGTAAGGTCGTTAGAGATCAGGTAATATTTGCTTTACTGTGCACATCCTTATTCACTTCATGTCATAAACCTGAATTAATATTATTGCTCTGTTGATATTTTGTAGTGTTGTACTATAGCACTTTTAGTTCTTTGAGACAATATCAAGAGAACTATGAGGGTTGGTTTTTGTTGTAGTCGTATTTGTACTTTCTGTAATGATAAATGTAGTAGTGGCATTGGTAACAGCAAGGATTAAAACCCATTCATGCATCTCAAAAATTGTATAATGAATTCATGTAAATATCAGGGATGAAGGTCTCCATTAAAGTATGTAAATGGATAACTTTACCCAGTGATCAATTGTTGACCAAGGCAGTGAACTGAGTGCTGGGTGTTTAATGTTGTCTTTGCACTTTTTCAATGTGTTTACCACTTCCAGTTCTTATTCTTTCAGATGAAAATTGGCCATTTGCTTTAAATTCTTAAACTTTTGCACATTGTTTACAGTTTTTTTATTGGAAATTTCTTATGTTGCAGGTAGTGAGTGATATGCAGTATAGCCCAATGATTGTCTTCCAACTTATGCTCAACACGGCCACCTTGGAACATGACCTCAACCAGATATACAAGAGGCTCGTTGAAGAGAAGGTTGCCAGTATTATCATTGTCTTGTGTTTTCCTTTTGGTTGTGGAAAAGATGAATTGATAAGGAAAATATTCAATCATTTTTATTCATGTAGAACACAAGTACAGATATATGTTAAATTTTGCTCTAACTTGATGCATACTTCATATGCCTGATTATATATACAGTATACATGTACAGGTATGGGACCATTTATCCGGCATCCCGGTATCCGGAACGATCCAAACACCGGCTGTGTTTTGGAACAATTTATTTAAAGGGAGGGCTAAAAATAATTCCCGGGCCGAGCGGGGATATTTTCAACCAATTCCCACCTGTGAGCAATGTATTATGTTTTGGTTATTTTTCAACTCGTAATTTCAGGTAGATATATGATATATAACTTTCTTCATTTTCTTTATGCAGTTACATACACACTCAATCTTGCTTACAGAATGTGAAAACAAAATTACCCTAAGGTTTAAAGTATTTTTCAACTGATATCAGGTAGATGCATGTAATTTTTTTCATTTTTTTACTCGGTTACATGGACACATAATTCTACATACAGAAAGTACAAAAAGAAATGAAAGAATTGATTATCATAAGGTATAAAGTTTTATGTATCTACGGGTTTACATCCATGAACTTGTATAATGAATGTTTGGAGGTTGGAGCGTGGCAGAGCACCATTGCTAAGACAGTGCGTGCATGCGTGCACAATATTTATAAAAAGTAAGCATTTAAATTAGCATTTACCATTGCCATATGAATAATTCTAGAATGCTCAGCTTAATTTTTCATGCCGTGGTTTGAAGTACAGGTACGGACATGAGGCGAGTGTCTCCCGCGCGTGAATTTTCGTGTGCATACTCTGTGTGAACTTCATTAATTTCTTAACCACGCGAGTCTACACCATTATTAGATGCACAATTTTTTTATCTACATGTTCAGTCTATTGATTTAACCCCTTTAATCAGAGAGACTTACATGGTACGTCCTCTTACACCAAGCATCACATCAAAAGGATGTACAGTCCCCTTCACAAGTGTGTTTACAGGGGCTCATCATATAAACATTCCACAAATCATTATCATTGAGGTATTTGTTTTAATTTGATTTCATAGTATGTTTACTATTACTAGTTTCCTTCTGTAGAATGTAAACAAACACTGGACTGCCACACTGCACAAAACCTGATAAGCCCCTGTAAATGCACTAGTGAAGGGGACTGTACAGGTACTGTAGCTAATACATCCTTTAATCTCCATGATAGTAGAAAAAACTGGGAGGGTAAAATTGCTTTGATATGGCACTAGTCTTTTTATAAGACACTCTTATCTCACTCGGCTTGGTCAGATTTTATTTTTCTCCTTGCTTGATTTGGGGTGAATATTAAACTTACTGTATGTGTTTTCTTACTACTTTCTCTGAGTGGCCAGCTTGGTCTGTTTACTTGTTTGTTAAGAGACTGATCACCACGTGTGGTGGTCAGTGGGCTGCCAGCTGAATGATGGGAGTATACATCCATACACACTCCCTCCCTCACACACCCCTTTCCCTCACACCCACCTCCCTCACACACACATCCCCATTCCTCACACACACACACACATCCCCATCCCTCACACACACACACACACATCCCCATCCCTCACACACACACACCCCATCCTCACACACACACACACCCCCATCCCTCACACACACACCCCCATCCCCACACACACCCACACACCCCTTCCCTCACACACCTTCCTCACACACCCTTCCTACACACACCTTCCTTTACACACACCCTTCCTTACACACCCCTTCCCACACACCCCCACACACCTTCCCTTACACACACCCCTTCCCTCACACACACCCCTTCCTCACACACACCCCCTTCCCTCACACACACCCCTTCCTCACACACACCTTCCTTACACCCCTTCCTTACACACCTTCACACACCCCTTCCCTTACACACACCCCTTTCCTCATACACACGTCCTCACCCTCACCCACTCCCTCCCTCATGCACACCCTTCTAATCACACACCCCCTCTCTTACCCATCCTCTCTGATGTAGTGTTTGGTGACCATATTGGCCCCTCTGAGCAAAGGGGTTAATAAAATAAAACTGTTTAAAGTACTGTACATAATTTTGTATATACAGGTTGACAATCCTTTATCCGAAATCCTTGGGGCCAGAGGCATTTCGGTTTTCGGAATTTTTTTTTTTTTTTTTTTTTTTTGTGTGTATTAGCCCACCCGGGCATAGATCACTGACCCACATTGGGGCCTGGGGGTCTAAAATATAATAAAAATTATAATAATAATAATAATAATTCATAGGTCTAGGTCGTGTTTCTCACTTTTGATCTTTTTTTCATTCTTGTATTTCTTTACTGTATTATTATTTTATTATTACAGTTTTATTGTTATTATTATTATTATTAATTTTATTATTATATTTTATTATTATTATTATTATTATTACTGTATTATTATTATTATTATTATTGTACTAATCATTATTATTTTATTTTGGTATATAATTATTAAAAATTTTATTTACTATGAATAATTATTATTATAATTATTATTACTATTACATTTTTGCCCCCCAGGCCCCGATGTGGGTCAGTGATCTGTGCCTGGCTGGGCTAATAATCCCTGTTAAAAAAAAAAAAAAAAAAATGCCCCACAAAAACCTTTCGGTTGTTAGAGCTTTTCGGTTTTTGGAATTTCGTGTAAGGGTTGTCAACATGTACTGTACGAGTAAACCTTCCTCAGCATTTTTCTTATTTCTTCCGGTTACTAGTTCATCAGATGGGACAAATACAGGAAGGAAGCTAACGAACAGGTAATAGAATTATCAGAAGTGTTTGCTGGGAGTAGACCCCTCGCCCGGGTGCCAAAGAATGACCGCCTCCACAAATGGTTCAATGACATAGGAGAACAAATTTTGAGTTTGAAACTGGATGACCCGGGCTCTGCAGGTCGCAAGATTATTCAGCTAATACAAGCTCTCAAGGAAGTTAAAGGTAAAACTATAACTTGTTAAAAAATGTTGTTTCTGTTTAAAAGACTCATGTTTATTATTTGTAGTTTTTTGGAAAAAAAGAAACCACAGTAGAGTAGCTAAGTTACTTTGTGGAAGCTTTATCATGGGAGACTTTCTTTTGGTGATGGATCATTTCTCCATATAGTGCAGAGCATTTTGAAGGACTGCCTGAGATCCACCACCAGGATTATCTGTCAGTCTGTCCTAGTAGAATTAAGACAAATTGAGGTACAACTTAAGTGTTGGATTGAAAGAATGCACAAAACTTTGTACATCTGGTATTAAAACTGACATAATTCATTATTGCTGCACATTGACTCCCTGTCTTAGGGGGCAGACAGTAGTGTATGTTGCTGAAGTGGAGTGTTATTTATACCTTCACTCCAGAATTCCATGGACTGGAGTCAAGTGCTGGTGTGGTTCAAGCAGTGGGGGAGGTAGTGTCAGCCCTCCAAGCCTTGGTGAGAATAGCAGGGGTGACAGAGGACAACCTCATTACCCTCTCTCTCATCTCTGACATCTCCTATGCCTGGGCACTTGTTGATGAATACACACCCATCATGCAGGTGTGTTGCAGTATGCCCTAAATTAGATGGCCTTTAGATTATCGTATATTATTTGTGAAATTGTGATTTTGATACATTAATGATAAGGTGTTTCACTTTAGTTGTACTGTACATGTAATTGCAATTTGGTTCATTTTTTCATAATGAGAGTGTGTGCCCTATCTTGAAAAATATATACCCAGTAATTGGAGTTGAAATATGATATAATTCATAATGTACAGCAATTGTATATTTCCTTTTCTCGTTTGTCAGTCCGCAATCAAGAAAGATCCCTCCCACGTGGCTAGATTGCGTGCTACATTTCTGAAGCTGTCATCAGGATTGGACCTCCCTCTGCTACGGATCAATCAAGCCCGCAGCCCTGACCTCATCTCTGTTTCTGCATATTATTCTGGAGAGCTGGTTGCTTATGTTAGAAAAGTAGGTTATTGGAAAATGGGTGGTATTATTAGAGGCTGTAGTCTATTAACATTTAGAGGAGAACAGAATTTTAGTGTTTATTGTTGAGAAGCAGAGAATGTGTGACAATATTTAAATTACTCCTTTAAATGCCTTGGCTTAATGTAATGATGTAATTATTAATAGTTTTAACCCATTATCTGAGCATTGTTGGATAAATGTAATAGCTCAGTTGGTTAGATGGGATGTTGTCTTAGATATAATGGATTTGCTTTTTTTGTATGTAGGTCCTCCAAATTATCCCTGAGACAATGTTTGGTCTCTTGGCAAAGATCATCAAGCTCCAGACAGAAAGAATCAAAGAGGTGCCAACACGCCTTGACAAAGACAAGATGAAGGATTTTGCTCAGCTTCCAGAAAGATATCAGGTATCTGCTTTATTTATGTTTTGGTCAGTGAGTATAGTAGAAACAGTGATAACACATGTATCACTCACTACTGTGTCCTGGGAACAGATGAGAGAAGGGTGTTATCCAGTGAGATTAAACCAAACATCACAGGTCTTCTCTGGTTTCTCCCTCCACTAACACTAGGCTGACCAACTACCCAACTGGCTAGTACAGGCAGTCCCCAATTTATGAAGGTTTTCAGTTTACAAAATCCCATAGTGATGAAGAAAACAATTTTTGTCCCATATTTCAATTTATGAATAAAAATTTTTACTTTTTTTTTCAATTTTCTTAATTTTTTCGTAAGTAATAATGCAGATATGGAAAAATAATTTTTTTCTACCAATATGCTTACTTATTTCCTTAACTTACTTCATTATTCTCTAACACTTGCAATGATATTTATTCTGCAAAAAAGTTTGTGTCATCATTCTTGTACAATCACCATATAAATAACTCCTCAGACTTGATGAGGACAGTAGACTTGTCTCCAGCAGTCACTTAACCAGTTGCATGATTGTCAAGTTTCTCCTAATTTTCTCTCGTATAATATGAGGCAAATTAAATGAAAGAAAAATTTTCTGTGTTCTTAATACAGTACCATAATCTAAGTACAGTATTTACTGCTGTATAAAGGTGTATAGAGTTATAAGAGAAAGTGGAGAATTTGGAAGAGAACCAAAGCTTGGAGGTGTGGATATTACTGGCAATGCATGTAAACAATGCAGTGGGAATTTAAGATGATGCAATAACTCATCATGAGTTGAGTACAGGTATAGGATTTTTATTGCAAACCCAAACATATGTGGAAAAAAGCCCCCCAAAAAGTATCGTTAGCCGCGGGGTCGATGTGATTTGAGGCTTTCCGAGCTCGGACAAATTTAATAATATAGTACTATACTGTAGATATAATATGATTATTTTACTTGGGTGATTAAAGATGTTTGGAGGTATTATATACATGTCTTACTTTAGATAAACACATAAGTGAAATTTTAATCTAAAAATGATTGTTACCTGTTGCATGGCATAACATACATTGTACAGTGGCCCTCAGTTAACGAACTCAATCCGCTCCAGAAGGTCGTTCGTTAACCGAAACGTTCGTTAACCGAAACCATTGTTTCAATGGGTTTTTGGGTAATTGGTTCCAGCTCACCGAAAATTTCCTAAATTCAACAAAAATGGTAGAAAAGTTCACTTACTTTGAGGTGTGTATGTAGAAGGCTCCTGGATGATGATGATGATGATGGGATTTAGAATGGGGGTGGAGGAGAAGGAAGAAGAGAAGGCATTGGGGTGGAAGAGAAGTCACCCCATGGTGCCATTTCACCCATAAAATTTTAGCTCTCTGGTTTAATTCAAGATTATTTTCTTTAAATCAACGCTGCACTGCATTATATATTGTCAATATATAAAATATATTTCAAAATGACCAATAATTTGCTTGGAAACACAGAAAAAAAGCGTTTAGTTGAAGAGAGTCTCAAGCAAGATGTTACCTCCAGTGAAAACAGAGAGAGACTGACGCCTGTTTGCTGTGTAAAGAGGCTGGATGCCGCGCATTAAACTAGTCACTTTACCTTCAATTTTGTTCAATAATTGTTAAAATGACTAAAAATTGAATATTAAACTTTTAAAATTATTGAATAGTATAAACTTCTTGATATTTACAAAAATAGTAAGGAATTTAAGCCCTAGAACCGATTAATGTATTGGCGGACTGATACTAAAGCTGGTTGCCCTGTCAGTGCAAGCGAAAACATGTTGAGGTCGGTTCGTAAGAAGTTCGTTAAGCGAATTTTTTTTCGTTAACCGAATTGAAGATCCTTATGGAAGGCAGTTCGTTAATCGAAATTACGTTAACCGAGGTGTTCGTTAAACGAGGGGTCATTGTACTGTATATTCTTTTACAAAGATTTTTAGTACTGGTCTAAGGTTCCTACAACTAAGGATGTAAAGGTATTTAATAAATAAAAGCTTAAAGGATATTTTGCATGCAAGACCCATATCTGAAAGGGCAGAGCAGCAGGCATGATTATTGTGAGAGTTTTCTTGTTAAAGTTTGATTTATTTGTTTATTTTGAATTGTGAAAATGATTATGTATTTATTCATTTGCCAGATGGCTGAACTTAGCCATAGTGTGGCAGTTCTGGCAGAAGGCGTGGCAATGATGGATACTACTCTAGTAGGTGTGATACAGGTTGACCCTCGTAGGTTGCTGGAAGATGGGGTGCGGAGAGAGCTGGTTTCTCTGGTAGCTCGCATATTGCATGATGGACTTACATTTAATACGAAGGTCAAGGTTAGTATAGTTAGTAATTTCATTCAAAGTATGATACTGTATTTATATTTCTAATAAACTGTGGACATACTTTAGTAGTTCATCCACGGTACAGTATTTAACTGGGTGGTCACATAAATTAGTTCTGTGGCTGAGTTAATACAGTGCTCACCTCCAGTCCTTAAGGGTGCTAGTTTACTCCAAGGGCACTCCAAGTTTACCCAACTGTGAATAAGTTCCTAACATTACACTTGGAAAAAGTGAAGGACATTGAGTGCAGTTCTGGCCACTGTCTTATTATGCATTAAAATAGGCAATCTACCATATGCTGCATCTGTACAGTTCCTTGTGGGTTGTCAAGCCTACAGGATCCACTTTCATGTATAAAATGACATTAGAAGTAAGTATCCTTACAAATCTTTTAACTTTATTTCATCTATACAATGTTTTTGTTTACTTCCATTGGATCCTGTGGAATGATATAGAACAGAGTAAGTCATCATGTTTATTTGTATCTCTTACTAAATGTTTCTCTATGTTAGGTAATACACCCTATAATGTCTATCTACATGTATTATAGTAGGTAATATGAAAGATGCACCTTTCCTAGTCTTCATCAAAGAAAGAGATTTTCATATAGTTTCTGATCCTTCTTAATATCCCTGTAATGTACACTACTATGATTGTTAATACTACAGTATTGTTATATCTGTACTGCAAAATATGTAAGCTTTAGTCTCAATAGTGTAAGAGAAGTTTAAGCACATTGTATCTTTGGTAGCTACTGATACATTTTTTTATTTATGAACTTTAGAAATATTGTAAATTTAATAGGTTCTCATATTTTTTTCCAGGATAGTTTAATATACAGTATAGTAATGTAAATGGAGTTTCATGCTTTTAAGACATCTGTCATTAATAGGTTTACCAGTTACAACATTCAAGTTTATTCTGAGTACTTTATCAGCTAAATTTTTATCTTTGAATGAAATTATGGTCTTCATCTCACAGGGCAGTGAGCTGTACAGGAGGCTTACTCTTGTTGGCCAGAAGATGACAGGATTCCGAACATCTTTTGAGTACATCCAAGATTACATCAGCATGTATGGACTGAAAATATGGCAGGAAGAAATGTCTCGTATTGTTAATTACAATGTTGAACAGGTGGATATTTAGAATTTTTTTTAAATACTGTACAGGTTTATTACATTTTTCTATTAAGAAGAAGTAGTAGTTGTTATAAATTAGTGATAAAAGCTAGGGTGCACTGCATAGACTATCCAGCTGGATAGTGAATATTTTCACTATCTGTTATCCAGCTATATAATTACATAGTACTATCTGGCTGGTTAATATGTACTATCCAGCCAGATAGCCAATAGTTAAAATTTTCAACTTTGTATATGTAAATACAGTACAATTAAATAAAGAGAAAATAAATGAAAATGTGAATAATAAAAAATCTCACTCAGGACTGAGTTGGGCTCTATTATTAGGGTTTAGGTGAAAAGTTACAGTTGTCAAACCAACTAGCAGTCTTGACTATCACAGTCATCTTCATTAGCCTTTGTTCTAGGCCAGCCAAACAAAACAGTTTCATACGGAAACATTCAGCATTGTTAGAGAATTAGTTATTTTCAACTTGGGGAAATATCAAATGTAAGAAAAGTCTTATGGTTAGTTATGGAGGGATAAAGAGTAAGCAAAGTCCAACAGGTAATGTACAGTATGTGGCTGCTGCTGAACATAACTTTTAATAATAATGTTTCATGGACAAACGTATAAGTAAAGAGAGATGAATTACCATGTAAGTGGATGCTACCTAAGACTACTGTACTGCAAGAGTGCAGGTGCAGGCTTGCAGTTAGCCCAGCCCATTTATACAGAGATCAACACAAGCTATATAATTATACCATCTGTCCTTATTTTTTTACGTTATCTGGTTAGGTAGTAAAATTAACTCTGGTGCATCCATAATAAAAGCTGTAAATTATTGTTTCATAAATTTTAGTTAATGAGTTGTTGGATTGGTATTAATTAGTTGTTCAATAATTACATTAGTAACTACTGGACGTGTTCAGCAGATAATTATACTTACTTGTGTATAAGCTAGTAATTTATTCATTATTGAAGTTTTATTGTCACTATATATATGGTTTGCTAATTATGAATTTATGTTTTTTCTTCCCACATCTTGTACACAGCTAAAACTGTCAAAATAACTTGTCATGATATCAAGTGAACTGTTCAGTATTTTTATTTGTTGTCTAACACTATAAAAAAATCTAAAAATATATTTTGATACTATTGGAGTTACTTCTCTCTTTCAAATGTAGGAATGTAACCAGCTTCTGAAGAAGAAGATCTCCGACCACGAGAGCATCTACCAGAGTGTAGCTATACCTATTCCTAAGTTCCCACCAGTGGACACACAGTCAGTAAACTTTATTGGCCGACTTGTGAGGGAGATTCTTCGTATTACTGACCCTAAGTGAGTACATTAAAGGTGTACAGTAGTTATAACTGCATTCTAAGCTGTATTACTTGAGAGGAAATACAATAATATAACTTTATGAAAAAATACTGTAATCAAAGAATGATAGATCAAAATTGGAGTTACCTTATTCCTAAAGAGTGATTTGCCTTTCAATCCACACACTAATTGAACAAGATGACAGTATACATGCTACAGGTATGTCATTGACAATACTGTACACCTAATTTTGCCAGGATACAGTATACTGTGCTGTACTTGCCACAACTGTACAGTACCTATGATACCTCAAACTCTTATTATTCAGGACTACAGCATACTTGCCAAAGATATATCTAACAACACACACTGTAATACTTGTATGTACAGGAGTAGTATAATATACTTGCCACAGACATACTTTTGATAACACACATTCTTAATTGTGCAGGACCACAGTATACGTGACACAGCTAGGAACCTGGTACGACTGCAGGACACATGCAGAGGTTCTCTCCAGCTCCGTTATGGCCAAGGTGGAATCAAGCATCAGTACAGCTGGATTGACGGGCGTGGATAAGCTACTAGCTTTTCTTATTGTTACTGAACTACAGGTTAGTTTACTACAGGGAACTTAATCTTAACTATAATTCTGTTTAAGTCATCTCATAGTTTTGAGTAATTGACAGTCAAATTTTGGCTGAGGTGGGTTGAAGGTTTTATAGCTGTTTTTGACTAAAGTTTATAAGGCTGGTTAATGAGTAAAGTGTGTGGTATTGTATCTAATAAATGCTTGGTTGGGGAGTCACCATAACATGAACAACAATGTATGAGAAGAAACCCACAATGGCAGATGAAATGTTTATTCCAAATAGTTTTAGTGACAAACAAGGACTGACACATATGTTGATGAGACAGGATTAAATCAAGGTTTCATGAATAGTGAACGCATGTACAGTAGATTTGTTTTGATTTAAAATGGCTAGTACTGTATGCTGATAAGTGGTGGACATGATAAAAAAAAGAATAACAAAATACTGTACTGTAATCAGACTTCAGAGAGTTAAATTACAAAATTTGTGAAATACAACAAAAGGTGCCATGCTATGTGAAATTTATGGTGAAAGAAAATTAGGTCATAAAATTCTTACTTGCAGAATTTGTTACGTGAGATGGAAATAGCAAGTAAGAAGGATGTTGCAGTAAAGGAAGTCCTGCGAGTTATATCTCCCCAGCTCAACCCAAACAGCCAAGTACTTGGTTAGTACAAAAAATAAAGCTATTTGAGCCTGACTGTTGTTTTTAAAATATTGCAGTAACCATTTGTTAAGAAAGCTCTGAGTGTTTAGATTTCAATTAATATTTTGTCGAATCTAAAGTAATTGTAAGATTTAGAAGAATTAGAGAGAGCCTCAAAGAGAACATGCATGGAGGAATTGGAGGTTTTATTTTGGTTCCTTACCTAAAATCATTGTACTGTATAAAGAACACCTCTAAGTCCTAAAAAATAGTACCTTGCAAAAATTTATCATGTGTTTAATGGCATAACAAAATTTTAATAAGTCTTTCAATAATGGGATACACTACAGTATTTCATCAACAGCTCAACCAACACGTCAGTACACTGGATGGACTCAGCGCACCAGCAAGTTGACCACCTCTATGGTTGATCGAATCATGCGCATTGGTCAGATGCAGATCTTAAAACTACATGCAGCGAACCGCCTGAACTCATCTTGTAAATTTGATGCAAAATATCTTGCAGCTGCTCTTAGAACCATGAATGAGTAAGTCTTGGCCTTTCGGTTTTCTTGATGTTTTCAGCTTTTGTTACACTTCTTCAAAAAAATTCTTTACAAATCCAGTACTGTACAGGTATTATCCAATGAAAAAAGAAATAAGTTAGAGGGCAACGAAGTATAGTTTTATAAAGACACACTATAAAGGACGATATTACTTATACTGTACTGTATTTTATATTAAAACACTTAGAGTTTACAATCAACTCTTATTCTCATTATGCTGTACTGTACATGATATTTTGCAGCTGAGTCAATAGTCCTTCATTTTTATTTTCTTTCGTATTACGTCTTTCCAGAAATATGAGTACTGTACAGGTATTCTTATTTTTCACCATAGATATACAGCGTATCACAACTGCTTTAAATCTGTTGATTACATTACTGCTGCTGCCCCATTAACTACGTTGTACCTTCAGACATCGGGTATTGCTGTTTCTTTCCAGTCATCTCAGCCACTGTTAAATTGTGGTGGTAACACTATGATAAAAATATTGGTTCCATCCAAAGTAAACCAATTGGGTGAACTGTGGCAGGCTCCTTATATAGTACACCACGTATTGAATAGTTACCAGTATCTGCATTGTATTTAAAGTTGAGGATAATGATGTTCTTTGTGATACTCATTATACAGTGAAACCTCGTTAATTCATATTAATTGGAGGGAAAGGTGATCTGGATTAGCAAAATATCCGGATTATTGCAAATTTCAAAGCACAAAGGCCTACCACAGAAATAAATGGCAAATTAACAAATATAATGAACAAAACAATAATAACCTGTAATACATAAAGTTGTACATTTATTTAAATAAGAGCTCCTGCAGGAAGTGTAGAGGCAGTGAAGGTAGGTAATGTGGGGGGGGGGGGCAGTTAGGGCACTTGTTATAACATTTTTATATACAGTAGTACTACAGTACTGTACTGTGTGACTAAATCACTTGTACACTAATTTGAGTCACTATCTCAAAGATCTACACTTTAACACTTATAGTTCTTCATCATACTCACCAGATTGTAAAATTTGTTGAGATTCAAGAGAAGGTGTAGTAATAGCATTATGTGGAAGGGACAGGAATGGACACATTGTTTGCCACGTGATCCGGATTAACGAGGTTTTATTGTACAGTATTAGGTGCACTGTAAAAACATGGCTCCCTCACTTATAACTACCTTACTGTATTTCTTGTTAATGTAATATGTGTTGATTAGTGGAAATTAGTCATGTAGGTCAGTTTCTAAGTTTGATTTGTATCCTCAGGTCACTCATGACAGATGTAAAACAGCACTATGCAGATCCCACTCGACCATACCCAGACGATGATGGTACTCTCACGAGTGAATTGAGCGTTTTCCTCGAGTGGTGTGGGATGACTCAACCTCTCGACAGGATCTACATCACTACATGTCCATTGAGGCCCCTCAGCATTATCCTCCTCCTCACTGTCATTGCTCAGATCTCAAAAATTCACTATGCAAAATCCTTAGGTCAGTTGATATGGTAACTCGATGAAGTGTTTTTTATGCTTTAGAATGTATCAACGAGTTATGATTCCCAACATGAATTCGTGTTTAGACACTTCTATAAAACTAATAGTAGTGTTATTTGATTAATGTAGACAAAGATGGATTGATACAGCTAATGAAATGTGAAAACCTGGTGTAAACAAATGTCCATTATTGATGGTACTTACCAATTTCTTATTGGATGTCTTTATTTTAAAGTGGGTAATGAAATACAGTATTGCAAAGATCACTGCTAAATCCAGACATATGTTACTCAGGAGGCCTGACTGGTATCAAAGGTACAGAGGGTATCGATGGTGAGCTCTTGATAGTGGGTCTAGTGACAGTGCTACGGCAGTTCCATCAAGACCACACGCTGCGATTCATTCAACTCTTAGCCCAGTACATTACCTCTCATACTGCACATAGTGCTGCAAGGTAGGTGGCAGTCTTATTTATTATGATTATTTTGTTATATAACTTACTTGTCCTAAATCTGTTGCTGTTTTTCACTAAATGTCATGTTATGAATACACACTATCTTTTGTTTTTAGACTTTTGACAATACAGATTAAAAAGAATAAAAAAGTTTCCTAATACAGTACCTTGCATAGAAAGCATCATGCATACATCTTGATTATGTAAGACTTTTTTATACTTTTTAGGTGCAACCTAAATTGTTTTTAAATGCGTTCATGTTAACAGTAGTGGGAAGACTGCAGATTTACCCCATGAGACAGTGACCGGCATAGCGGTACTGCAAGAAGTTGCCCGCAAGATGTCGGTTTCAATGAAGACGTTATCGCTGTATGTTCCTCAGCACTTGCTTGCTGCCCACAGTGGTTAAGTCCTGTGAGGCTCCATTAAATATTAAGCTTTATTAAAAATAAAAGAACATTTTTAATTTATAGCTATAAGTACTGTATACAGTAAAAAAAAATTTGCCACTGTGTGGAAGAATATGACACCAAGGTTGAAGGATTTTGACAACCCTACCGAGACAACACGAGTCATGATGATTGTTTTGAAATTCATTGGATTCACATGGAGAGATACTGTACACCCGTTTTTACTGTGTACATTTTTTCTCAATCTCTGGAGCATAATATAAATATATATATTTATTACACTATATACAGTAAACCCTAGTTTTTACCGACTTAAATGGGGGAGAGGGGAGGGTCAGAAAAGCCGATAAGTCAGGTAATCGAGGTAACGTAAACAAAATTTAAATATGTATTAAAATGATAAATGTATGACAATTTAAAAAATTGGTACGAAGGTGCTCAGCTGTGTAAGTGTCCAGTGTGGGTGCCATATTTGTTATTGTTTGGTGATTGGTTGATGCTCTAACAACATTCAATTAAAATCCAATTCAAAATTTATTTGAGCCCAAGAACAATGAGTGGTAAATATGCATTATACACTACTACAGCTTATGGTCACAAAAAGAAGAGGAAAAGTGTTACATTAGAAGTTCACTTACATGTGGTAAAGAGATTTGAAGAAGGACAGTGAGCTGTGGACATAGCAAGAACTGTCGATTTGCAGCCTTACTGTAGGTAAGAACAATTTGTGGGTCGGTTAAATGAGGTTTTACTGTGTATAATATATATATATATATATATATATATATATATATATATATATATATATATATATATATATATATATATATATATAATTTTTGTACAGGTTATAAAAGTACTGTTGGAAATTATGTAATTTTTTAACTGAATAAATTGTGTACGTTAAAGACAGAGGTACAGTAAAACCTCTATCAACCGACCCTCGATTATTCTGATTTTTGGATTAATCGCCAATCCCAGACCCCTAAAATAAATAAATAAATGGGCAATAAAATAAAAAATAGGAAAATCAATTGTATTTGATTTTTCCATATCCCAGTGCATATATGCTTAGATTAAAATTTTTTTTGTTTACTCAGTGCATATAGTGCTAAAATGGTTAATGTTTTAAAGCAAATGCTATTGAAATATGAATGGCAAATGAACAAATCGAATAGAGGGACTAAGATGAGGTGGGTTAGGGATAGGTACTTTAAAATGTATGTTTTATTTCCGTAGACTTTATTTACCATTAACCGATCTTTCGGATTATCCGTCGGCCCCTTCCCTCCATATGTGGGTGGTTAATCAAGGTTTTACTGTAGTGTGAGGTGTTTGGTTAATCAGCTTGTGTGTAACTATGTTCATTGATTATTTTTGTATGTTATTTCAGTGTCACATTTTATCTTATAAATTTCAGTAAATATTGGGAAGCTAGTAATTTAGGAACACAAGTAATAATGAGGGAACAAGTTTGTATTTTTTTTAAGTTCAATTTGATGCATTATGTAATGTGGCTTTTCTTAGCCAAACCCAGCTGTATGTACCTCAGTGTTACTTGACAAAACTTGGGTATGTTTAGTAAGGGTAAACAATATTACTAAGGTTCTGTAAACTTATGTTTAGAGAAAAGGTATATACCCTGTAATGTCTTCCAAAATGCACACTATAGAGTATAATTTCTTATTCTATGTATTTCAAGTTCATCCACCTTCTAATTTTGATAAAAATTTACTTAATATTGCAGCAAAATTTTTAAATAACACAAAAGGTATAAAATATAAGGCATGTACACAAAGCTTAAACTATAAACAGGAGAAAACTAACCAAAATGATTGTACATTCATAGGACAGACACAGGAATGAATGGTTAGGCATTCTGAGTTTGATACAAGGTGGGAGGGAGGGAAGGACAACAGTGTATGTGAGTTAGAACCACACGTCTAAGTATGTACAACAGATAAACTCCTCTTTTGTAACGATATTACTCGCAAAGTGCCTTGTTAGAAACAAATAATTACCAACCAACAATCCTTACTAAATATTATTTAATAATGCCGGGCACCCTGCATTTATATTATAAAGTATTATGATTTTTCACCAAGAATTTTCTTTTCATACTTGGAATTTAAAAAATTTCATAGAAAACATTATTTCCACTACCTAATGCCACTGCAAGTAAATAGAGCATTTTTAGTTATCTTTGAGGTTGAAAAGCACATTCAAGTCACTGAAAGGTGCAAGTTTGATTCTGCAGCTTTTTTGTGATTGCATTGTATCATATTACATAGTAAACAATTCTCTAAATGCTAGACAAGCACTTACCTAAAGGTGAATCGGACGAATAAAATGTAAAAATTTGCTATTCATGCATATTTGGTCATTCTATATCAGTTAAGGCTTCATAATGGCTGATCTCCCTCCGAGATGGTCATAGCAATAAGTTGGGAGAGATTTTTAAAAATGTTGGCCTTTAGCTTGTCTAGAAAACTCTTTCAAACCTATATATTGAAAGCAGCATATCTGGTGGTAATCATGGGGAATTTTAACTTATGCAGTAGGAAGGTTATTTTTTTTTTAATTGAAGTTGGAGTATTTCAAGATGTTGGTCCCATGATTTTTCTAATTTTCCTTTTCAATAAATAAATGTAGCGATTGGTCATCTGTGTTACGCATTTTATGTATTTGCAGGTATCCCATGTATAATGATCATTCACTTAGCAATTTTTCAGTTTAATGATTTAAAATTTTTAACACCCTTTCTCATTTAATGATCATTAATTTTTGGTTTTGTAATCTTTGACTCGGGAAAAATTCAGGAGGGAAGTTGGGGATTCTGTTCTCCAAGTGCACATTATTACAATACTCTAATATGGCTTAGAAATAAAGAAAATATACTATAAACCTATAAAATAAGAAAAATGAAGAGCATGGGTGTGTATGTAATGTATTGTAGCAGTGAGCTGTAACTGTGGCCAGCAGCGCACTCTCTCCCCCCTATACGACATCACCGCATACAGGCAGCAGCCCCACACGTTTAGCTGTCATTTCGCTTAACAAACAGTTTATCAGGAACGCTTCCCAATTGTTAAATGAGGAATACCTGTACGTATTGTATTTTTTTATTCAGGGACTTGTGAAGGGGAATTGTTTGTTTTACAAACTTTTGTGAAGAAATTTTCAGAAATTAATTTGAATATACGGTAGGTGCTCCTCTACTTACGAACGAGTTAAATTCCTGAGGCTTGTTTGTAAGTCCAACTTTACTCTTGTAGATACCAAACATATTGTAAAAAATGAAAAGATTACAGGTATGGATATTTAGTACAGCTTTACCCTTTAATACAGCCTTAAAACCTGGCTCACTCTTCTCCTCTTAGGTAATGTTTGTTTTATCTGGAATTTTCTTCAAAATAATCAAGTCTCATCCACATTAAACACCTGTTCTGGCAGGTAACCCCCTTCAGTGATGATGTTTGTATCTCTGAAAGTTTGTAAGTTGAATGTTCTTAAGTAGAGGAGCACCTGTACACACATATGTAAATGTTTGTAAATATTATACTTCCATTTGTCACTTGTTTTACAATGATTTTTTTTTGATGAATGTCAGTGACTAATCATTGATGATTCTCATGTATCAAATTCAGTAGTTTATATGAATAAATAATTGATTATAGCAGACTCTTTTACGATAGGTGTCCTTCATGAATACTGTACTTTACAATAGTGAAAGGGAAGGTGGACACAACTGACATATTGTATGGGAAACTGGTGCCATTAGCTGGTGTGGAGTATCAGATCCTTGAGAAAACTTTAGTTTATGAAGTAGCTATAATATATCATGTTACAGGAGTAGGTGAGATGCAACTCTTCTTGTAACAATGTTTATATCACTTAAGTGCCAAAATTATGTCTATTGGTCAATTTTTAGTCCTGTTAACTCATTTGTTGGCCTTAAAAATTGATGGGTCAGATGACAGGCTTAGTGACAGTGATAATATACAGTATATTGTGGTATAAAGTACAATCACAGTTCTCCACAAATATAAACTATACTTTACCGATTTAATAGATTGTAACAGCTTGGTTGGTGTACCTCCCTAATGCATCATGTGTGGAAGTTGTAAAAATAATGTTTTCATCTGTCATGGTGTCTACAAGTATGTGCACTGGGTGTTTATATTTGATATCCTCAATATATAACATGGTAGCAAAGTTTAATCCTGGTAGTCAAAAATTATTAAGTGATGAATAACCAATTTATAAGTGACGTACTAATACAGGTAATAATATTTCTTCTTATGAGGTTCAATGTGCCTGTTTAATCTAATCTATATAGGTTAAATACAAAAACAAGTATTATGTTCCTTTACTGGAAAATGAAAAAACAATGCACTTTGGTATCCACTGAAATATGATAAAAAAAAAAGTCAAAGAGCAAACTGTGACAAAAATACTTTAAAACTAATTCTGCTGAAGCACTAAAAATGCTTAACTATTACTTCTTCTGTTTCTTTTTCTCTGCTTCCTCTTCCTTCTCCTTTTCGATTTCTGTAACAATTTTTTCAAGGCTGCCAATATCCAGCATCTGAAATCAAACACAAATGATGACGTTCAACTACATAGTAGCAACAGATCACTGGACATACAGATGTATGTGGTAAACTGAGTTGAACATAACACCTATTTTCTCTGCACACAGTATTTAGTGTTTGCCTTTTCCTCCACAACTAGTTTTTCAATTGTAACCTGAAGTATAATTTAAAACATTACAAGAACTCACCCTCATTGGTTCATTAGGTTTCATAATGGCCACCTCAACATTCTTGGCACCTGACTGAACAACTTCAAGAAGGGCTCGCACCACCAACTTGATAGCTCCTTCTTCTGTAGATACAGCTTCCTCAGAGTAGTGTTTCTCCAAGAACTCACGGACGGTTTTAGCACTTCGGCCAGTAGCATTAGCCTAGGCAAAAACAAAATCTCATAATTATTTAGGACAATTAAAATTTTCTCTACAAATTCAACAATTTTTTAACATGTTTGTTAATGTGTCCCCGGGTGCAAAAGGACAAAAAATGCTTTGCAATTAAACTAACAAGAATAATACTATAGGTAGGTATCCCTCGTTTAGCGTTATTCGGTCTTGCGATAAATTTTTTTTTTACTCTTTGTTGAAAGTTAAGTCAAAATTTGGTTTAGTGATTGCTCGAGTCAATGGGAAGGGGGAAAAACTGTGGATGAGGTGGTCTGTGAGATGGCATGTTACCATTGTTATATGTAATGAATCTATAAAAGTTGTAAAGTCATTACAAGACTGTACTCTAATGTGGCTTAAAATAAAGAAAATATACAGTACAGTACAAGATAATATAAAACAATAAAATAAGAAAAATAAAGAGCATGGGCTGGAGTACACGTGATAAGTAGGAGTTGCAAGCACAATTGTAATATTCACTATTTTCTTTGCTCCTCTCCTACTCTTTCAGGCTGAGAGGGCACAGAAAAAGACAAATATGCTGCACACTAAATACCCAACAGCTATCACATACCATCCATTCTGTGTAAGTGCCTGAGGGATCTGTTAGGTACAGGTGGGGTGAGCCATCCATATCAAACCCTGCAATTAGACAAGATGTACCAAATGGCCGACGTCCATTGCTTTGTGTGTAACGCTGCTTTAGTGTGGCAATAAATCTGTAATACACAAATGAGTATTAAACTTTAGTAGTTAAGTACAGTAATTTCCAAGTCCATCACAATTTTAGAAATGGTCATAGAGGAGAAAAAAAATACAAAATTGTTAGGTAACAATATAATCAAGAATGAATTTTCAAATTTGTATCTATTTTTTAATTTAATTTACTACTCTATATTAAAAAAAGTCAAGAATACTGTACTCATAGAAATTCTCGTATACATAATATCAACTGATCTAGAGGTCCTTAACCTACATACTATAACACCACTTTGAAGATATTAAAAGTGGCTTATTATACTGTCTGTATTCACAGCTATTTTGCACTGTACTGTATAGTGCAAACATTAAACTAACTACAACCTTTATATAGGGTCTACCTTACCTAGTAATGTACTCTAAGGTGACAGGATCCTCCACTGTGAGTTTGTGAGACTGGCATTCCACACGTGCTCTGTTTACCAGGATACGTGCATCAGCAGTCAGTCCTAGTGATGAAGCAAGGTTTATTACTGTACAGTACCTGTAAACTTTCAATGTGAACACATGGATATTACTACATTCTATGCCTGGAGCTATAAATTAATATATATATATATATATATATATATATATATATATATATATATATATATATATATATATATATATATATATATATATAGTAGATACTTATGGTAACTGCACCATACCTGCAAAGGCCATAAGTACATGGTCATCAAGGAGGCAGATCTTTCTTACAGTCCGTTCCTCTTGTAGCTTTGGAACAGACTTCTTTTCAACACAAAGAACCACCACATCTTTGCCCTTCACACCGACCTAGGGAGAAAAAAAATTTATACAATTCTTTGGTAAATTTATTTTTCTGACAGCCATCTACAGACAACATACAGTAGGACCCCATATTCTGTCTGTTTGCTTCATCTCTCTCCTGATCACACTCTTCTCTTAAGTTTTAATTAGGGATTTCTTGTACTGTAACAGTACCAGTATGATTCCTTTTTTTTTTATTTCAAGAGTTAGGTTTGTGACTTTTTGATTTAGTCATTCTTGTCTGCTTTGTTGAAGTCTTTCCTGTTTCCAATTATAACAGCTTGTCACAAGTTTGTACCCATAATTCGTACTCCCTTAATTTGAAATTACCCATAATTTATAATGTTTTACTGTTGCAAAAACAAATTATACCTATAATATTTGGTAAAATTTTTAAATAGAGCCATTTGGAAATATTGCGATACTGGTATATGCATTAATTTTTTTTTAAATATTTGGTAAAATTTTAATTTACGAGACATTTATGAATATGTATGGCACGTGTCACCATGAGATGTGACCGCCCGTCCCAGTGTAAACAAGTACAGGTATACGCGTGCTGGTCAGTTCACGTGGGTCAGTTGTGGAGTGCATGTATTGTATATGGACTACTGCACAAGTCTTTTCACATGTTTTTCCATCTGGTATTGTATTTAGAAATGTTTAAATTTTGATTGGGGCAGATAATGAAAAACTACTGCTGTATTGTGTTTTTCCCTCGGGAGGTGTGCCCCTTAATTCATAATATCTCATAATTCGTAAGGGCTAGAGCCCCTATTATTTAAAAATATGGGGGTTGTACTGTATGCATTATCCAGATCTTTAAAACTGCTTATAAAAGTTTGGATAAGTGGCAAAATATTGATCAGAAAAAATAGAGATAGTAGGAATGTACCGGGCACGGCAAAATATCCACTGCCAATAGATTATGAACAGAAAGAAACCTACCTAACCAAACACGAAAATAAGAAAATTATTGGTAAGTTTGGACCGACTCGCTGTGGTCTAACTTACTAGTCCAAACTTACCGGATACTTAATAAACTACCTCCACGACAGGGAAGCCACATTTAAATTTGGCTAATACCAGAAAATATTATTCAGCACATAGATACCCTCTTACATAAGGGTTCAAAGACTGAATTTCAACCTTACAGTAGTGAAAAACAACTTCCAGGGAAATAAACCTTTCAAAATCTTTATTATGTTATCCTTGATTTAACTGACTTAATGTTTACAACTGTATAACTTAATTGCCTATGTACACGTTGAATAAATGTGAACTTGGATGACTTGTATTGAATAAACTTAAATTTGTCACCCACAAACTCAGAGTAAATTGGTGCCTATAAACTAGATTATTACAGCGATGCCTGACAACAAACTTTACTATAATTTCAAATGATCACAAACACGGCAACTAATATAATAATTTTTCTTCTAAGGTGACGAGATGACTTGTGCTTGATACAAGAGTGAGCCCGGCATTGGATATTTTCGTTAACAAATAAGTATACACTGACAAAAATTACCACATTTGATACTCACCGCCGTGGAGCCCTTCTTGACAGCTTCCTGGGCATATTCGACCTGAAATAAGTGACCATCAGGGCTGAAAACTGTGATAGCACGGTCATAACTAGTCCCCGACATGATGACTGGCGAGTATAACAACACACAGGTGGCGGCCTCTGTCGGCTCCTCCCCGCGCCACCTTCAGCATGGTCTCAACAATTCTATCTCACAATTTGTTATTATTGATGGACTAGTATAATAATATTACTAGCCATGCTCTGCACTTTAATTTCTTATTTGTTGAAGCGCAGTAATAACATTATAGAGTCAGCGTCACCGTGGCCGCCCCAGAGGTAACGCGCGTATCACCCACAGTATGGCCAGAGTTCGAGTCCCGCTAGGCCAGTGCGCCCGTGAGTAGGATGTTGTCCAGTGGACCTTGGTGTGCCACTATCACACACCACAGGTTTCCTGGACTCCAGTTTCCTCCTGCACTTACACTGGATAGACAAACCGCCCGTTGATTGAAAATGCCCAAAGGAAGATCACCAGACTGGTGCATGCCCAGTACTTGCCAACAGTGAGTAACAGAGAAGTGACCGATCGCCCAAGCGGCTAACAAGCCGATCAGTGGCGAAGAGGATAAAGTAAAGTAATGGTAAAAATGCCAAAGAAATTAAGAGAAGAATAGTTTAAACAAAAAATGCATTTAATAATCATATAGGACGTTTAAATGTTGCTTATAACCAGTACAGTATACTGTTATATTAGATTTCAATGAAAACTTGTGGTCCTTTATTTCTCTTCCCTATTGTTAAAACGTCTTAATATAAGATGGTTAATATTTAGAAGTTGTCAAGCATGGAACTCGATCTATATTGCTTCTTACAGGTACAGTCTCACCCAAAAGTTGGTTAACTCTCCCAGCCAGCTATTGCTGCACTGTTTGCTTCAGATGTTTGAAAATGTCTCAGTACCAACCAGAACATGAAACCGATACGAATGAATCTAAAGGTTCGAAGTAACAGACTCAAGTTCATACATCTGAAGCAGGCAGTGCAGCAATAGCTGGCTGGGAGAGTTAACAAACTTTTGGGTGAGACTGTACCTAGGGAGATAGGGAGTAAAAACTTTGAGTCTAGCGTTTTCGACGGAAATTTTTAGTTTTAGAGTTCTTTTAAATTTTATTTCCCTGAAATTATTAAAAATTCCCGGAGAAATTCATTGTTTACTTATAACCTAACCAATCGGCGTAAATTTGGATGTCACTCGAACGCAACACTTGTGCACCAGCGGTCAAGGCGGAAGACTGATCCAGCACTTACAAGATGGCGTGTGTCTGTGATGGTTGTTCCTTGGCGTCCTGGCGTCTAATTCAGCGAACCTTTGAGAATTCAGTTGTTGACATCTTCAGAGAGAACACCAGTCAAGTGTCCAAGGTGTGATTCAAACTGTCAGTATCGTGATGCTCGGCATACTGGACTCGGTATTGCAGTATGAGAGACTGCCCAAGGTAATTTTTTTAGGGGGGAGGTCAAGTCCTTCTGGTTTCTCTGATTAGGAGCTTTCGTTTCGTCTGTTTTTTTTTTATGTTTACCCCACAATTTCCCTCTGTTTTAAAGCCCAAGTGGCCCACTTTGTGCAACCAATGTTGTTGGTAATTGGGGGAGGGGGGGGTGTTCCTATCTACATAACTATTAATTTTCGACGGAACTGAAGGTTATATTCGTAAGAAACACGATGAAATAAACAATAAAATCCTGGTTTCCATAATTTCCATGCAATTACCAACCTGTAGGTCATTTTTAGTTATAACCCCATGATAAGTCCATTAATTGCCACCAATTACTTTGGTAATGTCTGAGAATAGCACTACCACCAGCAGGTGTTGTTCGATTTCATTCACTTTTTCCACATGTTCTTATCATTATAGTAAGTATTTTAAAAGAGGCGGCATTTACTAAAACCTAACAGAACCTGACCTTACCAACCAAAGAAACCTTCCTAACCTTACCCAACTTCCTAGCAGGGAGCTCCGCCCCCCACACCCCCCACCCAAGTAGATAGAATGTACTTATTTTTATATCTAGTACCAATAAAACTAACTTTGTTGAAGCGTCATGGTGTAATTTTACGTTTTTTGTGGGCGTGAGCGCACGCTCGGCCAGCATGAGCAGGTCGGTTATAATCAAACGTGGTGAGTCTGGTGCCTTCGCAAATTTTTCGGAGTATTTACGGTGCATAATTAATTTCTTCACGTACAAAGCACGTAGACACATAATTTTAGTGTCACATGATCAGTTTTTCATCGTATTTTATCCAGCAATTTCCCTCATCCCCCTATGCCATGCCCACTACAAGTGATTTATGATAAAGGAAAAGGAAAAGTAACAGAGACGTGACCGATAGCCCAAGCGGCTAACGAGCCGATCAGCGGTGAAGAGGATAAAAGTAAAAAAAGTAGAGGGCAAACTTTTTCGGAGTGAGGGTTGTAAACTCTTGGAACAATCTACCAGAAAGTGTTGTGACGGCACCGAGTGTGAGCTCTTTCAAGACAAGACTTGACCAACACTGGAGCGGGTTCAGGTACATTCAGGAGCCGGTGCATGCCCAGTACTTGCCAACAGTGCGTGACAGAGACGTGACCGATCGCCCGGGCGGCTAGCAAGCCGATCTTTTGGTGAAGAGGATAAAAGAAAAGGAAAAGTAATCAGAGACGTGACCGATCGCCCAAGCGACTAACTAGCCGATCAGTGGCGAAGAGGATAAAAGTAAGTAAAAGTGACGCCTGCTGGACCACCACTCCACGACCACCTGACGGAGACACATTGATACTGGCCAGATATTATGTAAATTATATTGATGATGTGTTGAAGGAATATCCTTCCTTCCTTAGGCTTTAGTAAGCCCCTTTATAATATTTATATATACTTGTCACACTTGCCAGATGTTTTTGGTGTTATTGTACAGGGGTACCTAGTGACAGCACTAGGATCCCGGTTCCTTTATCAAGGAATAGAATATGGAAATTGAAATTGAATTGAACTGTGTATTCAGTACATATTACACTATAATCTGGTTTTACTAATTGATGTTAATAGTGATGCACACATTTTTTGACGTCTTAAAGAACTTTTAATTCCTAGAAATAAGCAACTTTCAACATATACATAGAGTAAAATCGTCCAACGAGGTGATGTCACAGGTTCCAGTATGATTAGTTCAAACAGCGGTATCTACCAACATGGCGGGAGCTCAGCAAGTGACTGACTGCTCTTCGGACTTGCTGCTTTGAATGTTTAAAACATGGCCGAAAGAAAATGCTTGCAGGAAAAAAAAAGACAGGTAGTCCGAGGTGATACAGCAACACATGTCAATAACACTTCTAGTGCCGAATAATCTTCATGTGGCTTATTTCCTTGTTTAGAAGTGGATTTATTTTTAAAACATGAAAGGCGTTTGTTTCTCTAAAATTATTATTAGGTAAATAAGGTTTCATAGAAGTTAGCAATTTAACCAAGTCTTTTTTTATCATTCGTAACTAATGACCGTTGAACGTGAATCTTTAATGTTTTATATTTTATTCTTGGATGCTAAATAATGCATTACCTTCAGAGTATCAATGACAATTAATTGTCTTATAATAACTAGAGGAATAGTATATTTTTTTTTATTTAAGCATATGGTTTGTCTAAAGCTCAAAATTTTGTTTTGTGAAGGTTTCCCGCCTTACGTCACCGTCCATCCAGGTGGTGAATACAGAAAATATTGTTTACATGTTCATTAAAGACATGGCATAAACGTGGCGAATATGAGTATTATTTTCAAGTCAAGTTTTTTATTCGATATTCATTTCAGCTTAACACAATAATTGTACTGTATACCTTTCATTTTGACTTCCAATTATAGCTCCACAAATTATTTCTGAATGTCCTTGAGCGGTAATGTGTCATTATTTCGTTTTAAAAGATACTAAATTTTTTACTATACAATTTGCACTTACAATATTCTTATGAAAAACTGTATTAATTAATTTATGTTAATATTTCACAGAATTGTGTTCCACCTCCTAAAAAATATAAGCGAAAATAAAACGAGTTTTGTAGGAGCCAGATACCACTTTCTGATTGAAAGTTTCTGGAAATCGTGACATCATTCATTTAGACGACTGTACTGTTAAAATTATGGACGAAATGAAAACAATTGGAACCGATGACTCAATGAAAGACTTTGTACACAAGTACGATTTTTACTTGACCCCGGGAGGACTGTGTAGGATTAAAATACATTACCTGCAATATTTTAACGGAGTTATTCTACACACGAACACACACACACACACACACACACACACACACACACACACACACATAATAAAATGATTATGAAGACGGTAAATTCTCATAGACCTCTTGACACCGAGTGATGTTGACGTACGGCGAATCAAGAGACTGGCACTAATCCATTTATGACAACCAAACTATTGATACTAAAACAGCCTATTTGCTCAGAAAAATACAGACACAGAGTGGACAAAAATAACATTATTAACATGGCTGAGCCAATTGAGAGCCTGAGCTCAATTAGTAGAGTTTACTAATTGTTTTTCTCTAAAGTGTACTAACAGTTGAAATATTTGGTAAAAAAAATAATGGACATTTTGGACAGTTACTAGGTATTTACTGACTTAAACTAGAAGTACTAACAAAAAGCCATGATAATAGAATTTAGTAGATTTAATAGTCTTAAACTCCTAAACCAGAAATGGCAAAATGACAAAATAGCAGGACTTTATCGATAACAGTTGACATGAATTGCCATAAATCGAATGAAATGGCAAAACAAAAAATAAAGACTAATGACAACAACAGACATGCACTCCCTAATCTTCCAGCGAAACACAGCGAGATAAATTGAGGAAAAAATTGGGAAGTGTTTTGTATCCTAACTCTATAAAGTGAATGTATTGGTATTCAGGTGTAGTGACGCTGGCTCAGAGTTTGTGGGTCATCTGTTTACAATTACGATACGCTTGGAAGTTCGCTAACCTGTAGGCTATTTCATGACTGATATTGTCACTTACATTTCTGTATTTTCTCGCAGTCTCTCGCTATTTTTCCTCTTCTCCGTGAATGTGTGTAAAGAGAGAGAACACGGAACATTAGCTAAGCCTCTTTAGGTGTGGGACTGTGTAGTTAATCTCCCTCACCATTGTGCCGTCATCCTAAGATGCCTTCTGTCAACAGCTCTCCTCACAGCAGCACACGACGGGCGGACGAACACTATGCAGTTGCATGCACTGTGTGTCCGATCAGTATTGAAAACTCATTTATTTCCCTTATTGTACAAGTTGCTGCGTTGTTATGGGTGGTGATGTCCTTCATGCATTTGCCCGTGTATGGTGTACTGTAGTATTGTAATGATGTCTGCGGGTACTGATCTAGTCTGTGAGGAAGGGCAAGAAAAGTAAGGTAGCATCTAAAGCAGTGGTTCTTAACCTTTTAGGGTCGCTCCCCCTTTTGCAGTTGGTCCTCATCTCCACGCCCTCCTCCTTCCTTCATATAAAATTCTAAATCTAAAAAAATCCAAAACAATTTCCTCTTGAATTAAATAGGACAATTGAGAAACTAGTTTTTCATTCGTTACGTTAATAACTTTAATTATTCAAAAGCGTTTGTATAAGCAACCGTCCCAATCAGTGTTGATAAATTTTCAAATGTGAATTTTATTATCGTTTCTTCATCAAATTATCGTACACTTCCCGACATTATTACTACCTTAATTCAGACACTTTTAGTGGAATTTTGCATTTTCATTGATGTAGTTACCATTTACGACATTTTGAAGTATCTGTGGGGAGCGAGACCCCCAGAAAATCCAAATAAGGACATACACACACTTGTTAAGGCCATCCCTTATTTTTGCTCTGGGTTCACGCCCCCTTTGGAGATTACTCACGCCCCCCTGGTTAAGAACCGCAGTGTTGCGTTCCTAACATAAACTAGAATATAGTATAATATGTAAATGGGATTTGGTTGGATTAAAGTTACAACAGTAATAGAACAACGGAAGACTATCACTAGAGTTGTGAAACGTCAGCAAGGACAGCGAGAAGCCAAGGGACGTCCTGGAGTGTTTGGTGTCCTCAGGTTGAGAGGAGGACTGTAGGAAATCATTGAACGTTGGCGGCGCAGCGCTTTGGGGTCGTGGGGCGTCGGGGAAGACGTGATGGAGACGTCGGCGGCTCCAGTGCTGTAGTCATGGCCTTATGGTCGTGGAGTCCAGGCAGGAGCAGAGGTCCGGAGGAGGAGCCCGTAGTGGAGGAGAGAGAGAGAGTTGTTGAAGTAAACGAAGGAGAGTGAGAGTTGATGGCAAATATCTTTGCCAGGGTAGAGGAGAGGAAAGAGAGAAGGGAAGAATAAAAACGGGAAGTAATGTAGTTGGGAATAATGGCAGGAGGGCTGAGTCTAGGTGATTGATTAGGGTGGTGATCTTTACACACCATGTGCCCGCCGCTCAAGGGAGGCAGGGAGGAGAGGCAAAGCTAAGCTTACTAGGTATTCCTAAATTATAAATAACTTCAACTGATTTCAATAGAGTAATAAATATTAAATTATGTTAGTTCGATAAATATATATATATATATATATATATATATATATATATATATATATATATATATATATATATATATATATATATGCGGAATAAACCATATATTTCCTAAGAATAGATGTGTATTTATTATTATTATTATTATTATTATTATTATTATTATATTTTCGCCCCCTGGGTCCTGATGTGGGTCAGTGACCTGTGCCGGGGTGGGCTAATCCCATGGAGGTATAATATTATTATACCTCCATGGCTAATTCCCATAAAAATGAAAAAAAATACAACAATTACGATCTACGACGGGGGTCTTGTTTTGAAATTCGTTCCTGCTGTAGATGATAGGATGTGTAAGCACCGTGACGTCACGTCACCGCAACTCGTTTAGTTTCTCGATTGAAAGAACTAAAGCTTTAAGTTCAAGATCACAAATACCATTATAAAGTCGTGCGTTTGGCGTTTGGTAGTGTAGTTGTTTATTACAATGTTATCAACCGCATGAGTCGACCATTGTAGTTTATTATAAATGTTATTAGTCTCAGCCACAACTTCAACAAAGTATAGATCGATATAAAGGAAAATATCTCTATCAAAACTGAAGACATCTTTAGTAGTAATATAAAAAAATTTTATGGAAGGTGAGCAGCGATTTTTACCGTTCGAGTGACTTCTCAGAAATCTTTATTAGTTTTCTGTTTTGTGCTAATGTATTTTTCCAAGGTTAAGATGAGGAAGGCGAGAAGAGCACATATAGAGAGCTGGAGAAAAGCAGTCATGACATTAGAGAGGGTGCAGGCTGTGAGAGAACTCCGGCTGGAGCAGTCGGCGGGGGTCGGCAGCCACTTGTGCATGAACTTGACGTAGATGCCAGTGTCTCTCACTTGTGTCAGGCTGTAGGGAGACAAGAACACTCCCTGATTATTTTGTACGCAGCATATGGGTATTTAGGTAATATCAAGAGCTTTGAACCTCAGATTATGTCCTCTTAAGTAAAAGTTAGATAAATGAGTCATACTACATCAGGTCTCGCTGAACTGTAGTGATATTTCACTGGAGAAGCGAAGGTAAAATTAGGTCACATCTAAACAGTTTTGAAAGTTCACTTAATTTAGGTTAGTATTTGTACCTGGTCATGCAAGTTCTATTTTATCAGTGTTAATAACTCAGACGCCAAAATGTAAATACGAATTTTCTAATAGATTAATTATTGGCATGGGTCAAAGTTGTGACATATTGATTCTGGGAAGATATACATAAATAATCAAAATATTCTTTACAAGGGTGAAGCTGCTGTCGTATGTATTTGATCTTATACAAATGTGATGATGATCTAAGCTGCAAAATTCACACAAGGTATTTGAAAGTATCTTAGTGAAGAGGCACATTTCAAAGTAATGTTATTCTAATCTTTACAAATTTATACTTCGAAAGGTTACGAGAATGATTTTTTGGAACTAGTCACTACAAAAACGGTTGTTATGTAGGCTGAGTTATTATGGGAGGCAGGATGTGAGGATGAAGAATTGTGATAATTGCTTCTCTTGTTGCCAGTCAACTAATTCCGTACTCGTCAGTAGAATTATCATTAAAATATCATATGGCATAAACAAACACAGTGGTGAAGATGTGTGCCACAATGGAAGTGCGCTTACTAGTAGTCGATGATCCTGCGGAGGGGAGAGCCCTTGGGGACGGCAAAGGTGGTGGGCACCTTCAGGTAGGTTGGTGACAGCATCAGCAAATCACAGTTATGGCCATACGTGGACAGAAAGTGAGTCTCGTCGATCATTTGCACGTAGCGGTCCTCCAGGGCTCGCTGGATACCCAGAGCGTCATTCGGGGATAAAGTATGGTGGATAGGCTCCACCATTTCCTGCCACGCTTTATGGTATATCCCGCTGGGAGCAAACTGTAAAAGTTCCTATCGTTTATATTTATTCTTCTCCATTACCGAAAGCGTTGTACAAACTTGCTACCTCCGTTTACATCGTTGACAAGTTTTCCAGTCTCTCATTTTCTTTGATACCGTATGAGGACTAAAATTTAAATAATATATCAATACTTGTATTTTTGGGTACCAAACCCCCTAAAGATAAATTAGTTATCCATTTCATTATTCCAATTACCAATTCAAATCTTTAAGGTTAGATGAACAGTGTATAATATAAATCTCGTGTCAACCCACCTGGAAGGCAGCGTCTATGGAGGAGCTCTTCATGTAGCCCATGTAGTAAGAGCCGTCGTCGAGCGCCCCCTGCAGGTTTCTGAAGGGCGGTGACTCAGACGACACGGTGAGGTTGGAGATTAGGAAGCAGGTGTAGTGAACGAAGAACAGTGTGTTGGTTATGTAGATGATGATCATCACCACTCTGGCAGCCCCGCTATTTACCTTCAAGTATGTGCCTAAGAAACACAAAACAGTAAACAACACAGCAACAACAACAACAATGTGCCTCTCAAAGAACAGTACTTTGGGAAATATCGATTCTGAGTGACTGTAACTATGGTATTCAATATATTTATCCCTAAATCTACCACTCCATAATTGTCATCTAGCCTTATCAACTGTGTGTATTTAGTATGGATCGGTTAATACTGTGAACGCTCGAGTGGTAACAAACAAACGGACGGACAAACTGAACCGACTGATAAACTTGAAGAGAACATACAGTATATTTGTTTGTTGACAAGGAACAGCAGATTTATTAGTCAAAATTTAAGGGGGTTAGTTGAGGGGGCTCAAAACTGGCACTGTATTATCTTTGGAATCTTTATGGGCTTATGTGTGCCTATGGACCCGTATGTGTGTGTGTGTGTGTGTGTGTGTGTGTGTGTGTGTGTGTGTGTGTGTGTGTGTGTAAAGAAGACGTTTACAGTATGTCTGGATCCCCAAAATATGTTTTAGCTTAATTGAATTCTTTAACTGACTCATAAACATGTAAACACAATTTATTAAGGTTCAGTAATCGTCTTCAGGTGTTTTAAGCTATCGTCCTTAAGGGGTTAAATGATAATCTGGGGTTAATTCATTGCACTCAAAAGGTTAAATGATCATCCTCTAGGCATAAAGTCACCTTCAAGAGGTTATATCATCGTTCTGAAGGGATTAAATGGTCGTCTTTAAGGGGTTTAATCGTCCTTTTCAAAGGGGTAACGTTAAATCATATTCCTCAAAGGGTTAAATCATGTCAAATGGTTATATAATTATCATGTCAAAGGGTTAAATCATCATGTCAAGGGGTTAAATCATCTTCCTCAAAGGGTTCAATCATCATGTCAAGGGGTTAAATCATCTTCCTCAAAGGGTTAAATCATCATGTCAAGGGATTAAATCATCATGTCAAGGGGTTAAATCATCGTCCTCAAAAGGGATAAACAGTGAACTTTGAAAATGTAAAAACAAAAAACAAAATCCGGTCGCGCTAGTCGTCGCTCGCTGGCCCAATTAAGACAACCTAAAATCGTCCTCACGTACTTTGGTTGCACAAAGAGCCGAAGGTCATGAGGAAGGCGTCGCCGAGGGTGAAGTGAGCGACCTCTGAGGGGGAAAACCCGGTGAGGTAGAAGAGAAAGGCGGCCCCTACAAGGAAAAGCAAGACTACAGGCCACACCACACTGTCGAACTCCCTGGTGTAACTCGTCCATGTGTAAGCCTGGCTGCTGGGTCGACGTATCACCATCTTGTACCTGTCCGTGGGGTATGACAAGGGTTATTTGTACGTGACTGACTGTTTTCTTGTACGTTATATATATACAGGGTGTCTAGTTGTATCTGTTCATGGTAAGGTTAGTGGTTATCTGTACGTGGTTGGATGTCCCTGAGCTCGTGTATAAGGGTACTTGTATACGGTAAGTTAGTAGCTGTCTGTACGTGACCTTGTATACGTGGCGGCACCATATTGTACCTGTTCGTGGTAATGTGTGTGTGAGAGAGAGCACCACATTTACTCACCCGAGCATGGCGAAACTGAAGCAGAAGTCGACAACGGTGGAACGCTTGAGGGTATGGTCTAGAGGGGCCACTATGACATCCCCCTTGCCGGCCAGGATGTCCCCTACCAGACCGTCCCACCCTCCGTCACTACCGTCCTCAGTACGCTTCGGGGCGCCCCATTTCCCGTCTTTTACGATTACACAGCTGTACCTGATGTTCAAGAAGAGGCGAGATGAATAGGTGATAGAGAGGAGGACATGTAAATAATATATAAGTTAATTTATAAAGTATACTAGACGGTCAATGGAGAATTATACATCGTAAACTACTGTCATTGTTTTTTCAGTTATCCCCAATTACAAGAATGGTGTTCACAGCTCAACATTTGTGAAAGTTACGTTAGGAACAGAAGTTATGAAGCCAAAAGGAAGAAATTTGAAGGGACATACAGCTTAGACATTACACCTCCATGGGTTGCAGTTCTTTTTGAGCACTACTACTACTACTACTACTACTACTACTACTACTACTACTACTACTACTACTACAACGAGCGTGGCCTCCATCCTCCCCCAATAGCCACACCTTCGCCGCCATTTTATTACCTTAAAATTAAATATCCTATTACATAAGTAGCTATCCTAGCTGTGTTGAGTTAGTTGAGCCACAGATCTATGCAGCATTCAGTGACTGTTGCCTTATAGTCAATATCTGCAACTGTTGTCGGCTTAGGGGCCGATGCTCTCGTTCCCCTGAGGTAGAGCAAAGCAGACCTAAGGAGAGAGAAGGACAGTCGACATCTCATCCAGGCTGTAACATAACTTCTGGGCTGCTGCTTCTGTTAAGATAGCACCTCTGCGAGTCTGGCGTAGAAGCATCTTGCACTTGGTCCCATCCCACCAGATGTTGTGAACACTAGAGGAGTGAAGCTGCCTTGATCAACGTTCTGAATTCTCTCCCCGTATGTCCATATCTTGTCGTTCTCGTTCCTCCTTTGTGCAGCATCGAGAACTAAGTTGTGGTGACATGCGGCCATGGGATAAAAAATCCTGATGTCGAAGAAGGCTCGCTGTCCCCACGTCCAGAATCCTTAAGCACTGACGTCAACACGGGCTTCGTTGGATGTGTTTGAAGTTGGATGTTGGAAATTCTCACCGTCCATTGGAAGGAGGGTCGGTTCTACCCTGACATCACTGCAGATTTCCTTCAACATATTTGCTGTGAGATCCCTTACTTCGTCATGCCTCATGCATACGAAGGCCCCTTTCTTGCACACCATGGCGTGATCGACGTCATAGGAAGAGCCACACACGCATTGGGAGGTCAAACCTTCTACTGGCCTACCGTACCTTAGAGCATTGGCATCTGTAAATTCTTGTTTATTGAGACTGAAACCATTTGCCATTATCGGTAACGTAGTTAACCAGTTCGAGGAGCCCACCTCCTGCGCTATAGCTACTTTTTTTTCATATTCTCTGGTATTTGCAGCATCAGTTGCTGCAACTTATCACTTTGGCCGTGCTGTCGTAATGGACCTTCGAATCTTGTTTACTTCACTGGTATTCACCTCCCCTGTTGCGTTCTGAGCTATTATGTGGTCCGTGAGGGCTGCCGTGAGCTTAACTGAGTTTTGATTTTCGGTGGCAGCAATCTCCTCTGGATTGGTCAATCCCATTCCTCCCAAGGACACTTTTCCCTCACTCATCTTGTTACCAAATTTTCTGGCAACATCCTCAGTGTTTTGCTTTCCGTCTCTTATAAATTTTAGACTCTCCTGCAGTGTTCTTGCTTCGCAAAGGAGATCATCAAAGGGCCCCTTTCTGCCACATTGTCAATCTCCTTTGCTGCCACGTTTTCTTTGCACCTTGTGTGTGTCCTGACAGAATAGATGGGGTATTATGGCCAGTATTTGAAGAGCTAATGGGGCCAGGGGGCTGTCATGATTGTAATTGATTATGAGGGAAGTTATCTCCCGGACCAATTCTTTGGTGGCCGCGCACTTAGGTGGTTCAAAGAGGTTAGCTGGCGACCACCTGATCAATTCTACTACTACTACTACTACTACTACTACTACTACTACTACTACTACTACTACTACTACTACTACTACTACTACTAATACTACTGTTGTTGTTGACGTTCTTAGCGACATAACAACAGTTGTATACAGGTCAGAGCTGATATAACTCACGTGAAGTTGGATCGTTCGCGCATCACCTCCCAGATATCCGCCATCCAGCCGCTGAGTCGTGCGGATCCGTCTCCCTGTTCCTCCGTCAACATGAACGGCGAGTACTGCACACACGCACACACACGGGGGAATAACAGAATTTTTGTTTTATATTCTTGAGGTGATAGTTACGGATAATAATATTACAATTATGAAAATAAACTGTATATAATTTTTATTGCGAATAATTGGAAGTAAATGAACTGCCATTACAGTGAAAGTACACAAAATACACAAACACGACTATCACTTTGAACCTCCTAGTACAATAATGAGTAAAATAACTGATAAATGACGCATACTGTACTTGAGAGAGAAAGCAAGGATAATTAGTAGTTTCGTATTGTGAATTTCTGTAATTCACGTAATGTAAATTTATGTAACTGTAGCTGCAACACACTTACCTTAAATCGTAATAACACAGGTAGGCCTACTGGAAATAGCAATAATACAGGTAGGCCTACTGAAAATTGCTGTAAGACAAGTATTACCGGAATAATAACTTAAGAACCAGTTGAGCGAGTACCGAGAGGGTGAGGCAGCTGAGGTGAAGTCCTGATAGGTCAGTTCTGCGTGTGACGACATCTTCCTTCGGTGACGTCATCGAGGGGGCGTGATGACCTGGGGTTCTGGGTAGCCAATTACCGACGTGTCTCACTTTTTGCTTGGCTTGTGGTTCTGGAGGAGAGAGAGAGAGAGAGAGAGAGAGAGAGAGTATTCATAGTTAGGCATCAAACGTTTGTTATGTAAGTGAAATATATCCAATACGAATGCTCTTATGTTATGTGAATGTCTTGTCCTTTGTAAACTTTTGTTGTATGCTGACGAGAGTGGCCTCTTCTCTCCCTAACACCTCTTCTTTTCCAACCTCTCTCTCTCTCTCTCTCTCTCTCTCTCTCTCTCTGACTTCCTTCCCTCCTCACCACCTTCCTTCATTTCTTCTCTTTTCCTAACCTTTTCTCTCTCTTACTCCTGGACTTCCCCCCCCCTTCCCTCTCTCTCTCTCTCTCTGTTGCTTAATATGAAACTGAGAAGAAAAAATAGGAAAAAAATAGGCTTTACCTTTGACAATGGCTCACTCGTATAGTACTCATTAAATAGCCGGACAGGGCCAGGATAAAAATTGGTAGCTGTCGATTGAAATTGGGAGCCACTCATCACCACTATTAAGGACTATTGAAATTGGGGGCCTATGAAGCTTGGGAGGTAATAAAATTGGGAGTGCCCGAAATTGGGAGCTGTGAAATTGAGAGCTGCTAAAATTGGGAACTACCGAAATTGGATTTGAAATATTGAGATTTGGTGCTATTGTAATTGGAAGGATTATAATTAGGAGCAATAAAAAGGGAGCTACTGAAATTGGGAAATAGCCTACTGAATTTGGGAATAAATTAAATTGGGAAGTATTTAAATAATGAAATAATGAAATTGGGAACTATTGACATTGGGAACTACTGAAATTGGGTGGTAATGGGAATGAAAACTAGGTGATTCACTATTTAAAACGATTAAATTGGGGGATATTGAAACTATGAAGTGTCAAAAAATAAGTCTTAAAACTTGACGGGTATTAAAAATTGGCAGCTATTTAAAAATTTGGCATATACCTGTACATTGAGAGCTTTTAAAAATTTGGGGCGATTAAAAACTGGTAACTGAACATTGGAGGAAAAACTGAATTAAAAAAAAAAGAAGCCGTTAATGTAGATAAATATAACTGCTTCATTAAGAGGCAAAACATAAAGTGTAATTCCAAATATAACGATTTTACGACTCAGTTAACGAGCGGAATTACCCAATTTCTCCTGGGAGTAGGGACGGAAGATAGTGCCCCCCCTCACCCCCACCCCCCCAACTCCCTAGGGAACAAGGGTGGAAGGGTGGGGAAACTTTTGAGGGTCTGGGGAACAGATTGGAATTGTAGAGTTCTCCCGAGGGCCACATGTTATTTTCAATGTCCTCTAAATTTCATCTAAATCTATTGACAAATCCTACACCATCAGCGTCTCCCCTTAAAGCAGAGAGAGAGAGAGAGAGAGAGAGAGAGAGAGAGAGAGAGAGAGAAAGAAAGAGAGAGAAATCCCTCGCTGAACTAGAGTATGGTCGTGGGCCACGCTGAGCCCCTCGGTGGGCCAAAAATGGTCCATGGGCCACAGTTTCCCTGTTCTAGGCCACCCGAACCTATACCTACTAAATTTCATCTCCTCGAAACTGTGGAACTGCATAAGGAACATACAGACACAGACAGACAGAAAACATATCAAAGGTTACCATTCCTTTTAAGTGAGAATATGAAAGCCCTTCTAACTAGCTGTTAAATCGACCAGGACGGAGTTGGAGGCTAAAATAGCGCCAAATTTGCACTGATAAATACTATAGTTAGAGAGCGTTCCTTTATCCCAAGTATTTTATTATTATTATTATTATTATTATTATTATTATTATTATTATTATTATTATTATTATTATTTTAACTTAGTTTATCTAGATAGTGGGCTGTGGCAACTCACCTATTTGGTAAACTTCCAACAGGTTCACGATTTCCTTCTCTCCGTAAGCCAGAGTCGCCTGCAACACATTACACAAGAAAAACTTATACCATATTACGATTTATTTGATCATACAGCAACTAAAATAGAAGCAACACTCACACACACAGATGCCATTTCCTCCGCACAATAATCGTGTATGGTGTATTTTTACGTATTTAATTATATTATTGATGATTGTATTACCTGTGTATTATAATTTTGCGTTGTATGAAAGGGATTATACGTTAATTAATGCTCTGAGCACTTTATCAATGTCACCAGAGAATTAGGTGGAATTTACCAGTTCTATTTTGTGTTGGTGTTTGTGTGATTGTTCTAGTAACTCTCTCTCTCTCTCTCTCTCTCTCTCTCTCTCTCTCTCTCTCTCTCTCTCTCTTACTTACCTGGTTCAGTAGAGGAAAGTAGACGAAAGGGAGGAAAGTAGGGTAGTCCTGTGTACACACCACCAGACAGTACACGTCCTTCTCTGAGTACTGCCTCAGCACCTGTAAGATACCCACGCCCCTGTAAGTACCACGACACCACGCCCCTTTTTTCTCTATACCACGCCCTCCTCTCTCATACCACGCCCTCCCGTCTATACCACGCCCTCCTCTCTCATACCACGCCCTCCCGTCTATACCACGCCCTCTCGTCTATACCACGCCCTCCCGTCTATACCACTCCCTCTCGTCTATACCACGCCTTTCCCTCTTATACCACGCCCCCCTCTCTATACCACGCCCTCCCATCTATACCACGCCTTCCCCTCTTATTTAGGTAGGCATGGTGGGCGTGGTAATGGGTTGTTGGCGTGGTTAGGAAGGTTTAAGTGGGTCTCAGAGGCATGGCTGCTCGTTAGGGACAGTGTGGATACAGCACACTGTATACTAAGTCTTCGGTACACAAGGAGGCAGCATGGCCGGTACTGCTCTCGACCGCATTCACTTCCCCCAAATTGTGAACGTAGGTATCCATGTATGGGTGTGAGACGGGAGATGTGGGCGTGGTTATGGGTTGTGGGTGTGGTTATGAAGGATTTGGGCGTGAGACGGGAGATGTAGGCTTGGTTATAGGCATTTTGAGAGTAGTTAGGACCTCACCTGGGACAAATAACGGGCATGGGTCTGTGTCAGAAGAGGCATCACGAGCAATACCCGGGCCTCTTCCAACAGCATCTCTCTCCACAGTAAGTCCGCGCCTTCCAGCATATCCACGCCCTCCAGTAAGCCCACGTAACCTACTGGGTTCTTGGCAAGCTTATGGAACGCTAGCTGCACCAACGCCGCCCATTCCGTGTCTGTGGAGAGGTGGGAGGCTGGTGTTAAAGGACCGGGCGCGGTAGAGAGGAGAGCGTGGTGTGAGAGAGGAAGGCGTGGTATAAGAGAGGAAGGCGTGGTATAAGAGAGGAAGGCGTGGCATTAGAGAGGAAGGCGTGGCATTAGAGAGGAAGGCGTGGCATTAGAGAGGAAGGCGTGTGTGTGTGTATGGTATAAAGCACAACCTGTCAATTATTCAGTAGCGTCTACCTGGTAGAAGGTTGGCGAATGAATATAATATACAGTAATGTTACGCGACAGTCTTGGGAGGGAGGGAGGGAGGGAGTTCTTGGATGACAATGATAACAATATGGGTGACAATAACAATAGAAATGATAATATTGACGGTGATAATAATGATGATGATGAGTATATTAGTATTGATGATGGGATAATAATAATAATAACAATAAAAATAATAATAATTGGCTTGGTCAATCTTTCTCTCTCTCTCCTAACAGTGATTTTCGCAGTACTAAAATAAACACACGAGTATAATTTTCCTCACAGTGTCTAGTATTCCATTAGGGACTGTATATAATATTCATTCGCCAACCTTCTACTTTTTCCTACTGAAGATTATTACGTATTTATTAAGTATTATACTCAAGCGATCTATGATATCAGTGAATCTTTGACTACTACAGCACAGGTTCGTAGGGTGATACATTACAGTGAGTGGTGGAATCATTTTAACTTGTTGTGAAACTCGAATCTCCTCACTACCTTCTTATGTTTACACTTGTCAGCTGGTGGAGTGAGGGAGGAAATGTTGTAAACTGGAATTTAAAAACAAGTGCGCATGGAATGTAAGTTGTTTAACACATGTAAATACTGTAGTTTGTAAAGGCACCTTACATATACAGTATGTGTGTGTGTGTCATAGAAAAAATATTCATAATTAAACAAATGAGAATCAGCACTGGGAAATTATCAGAGTAGGTGTGTGGGGTTGTGACCATTATGACTTGTGTCAAGTTATATTAAGTTGTACTAATCCTTGTTGAGGGATGAAAGTATCCATGACCTCTTGTGTTACTGTTTATAGAATTTTGGTTTAAATATCAATAAAGTTGTACAGTATATAATTAGAGTAACGAAAGCTAAACTGTGGCTTCATTCATAAATGTTGTTTTAGGCATGATGATCCCTGGCCCAAGACATGACAACTGATGCCAAGGCTTCCTCTACCATCAAGGCAAGGTGAGCAATACTTCT